TGGAGATGGAGATGGAGATGGAGATGGAGATGGAGATGGAGATGGAGATGGAGATGGAGATGGAGATGGAGATGGAGATGGAGATGGAGATGGAGATGGAGATGGAGATGGAGATGGAGATGGAGATGGAGATGGAGATGGAGATGGAGATGGAGATGGAGATGGAGATAGAGATGCCTAGGAAGTAGGAAGCCGGGGAAGAAGAGAACGTCCTGGAGGAAGAAGAAGAGAACGCCCAGGAGGAAGAAGAAGAGAACGCCCGGGAGGAAGAAGAAGAGAACGCCCGGGAGGAAGAAGAAGAAGACGCCCGAGAAGAAGAGGACGCCTAAGAAGAAGACGAGACCCGAGAAGAAGAAGAAGACGCCCGAGAAGAAGAAGACGCCCGGGAGGAAGAAGACGCCCGAGAAGAAGAAGACAGAGAGATAGAGATAGAGATAGAATACACGTATATACGTACGCGTATATAAAAATTGAGATTGGCACGCATTCCGTACTACCAACGGGCAGGCCCGTAGGACATATTAGGTAGGCCTATAGGATATAGGTACCTAGTATATTAGGTAAGTATCCATATTGCCTAGTATACCTCCGCAAGCGTAGGGAGGTAGGTAGGAAGTATAGGAGATTAACCGAAGCGGAGGTTAATCCGCGCCGAGGCTTCCGAGTGTCCTTTCAGATCGTCCTACCCCTTGACTCTTGCAGCCGGCTGTCCTGCGAGTCGGTCTTGGCTCTCTTGTTAGACTCCATCTATCAAGCCTCTTGTGCTGCGTACATTCTATCGACGTTAGAATCATCCTCATGATTGTTATTATCGTGAACTGAAGCCAGCAGCAAGCAGAGCCTAGCATTCAAGCGTTAGGAATCACTAACGTCCTTCCGGTCTCTTCATCGAGATATCGCCGCAGCCACAAGAATTTTCCTTCTTGGTCCGCAAGCCTCTCCTTCGCTGATAGCTTTTGCCTGCAGACAACTAGAGGCGTCTTCGTGATGTCCGGACGGAGAAAGGGTCTGAGAGTCGCTTAGAAGCTCCTTACCGGCCCTTTCACCCGTATGATGCGAGCAAGTCAAGTAGCAGGTTTGCAAACCTGCCAGTCTCTGCACGAGGGTGCTCCAAGTCGATCATGGCGTGGACAGCACGCACATGTGTATCTAGCCCACCCTCAGCGATACTGAGCTGGTCTGCTATTGACGTGAAGTCCACTCGACGCGTTCACCCCTGTATGGACGACAGTTGCACGCGTAATGTAGCTTCACTATTCCTCCGTTGAACTCGCGAATAGACGGAATACGCGATTCCACGCAGAAGTGCTGACACTCACGCTATATTCTACGTAGTATACCATCTCTCATGCAAGCGGCTTCTCAAGGGAAAGATCAGATGCAGAGCCCTTCATGCCTACGTGCGCGTGGGTTGCGCTTTCTCAAGTGAAGCGAACGCGAAAGGGGGGCGTCATGGCAACGACGCGCCTCTGTCATGGAGACCCAGTTGACAACTACATACATGTATTCAAGCTTCTCTCTACCACACGAGACTCACAACGCGCGCTTGTATAAGGTACACATCAGACATCATGGCCCCATTCATCATGCCAGCAGACCTCAACCTCGAATATCCAGCCCTCCATGACCAGTCTACGGAGATGGGAGCGAACATCGCGCTCTCACAGGTCCAGCTGCAGAATTTTGAGACACAACGCATCTGGGAAACCCATCACGAACCTTTCAGTAAATCTTGGTGGGGGACCTTCTGCCAACAAGGAGCTTGTCTCTTTAACCAACCGCCCGCATTCGATTTGTACCACAGACGGGGACGACGCGAAGCATGGCACAAGCGGGTGATTAAGACACGAAAGATGGATGACTACTTGTGAGCTGAGCATTCTCGTTTACAGACGCGCCAGCTGTGACCATTGCTTACCTTTCGCTCTTTGTTAGATCCTTGGTTATGGACTGGAGTGGACACGCTACGAGTCTTCTGTCCCTCCCCCCATTCGTCGCTATTACACAGCGGTATGTGCGCTTCGAAAACATGTGGCCTGATGCCAACATGGATTCCATCAAGCTTGCTGAATACAGGTCCCCGGTCGAGCTTGTGCCATCATCAGACGAGGAGCTCGACATGACTGCCGACGAGAGCAGCTTGGAGTTCTCCTACGATGATCTGTTCGCGTTCGACCGCTACTATGACGAAGGAGTTGAGAATGATGAACAGCACCGCGACGACAACGCAGAGTTGGGCGTCGCAGAGGGACACCATATGACACAGATGGTGGACGCAGAAATGATGGAAGCCCCCATACTCACCCCCGTGCTTTGCCACTCCAGTCGTGGCACTGACATCCTTGAGGTTCCAGGTGTGCGCAGCTCATCTCCAACCGCGCAGAACCGCGAACCACCATCATGTTCCCGACCTGTCATGGCAGACGTCGATCCCCATGCAGCGCCAACCCAGAACAAGCTCGAGACCTTTCTCCCACCAGCACCGACGACTCGAAACCTCGTCTCCTCACAGCCAGACCAACAATCAAACAGGACCAGTACGTATACTCATGCCCTCTCCGGCTCCCATATCGCATCAGGAACTGAGAGCGCCCAGTCACTGCAGCACGGGACTCTGTCGGAAGCTTCTGAAGCTCAAGAGGGCCCTCTTTTCTGTGTGCCAATGCTGCGACAGACATCGAAGTGCCGCGCGGCGAAGTCCAAGTTTCATCCCCTTTGTGAGGCACTTTTGCTCACGTGCGAGAACGGGGATGGTGCCACGATTGACGATCGTGTGATTTATCGAGAGATGCTCGAGCATCCGGGTGGGATTCTGAAGGGTGTCTAGTTTGGAGTTGCTTACCCCTGTGTCGGTGGAAGGGGGATGTATCCCTCCTCCTCTCGACGGGGTGATGCATAGCTTACTCATGTTTGTCTGTGAGCAGACGGGTTCGATTTGCGCGTGCGGTAGGATACACTTTGTTCAGTCTGTTCTCTGGAAGGCAATCATGTTCGAGCTCGGGTGGAGAACTTAATCGGTCGGGTTTTTGCTCATCTTCTCTTTGTACAGAAAAACGTCTCTCATGCTCGAGAGAAAAATTATGAAAAAAGATAAAGATGCGCGAAGAAGCTGCGAGAAATACATAGGTAGCCCATTGAGACGCAGTCAAGGTACGTACCTAAGGAGGTGTATAGAAATGGAGGAAATGAAATGCTATATTCTCCTCCGAGCAAGAGTGCCCCTACCGTCCGTGGAAAGCTGACGACACTTGATACTTGCCCGACACTGTAAACCTGCTGCGTGACGAGCAAAGTTCGTCTTTGATAACTCTGCCCATATCCAGAGCCTACCTTGGCGCCCCGGTTGTCTCCATTTTCCACATTCATTCGACTGAAGTCCGAGCCAGACTTTTATAGGATATACTGTAGACCGGCTACTGCGAAAGATGGGTTGCCATGTATGCAGTTGTTGAGAGATGTGTCGTTCGAGCGATTGGGCCATGGAAGACAGGTTGACGTGTCTGACTTTGCGAGACATGTAGTCTTTTTGCACAACGTGTGATTTGGATGATGCGCCTTTCTCGTTGTAACTGGGGGCTTTGTGTTCTGTTCAAGATTGTGTGTAGAAGGGGACTTTCGTTGGCTGGTGCGAATCGGTTTCCCAGTAGATTGATTCGTCGGTGCCTTGAGACTCAGCTGGGGATACCGGTTGCTTCCAATATTTGAGCTGGGATATTTCGATTCGTGATTCGGCGGCCACTATGAGGCTCTCGAAATACCACAGACCAGGTGTTGTTACCAGGAGCTGACCGCTAAGTGGGCACGCGCTATGATCGCTGGACCCCTTTTTTTCCATAACCATGTAGGTTGTCACACGCTCGAATTCGAGGAGAGTCAGTCCGGTATCGAATGACTTAGGCCTGGGTAGCTCATCGTCCTCACGACTTCGGAATATGCCTCGCTGGTCGCAGAGGTCGTCCTCCAGTTCATAGGCTGTCTTGGAGCATCCTTGAGAGCAAACGCCAGGTCTGTAACGACACCGAAGTCGCTCGGTCCCAGAACCTCGCAGTGCACACCCACAAGTCTACGTCTGTACCAAGAGGGGTTCGCGAGTCGTTCCGGTGGGGTGGACAAGGGTGATCACAACGATGTGATACATCAGCCCACCCCTCGTCCCTCAAGCTGAGACCTCAAGTTCTCAACCACCATCTAGTGCATACCCAACCACGTCAACATATAAGCATGTGCCGCGAGTAAGCACGAGGCCCTCCTTTACCGAAGGTCCCGGCGAGCGGTCCCATCTTGGCACCCGTTGAAACCTGCAGGGTCTTTTGCTCCTTCCTTGGTTAATAATCATTTCAGCGTAATCGCTGGAGTAGTCCAAGAATCATGAAGCCATCGGGGCCGCTGAGAGCATAGGTGGCATAGCCTGGGAGTGTAAGTCAGTCGGACTGAGAAACCAGCGCGTGCATAAGGAGGTATGCACTCACCATGACCTCCACCAAACGTGCTAGTTTGGACTGTGCCGTTTTGCGCGGCAACGCATTTGATGACCCTTGAGACCTGCTCGGTGCTGTTGTTGGGCTGCATGATGATGTCCGGCTTGTAGTTGTTGAAGTTCGTGTTGTGCGTCGTGGTAATAATCTCACCGCCCTGAGCCGGAAAGCTCCCAATGGCAGTGGTAGCTTGAGGGAATTTGAGCGGGTCGTTCGTCCCGCGTAATTGTCTACGTGCGACGACATAGCTTTTACTGTGGTTGCGGTGGTAACCTGCAGTTGAGAAGCTGCAAGGGTAGAATAACGCATAAGCTCTACTTGCTTGGGAAGACTGATGGCCGGGTTGGGGAGTGAGGTAGGCTCAATAGTTTATATCAAGAGCGAAATGGAAAGTTGACGGTGTGAAGAGCGATGAAGTGGGCCAAGTAGAGACTTTTCTTCAAGCAAACTCGACGTCTAGGGTTAGGGGAACATCCCAGTCCTGATCCCAGCTTGGGGGGTGAAGTCTTGGAAGTCCTGCTCGCCGAGTGTACAGGGCAGCTCCTGTATTCAATCGGCGAGTCTGGAATCTCGACGTGAAGGTTGAGTAGTGGCACTTTTCGGATTAGGGGTAATCACGGGGAATGAATGAGCGCTACCTCTTGCTGTACTGCGCCCCCCATCTTCGATCTACATATATCACTCTGTGAAAGGACTTCTTGAACCAGATTTGCTCCCCCTCGTCACATGGCATACCGCATAGCCACTGGATGCCAAGGTGGCTCTGCTATTATTGTCGTGCCAAGAAGCAGCTTGCAACTTGACCAGCGTGAGGATGATGACGATATGCCATGGAGAAGAATCCGCCAACTTCAGTAGAAGAGCAGAGAAGGACTCGCGTGGAATAAGCACACTGGTATATGAAATTGCGACAAGATACATGCTAACCTTACCGCAGGCTGCAGAGGAGGGGTAGAATCTTCGCTCCTCTGGAGTGCTTGGTGCATCATTCGGGCTCATCAGCGCGTTGAGCGACTCGGTTTGGCTTGCTTGGACTGAGTATGTTTAATATCAGTCATTGGTTCTATTTAGCCGAAAAAGGGGTGGTATGCGATATACAACTTTGTTGTTTGATGCTGTTGAAACTTGACCCACGGGCCTCACGCGTCAAAATGTGTCTCACTGTGATTGGGCAAGCTTCTTGACGGGATGACTAAGGTACTGAGCAGTGGAGTGAGCACATTCATTCGTTCCATACCGACCACTCGATCGCCAAGCACTAGCTTGCCTGGTAGAGAAGATGCTTACATACCTCTGGCATGTTGTATCTAGTACTACTCAAAATGGCGCTTGCTACGAACTCCTCGACTTGCGGGAGCTGGCTACATCAAACACCCATTCTTCCGACTTGAATGCAGGACACTTGCCCCAACCTTATTCCTCCGTTTGCCTTCGCCCTTTGCATGGACTTCCACACTCCATTCGTACCACACCTTCCTATCGTCCGTCTGTCTCCACATCCAGACCTCGATTTCTCCGCCATCGGGAACACACAGAGGCGTCTTGAGTGGAAAGAAAATGGGAAACCAAGAGATCATGTCCTTGCTCTTTTGATCCATCGTCAGCGGGTTTGTACTCAGCTCAATCGACACAGCATCTTCATCTTGCGGCGTATACAGAACAGTCTCAAAGTAGCCTGCTAGTCCATGGCAGACACCGCGATTTTCAGCAATGAATGTCGCGTGACAGGAGCGGACGTTATGCTCATTCTTGCCGTCGCCGCCAGTGAAGCCACCAGCGTCAAGAGTGCCGCCAGCGCGTTTCTCGGCTTGGCCGAGGATTGCGGGCGGAAGAGGATGGGAAAAGAGCCATGCGTCTTGGACGTTCGGCGTCAATTCTGGGAAGACGGTTGACTGCATCTGCCCTGAACCTCCGTTGATACGGCACAGATCGTCGTATTGGTGTAGCATGATGACTGCTGGGAGCTCCCATTTGTCATCTCCGCTGCGGCCGAGGAGATCGCTGTATAGACGTGGTGTCGCAATTGGGGTGAAGTGTGCGCTGTACGATTGTGGAATGTTCACTCCGTGGCCCTGGTGGAGAACATGTTGCACGCCGTCAAGACACTCCGGCGACAGCTCATTGTCGGCAAAGGAGCCTAGCAGTTCCGAAACGAGTATGTCGACCTTGTGGACTTGGCCGTGGATGGTAGGACCTGGCCAGCTGCGCATATCAGATTTGTACACCAGCACCTGTCCGTTCCATAATGGATCGGTAGCGTTTCGTCGCTGAATGAGAACGTGGGCATTTGGGTTTTTCTCCACTGCGCAAGGCACGATCGAGATGCCAGTAGACTTGCTGGCGCGAAGGACGCGTGTCACCAGTGGACCTCTTCCAGCCCCGGCTACAGCGCAAACAATGGGTCTCTGGTCTTCCCCAAGCTTCCCTCGAATGTCCTTGAGTGCTGCCGCAACAGCACGCTCGTACCATTCGTATTTGACTGGATCCTTTTCAAAGACTTCATATGTCACGGACTCCAGATTGTCAGTGAGAGGCTGAAGTGGCGATTGGACGTAATCTTGGTAACCTTGACCGAAGCATTCTACCGCAGGTCGCGCAGGTTGCGTCTGCTGTAGACGCCTCACATATCGAAGGTGAGCTACAGGATCTGCTGGTTTGCCCTTCGACACCGCCAATGCAGACTCTGCGGGTGTCGGCTCTGTGACAGACTGGCTATTTCGCGTGCCGTCAGGGGCTGAGAAGGTTAGTGTATACGTAGGCAAGTTTTGAGTGTGTGCGCACCTTCGATGGGGTCTACATCGGCTAGCAGTACCCACGGCGCAAACTTGAGGCGCAAGAAGCGAGAAAGCAGTTGCTGATGTGCCTTATCCAGAACGGGATATCCACTTTGGTTGCGGAGAAAGCTCGTTCTTGGCAACACAAGCGATCGTACTGGCTCCGAAAACCATCTGGACTGTAGTTTGAGGTCAGGGAGGTGGCGTGGAAGTTCCAGGGCTATAATAATTAGCGATCACTATGCATTGCATGGCAAGCAAAGTATGGTTGAGCATACTTGATAAGGGGTCCGAAATGAAGATACATAAGAGAAGTGACGGATGGAAGAAGGAAAGAAAAGTATAGAGTAAAAAGGCATCGCACATACCTACTGTCAGCTTATTGCTGTACTGAGACATTGTCCGGATCGTGTCCCAGGTGTCCCAACTTGCGAACAGCTCAGGCTCCGCATCATCCTCTTCGCTAGGCACAGGCAAGTACTTCTCCCGTGCCAGCTCGGACAGATGTGCACCATCTGCTCCTTCAAGCTCCAATTCTCCATTCATTGGCAGAAGGATTTGCAGCTGAATATATGGGCCCAGCCCAAGTCCTTCGAGGATTGCGCGGGCATACTGTACCTGATCGGATCCTTCGATGGGCCCGTGGACCAGCACATTGCCTATGCCAACAAATGCAGCAAAGGCAACCTCTAAGCTGAAGACTTGCCTGCTGACGTGAGCAATCAGCGGATCTGGTGAGCCGAGGTCGATCCAAGGACTGACGACCCCGATAATGGCTATGTTGCTCTCGTCTGGGCCCAGGTCGGTGTCGTCCGGGGTCAGTGGAGAGATGGTAGGAAGTGGCACATCTTCGGCATTCTTGGCCGTCTTTACTTCTTCCACATAGCCTTGAAGCCGGGTCAACACCCGCGATTGAAAGCGAGACGTCGTGAGAGGTGCCGTGACCATGTCGTAGCCAGACGAGTGCGCATTACCAAGGAAATCGGGAGTCACCACAGCACTTCTTTGCGATTCATGGTGGGCAATGTAGATTGTCGTTGGAAGCTCTGGCGGTGATGCCGGAGCCTGGTCGGGGTCTGCCATTCGTTCAGCCGTTAAAAACCTCTTCTGTTCCTCTCGCCGTTATCGCTCTCTCGATATTCGTGCGTTCAAATGTTCCTGCAATGTCAATGTCAAGGCCAGGAAAGTGGAATTGCTGATAGTCCTACGATACTGCCTCGCAGAAATAAATTATTGAATATTTTAAGGTTTGTACTAGCCAATCCTGACTCAGCTACAAGCGGTAGGAGCGACCGCGAAACATAACTTTTCTTGCCCCGACTTTTGGTGTGCACCTCTCAACACAACAGCATCTCCAGATTTGATACCGCCCATCAGACCATGGCCGAAGACGAGAAGCCCCGCAAGTCGCGCTTCAAGCGAGTAAAGACGTCAGACGACCGCGAGAACCCATATCTGGCGCACATATACAACGAAAGCGATTCCTCGAGCGGCGTTACACTCAATGGTGGCGCGAATGGCCACAGTTCGACTGGCGGCGACGGTGACGGCGGGAGTGATTTGACGAAATGGAGGCGGCACAAGACGACGGCGACGATGGCACGGGCTGCTGAAGATGGACCCAACAACCCGTTCACGGGATATCCGCTCAGTCAGCGCTACTTTGGCATCCTCAAAACCCGGCGAGATCTGCCTGTGAATGCGCAGCGGCAAGAGTTCTTGGACATGTTCCATAAGGCACAGATTCTGGTGTTCGTTGGAGAGACGGGTTCTGGAAAGACTACGCAGATTCCCCAGTACGTGCTGTACGATGACCTTCCACAATTGCAAGGCAAGATGGTCGCTTGCACACAGCCACGTCGTGTTGCTGCCATGTCTGTTGCAGAGCGTGTGGCGCAAGAACTGGATGTGAGGCTGGGCGAGGAAGTGGGTTACAGCATTCGATTCGAAGACAAAACGAGTCCGAAAACCATCCTCAAGTACATGACCGATGGAATGCTGCTCAGAGAGGCCATGAACGACCACGATCTGAAGCGATACAGTTGCATCATTCTCGATGAGGCTCACGAGAGGACACTGGCTACAGATATCTTGATGGGGCTCTTGAAGGAAGTCGTTCTCAGGAGGCCTGACCTAAAAATCATCATCATGTCGGCCACACTTGATGCGCAAAAGTTCCAAAAGTACTTTGCTGTGCCTGCTGACCCCCAAGATCCTAAAAAGGTGACAGATGCACCGCTGCTGGCTGTGCCTGGACGAACACATCCTGTAGAGATCTTCTACACGCCGGAGCCGGAGCGAGATTATGTTGAAGCGGCATTACGAACAGTACTGCAAATCCACGCAACAGAACCTGAAGGAGACGTACTATTGTTCCTGACAGGAGAAGAAGAGATTGAAGACGTATGTCGTAAGATCAGCATGGAGGCCGATGAGATGATACGGGAGGCCGGTGCTGGACCATTGAAGGTCTATCCACTTTATGGCTCCCTCCCGCCGGCCCACCAGCAAAGAATCTTTGAGCCCGCGCCGCCTCCATATCAACCAGGCGGAAAGCCAGGTCGCAAAGTTATTGTATCTACTAACATTGCTGAGACATCTCTTACTATCGACGGTATCGTCTACGTAGTCGATCCTGGATTCAGCAAGCAGAAGGTCTACAACCCGCGGATTAGAATTGAGTCGCTTCTAGTCTCTCCGATCAGTAAAGCATCGGCACAGCAACGAGCCGGTCGTGCTGGACGTACGAGGCCTGGCAAGTGCTTTCGACTGTATACCGAGCAAGCGTTCAGAAAGGAACTTATTGAGCAGTCGTACCCAGAGATCCTGCGCTCAAATTTGGCCAGTACCGTTCTTGAGCTGAAGAAGCTTGGCATCGACGATTTGGTGCACTTTGATCTTATGGACCCACCCGCACCAGAAACATTGATGCGTGCGTTGGAAGAGCTGAATTATCTCGCCTGTTTGGACGACGAAGGTGAACTCACGGCACTTGGGAAGCTTGCCTCGGATTTCCCCCTGGATCCATCTCTTGCAGTCATGCTCATCAGCTCGCCTGAATTCTACTGCTCGAACGAGATCTTGTCAATGACTGCCTTGTTGAGCGTCCCACAAGTGTTCACCCGCCCTGCAGCGAAGCGAAAGCAGGCAGATGAGATGAAGCAGATGTTCTCTCACGAAGAAGGAGATCACTTGACAATGCTCAATGTGTACCACGCCTTCAAGGGTCCGGATGCGCAAGAGAACCCTAAGCAGTGGTGCCACGATCACTACCTGTCCTACCGCGCTCTCCAGCAGTGTGACAACGTGCGCATGCAGCTGAAGCGTATCATGGAGCGCGAAGAAATTGAGCTTGTCAGCACACCTTTCGACAACAAGGACTACTACACCAACATCCGCAAAGCACTGTGCACAGGTTTCTTCATGCAGGTCGCCAAGAAAGATACGTCTGGCAAGACGTACGTCACTGTCAAGGACAGTCAATCCGTCTTGCTGCATCCATCGACGGTGCTTGGACAAGACAGCGAGTGGGTCTTGTACAACGAATTCGTGCTCACTAGCAAGAACTACATTCGAACAGTGACTGCCGTGAAGCCGGAGTGGCTGCTGGACATTGCGCCCAACTACTACGATATCGATTCATTTCCGAAAGGCGAGGTGCAATCGAGTCTAAGGAGAGTGGCACAGAAGATGTCGAGGCGGAACGAGATGAATCGTCGTTGAACCTGTGTCGCAACCCAAAGCGTTTGACTAGCAGACTACCAGAAAGAGTCGGACACGCATAGTCGCCATCAAGGCATAAAAGTATAGAAAGCCCAGCCGAATGCATACGGTCGCTGTCCCCGCGACGTCGTCGTGCTCACGAGTCTCGCCTATCTGATTTCTCTCCACTGCGACCAGCTGCATTTTTGTACAAAAGAAGGCCGCCAAAGCGAATAAATTCGATCGCATGGAAATCGCATTGCATCTGCTGCCGCGCGCAGCAAAGATCCTGTAGAAAATCCGAAAAATGATAACCTTTGCTATCGTTCGTGCTGACACTGCCACTGCGCCTGACTGATTGATCTGCTCTGAGACTCCTGCAAAACAGTAGACAGCAGCTAGAACGAACGAGGCCAACCCCCACCCCCACAGCAAAGCAAAGCAAAGCAAAGCAAATGCTAGTCCCTTCACTACCTCCCGTTCAACGCCGTAATTTAAAATTCCAACAGCAAACATATCTTGCCACCCTACCAATACTTATAAACACTCTCCCGTTCCCAGCCTGCTATACGTAGAATAATCTCGAAAACTGAATCAAGATTTGCCCACATGTGCATTTGGCAACAGATGTAATTGCCAATATCACTTTCCCGCTGCGAGAGACTACAATCTGTCCGTGGAAGTATCGGAATTTTTGAGAAATGCGTCATGCGGGTCGAGAGAAGGGTCGTGGCGAGGTGCTATATGTGTGTCGCCCAGAGGAGCAAGTCTACTAGGTAACTAGGTAGGTAGTCGCATCGGCCATGAAAGCTCATGACGCGGAAGAGCGATGGTGAGTACCTAGAAGGTAGAAGCCGCCGTGAAATGAGTTTTCGATCGTGCTCTCTTCACAGCTCGAATTCGAATTCGAATTTGGGCACTTGCGGTGAGCGCTAGCGTTACTAAACATGTCCGTACAACAGAACACTTTCCACTTTTGCTGATATGAGGGCAACGTAACCGAAAAGCACTACTTGATTTCTTTGTAGTGCCTTGGTGGTTCTTATGAGCCGTATGATGAAAACTTGTTTAGACTTGTCTGGCAGCAGATGAAGGAATGTTGAGCCATCGATGTAATAATGTGTATTCACAAGAGCCCAACATGTCGAAACGTTCTCGCGACTGTGACTCAGGCGTGTCTCAAGATGTGATACATGTACCTACCTAGGTAGGCTTGGAAGAAGCGCAGTCCTCGGCGGAAAGCAATTCGATCGGTCACCAGGTGAGGTTCTTCTGTTTTGACGCCATTCGCAGTCCTGTCTGCCTGTCGAGTACATATAAGCTTCTCACAAAGATACCCGGCTTCATCGTCTAAGGCAGAGAGTTATACTAGGAAAATAGTAGCTAGTACCCTACCTAGTAGGTTTTTGGAGCTAGGATAGTCAACTCCATACCAGGTTTACTCCAACTCTTCGCTGTACTAAGGTAGGGTAGTATCTCGTACGACATCATCACTCTGCATACAAAGCATTTTATCTTTCTCAAGGTGTACACGCAAAGTTCGGCAAACACCTCGCTAATCCACACATCTACTATCCCAAGAGAGAGAAAAAAAAAAGAAGTTAGAATCCCACAGCGATCGCTAAAAGTCGTCGTCTTTTGAAAAACAAAAACTCACCAACACCTCAATCTCAGTTTCCTCAAATTCTCCCTCCTTCCTTTTTCTTTACTACCTACACACTCTCTCCCTCCCGCTCCACACTCAAATCACATCCCCCCCTCCGCATCGGCATCCCCATCCGCAATTTCCTGCTGCAAAACAATCGAATACACACTCGCTTTCAACAGCGTAAACACCGTCGTCGTTTTCCTCTCCAATCCCCTCAAAGAATCCAAAATTTCCGCCGAAGGTTTCGCTGCGAGATCATTGAGGACTGCAGCCAACTAGAGTTTCATCATAATAACATTTTTCTGTCAGTGAGAGGCCAAAAAAAAAGTGCAGAAAAGAAAACGCAAGAGAACCAAACGGATCGGGAGAGACAAGTAAAGTAGCTAAGTAAGTAAGTAGGTAGGTTGAAGAAAACGGAGGAAAGGAAAGAAAAGGAAAGGGAGAGAAATACGTCGTCTAAATTACCCACGAGTTTGGCGTATTCGTCAAGGACTTCTTGCTCGAGGGGAGAGAGGAGTTCTTCGGGGTGGGGATGATGGTGAGCGGTGGATGAGCTGGGGCGGAAGTCGTCCATTCGAGTGGTAGGTATGTAGAGAGAGGTACAGGTAATCTTTGGTTTTTTTGATGCCTTGGAAATTTGCGGTTGTTGTCTTCGGTTGTGTCGGGTACTTCCAATTGGTGAGTGAGGTGGTGGCTTTAGGTACTGTATGTAAGTCGCGTTCGAAAGCTGCCTGGAAGACTGAGGTCGCGTTTTTCTTGGCGTTTGCAATTGCGCAAGCAAGAACACGTGAAACCGTGATGAGACGAGAGGATCAGATAAGTATGAGATACATCATGTATGCGACCAAGAGACAGAACAAAATCAAGTGATATAGACTACTTTCATTCGCATCATTCATCAATAGCACTGTTCAGAGCAGCTCACTTTTCGGTCCTGCTGCTGGGCCTGACCAGTAGTCTTGCATCCACAATTCATTCCAATGCAGCCTGCCCAAACTCCTATCCGTATGCAATATTTACATTATCCGGGAGTCGATGGCTCCACAAACGCCCATCTCTCAGCTCTATGAATGCTATCATGCTATCAATAAGCATGTTTGTGATGGTCGACCTCGTTCCGGCCAGTCCATGTGTTCGCGTGCACATGGTCTGCGAGCGCCAAGGTTACCGATGGCCATTGGACTCTTCGTGCTGATGATGCGATTCGTCTCCTTCGTGGTGCAAGGTCACACTGTTGAACTCCTCGAATGGATCTGCAATCTCTCCACCTGGAGTTTCGAGTCCAGAATCCAGAGGCACACCCTTCATCTTGCTCGCAGCTACACCGAAGCCTTTGTTCGGACCCGCAGGTCCACTACCCAAGTCTATACTGTGAGACTCCTTCACATTCCTGAAGTTGACAGTATCCACACCACGGCCTTGATTTGGAATAATGGGAGGTTTCGAGTGTCGCAGTAACGCCCATGTAGTTGTGCGAAAGAAAGGATGCGCCTTGACATCAGAGGCGCCAGCACGAGAGCCTAGGCGGCGTAGTTCATCCTTGATCAAAAGTTTACGGATCAAAGACTTGCAGAGACTAGCAGCAGGGTTAGCACGATGCGGCATACGTAAATGAGAGATGAAGCTTACTTGGAGGTAGTCTGCGACCCAGAGCCTTCTGGGAATGGCACTTCATCGCGAAGAATATTCGCAAAGGTAGCGTTCCTGTTCTTGCCCTTAAAAGGTGTTGTTCCGAACAGCATCTCGTAGATCAGGATGCCGAGCGTCCACCAATCCACTGCACTCGTATGTCCGCAACCTTTAATCACTTCTGGTGCAATGTACTCTTCCGTACCGACAAATGAGTTTGTACGGAAATTGGCAATGCAGCTCTTCGTGTCGATCGTGGGCATGTTGCTGGGGTCCGGGCGACTGGAGATGCCGCCACTGGCGCCTCGGCCACCGCCCATGATCATAACTGGTCCTCCACCTGGATCTGATTGCTTGGACAAATCGAAGTCGCTAAGCATTATGTGCCCAGATTGATGCAAAAGGATATCTACCACTCATTAGTTCTCGAATCAATTGCGAGATTCCTTGGCTACTCACTCTCAGGTTTCAAATCTCTGTAAATGAATCCCATCAGGTGCAAGTACTCCAGCGCAGCAGTGACTTCAGCTGCATAGAATCGTGCCGCGTCCTCATCGACACACTTGTTCGGGCGCGTTTGCAAGGCTCGGAAGAACTCTCCTCCGCTGCAATACTCCATGCAAAGGTATAGATGATCCTCGGACTGGAAGGAGTGGTACAATGTTACAATAAATGGGTGATTACTCGTTGCCAGGATTTCCTGTTCAGCGAGCGCGCGCTTGATCTTGTTGCGCTTGATCATCTCCTTCTTCGAAAGGACTGCAGAGAATTAGTACTCCTTCAACGTACGACCACCGATGCCTTCGCACTCACCCTTCATAGCATATAATCTGGCGCTCTTCTTCTCCCTGACCAGATACACTTTACCCACATCACCTTTGCCGATGAGCTTGATCTTGTCAAAGCTGCTGGGTCCGACCTCCACAGTCCGGACCTTGATACTGTTACTACTATAGGTCCTTCTGAAGGCGATGCTGTTGTGTAGCTTGCCAGGAGTGATGGCGCCATTGATGCCAGGCACGGGGAGTAGGTCGCCGTTCGAGGGAACTGTCTCTACCATGCTCAAAGCACTGGCATTGCTATGAGAGGCGATGCCGTTCATCTTCGGCAGCGGCGTATCCGAATCCTCCGCTGTCTCTGGCCTGCTGTCTCCGCTGCCTCCCTTGCCCTTGCTGAAGAGTCCCTGGGCATTAGGAGCACTCGCAACTCTGCGTAGCTTCCTTGCCAACTCCTCTTTCCCGCTTGTGCCATTGGCGTCCTTTTGAGCAGTTCCCGGTGACATTTTCCTCGACATCTGCGGTGTATCAGGAGGGGAGGGCGGAATGCTGTTATCGTCATGGTGGCGCAGTGCTGGCGGGCCCTGGTGTTGGAAGTATGGATTGGCGTGCGCTGTGGGACTCATCCCGTCATCGAGTGGATTTCCTTCACTCGCCACGGTTGTGCTCCTACTCCGACCGATATGAGGCAAGAAGCGGCTGCTCCGCAGACTGCTTTTGTTGTTCGTGGTCGACTGAGGTGTGCGGGCCCCATCGTGCTGCCCGTCACCTAGAGACGCCTTTTCCGAGTCGGAGGCATTGCTATTATGCGTCTTGCTGGGAAGGCGGAAAAAGTTCTTGATCTTCTGGCCGGTGGTGTGGGATCCGTTGGCCGAGTGCTTGCTGGCGCTGCTGAAGACCCGCTTCGTGCTGCCAGTCTCGGAGGAGGCGGAGGGCATGCTGGGCGAGTTTTGTCGCGAGGCTGTGAGAGCCGTCATGCCATTGCCGTACCGAACATGTACTCGCTCACTCCCGCTGCCGTACAGAGCAGTCCGAGTGTGGCGTGGTGTGGTGTGGTGTAGTATGGTATAGGGAGAGCCGATGATATGTCAGCGGAGTCGTGGAAGGCCAAGGAGTGGGGACCGCGAGCTCCCGCGCCCTATCCGTGTGTGTGGTGGTGCTTCGGCTAATGCTGTTATTCTAGCGCGAGGTGGCTGTGTGCGCAAGCAGTGGAGTGAGGTGTGGGATGAGGTGATGGTGGCACAATTAGGTAAGGTAGGTAGGAGGAAAGGTAGAGCAACAGCAGTGAGCGTTGCCGCAACTACTGGGCGGGGGAGTGCAGACGGGAGGAGAGGAAGAGATGGATCCAGCAGTCGCTGTTGAAGATGGGGAGGAACAAATCAACAAGGTCAGGAGCTCCCTCCTACGGCAGTGTGCATAGGCAGAGACACTCCAGCTCACCCACAGACCGAGTGACCGACAAGCAGCTCGGCAGGGCAGGTCCAGACAGGCTTCTGGCTCGCAGTTCTGGGAGTCGGATCGATATTTGTGGGTCCAAAGCCCGTTCCACCGTCTGAGACCTGGCCCACTTTCTGTTTGGTACAGCATGATTACTTCTTCATCTTCTCCTTCTCTGTCCGCAAGCTGCCTACTACCTCCTCGAACGACAGGTACAGGTACCCTAGATACAAGTATTTGCAATTCCGATCCGGAGCCGGTCAATGACCCTCGCGCAACGTCGATTCACTCACTGTCAGTGAGGTAACGATTCACTTCACATGATTGGAGCACAATCGACCTACCACAGCTGTGGCACAACATCGGAGAGTCTCGATCGGAGATGCGGCAGGGTCCTGATCGGCTTCTAACCCATCCACACACATCCTCGGACAGAGAGTGCATTTTGCTGCGCCTCTCAGCCTCGACGTTGGTAATCGACAGGATGCGCGACAAAGCAGTAGTTCGTTCTAGTTCCTCTGCAGTCTGCACAAAGCGAGAGGCGGGGCGGGAAGGTGCACAATGCAACCGCAGGGATCGCATGAACTCAAGAGCCCCAAAGTGTCCAAACACTCGGCTTTCTCCTAAACTTAACTGTCTTAACATGTATGCTTCACGTGTACTCGCCACTTGCCCTGCTGCTGCTATTACCTTCTACCAGGTACTTGCTCTCATATAAGATTGAGATCCGAGGCACGCTGTCCAGTCAGTCCCTGTAGTTGCGAGTGCGTGATGTGCTGGAAAACAGGACCACTGAATACTGACTACAAGACATACAGCCGGCATAAGCCTGATGTTGGAAACAATTCCCGACAGATGGGATTAGGAACGAGCACGCCAGATCGGTGTCAATGCTGTCATTATGCTGATACCCGTCGCTGTCACCGTGTATACTAGGTACGGTAGGTATTCCGTGGCTCTATTTTAGTTCTCCTGGAAAGTTGAAACCTCTTCCTACCTCACCTTGAAACAAGCTCAACAAGCCGAGAGATGAAGCCTCGTGGCAAGACGTCCGATCTTCGGATGTCCGATTGTCCGATATCGTCACAACTTGGCCACTGTAGAACGTGCGAGATCTCGCATGACGACCTCAACAGAGATGAACGTCAAAGATCATGCGGGCATGCATAACTCATTCAGAAGGCCGAGTCAGCGATGAGACTCACGGCATACCTAGACCGGGCAAACATTGGATGAGCAGCAGGTGAAATTGTCTCCTGCTCCGGACCAGTCTCGAGGGCGGCACCTCTTGGCGGTAGTCTTTACAACACGAGTAATCACAGCGCATTCATCAGGCTACAAGATGACGAGCTACAAGACGACCTGATCACACAGCTAAGCTTCCAACAAAACTTTCACAATGCATACATGTATGTACTCTACGAGCGTCTGGTTCTCCTCGCGCTGAGCCATCCAAAATAAAGCATATCGACCCGCATATCCACACCCGGTCAGCGGGTACTAAGGCAGAGCTACCCACAAGGCCATCGCAAGCAAGCACAGCACGACCAACGTTAACAATCCCGCCTGCCACGGGTTTCCACAATCCCTGCAAGCATCCACCCCATCATCAGCATCATCCGCCTCCGTCTCATAAACCTCCGCAACCACAGAAAACCACTTTCCCTTCCCCAGCGTGTCGCCATACACCTCCCCCGGAGTATTCGAAGTTCCATATCCAACTTCGCGACCTCTCTGTTTTCTCAAGAGCGCCATTCTAGCATTCGCAATTCTCTTTCTGCGATCTTCTGGCGACGGCTGCTGCGCCTCGACATCAGCAAGCCAACTCCACGTGGAGAGTTTCACACCACCCTGGTGATGATTGATCCAGGAAGCTCGCTGGCCGCTCTCGTCGCGAGGAACTTCAAAACCGATTCGCATACGGTCGTCTGCTTCGGATCGTCGAACGTCGACATCGCCCGAATCTGCTGATGAACTTGTGGCCGAAGAAGCTGTGGAAGGGCTGGTGGCGCGAATTGCTGCTGATGTACTGCTAGGCAGAATCCAGGAGTAGGCAGGTGTGGGTGGTCCGTCGGAATCTTCGGCCGTTTCTGCAGCCGAAGTAGCTTCGATCTGATCAAGAGCTTGTTCGATGGCATTAAGAGCCTTTCGAGAGACAGGACGACGGCCTCGTCCTTCGTGGTCTTCTTGTTGTTGTGTTTGTTGCGACATCGTTGTTGTTGTGGTGGTGGAAAGGTGCAACTCTTTCGCTCAAAACTAATCAGGTCCGGATCTCTTGTAGCAGTCTAACTTCGAGTTCCAAGTTCTTCGTGGGGGAGAGCAAGGTAAGATGGTGTTGTTCTTCTTCTTCTTCTGCAAGAAAGTGCTGATGTTTCGATGCGAGAACAAAACTGTACGACGTTTCTCTTGTTCACAGAAAACCGAGTGACATATACCCACCCCCCAGCCTGTCCTCATTATTTTTGAAGGTACCTTCAGAGTATATGCCTGTAAGCTTCATCATTACCATCCATCCGTTCCACAGAATCTATGCTCTTTAATAGATTTGTCCTCACTTTTTTTTCCCCGGATTAGACTTTCGGTGCTGTCTAGGTAGCTTCCACGAGCTACCTATGGGTCAGAAAAAAAGATAAAAAGACATTCGACCACAACTTTTCCATCGAGGAGGGTAGGTGTGTCTGTGTGTGTGTATTTGTAAACGTGTACGTGACCTGCGAAATAATTTCGAAAATCATAAAATAGGTAAGCCCTTGCTTGCATCTCCCATCCGGGCTCGGCGCTTTTTTTCTTTTCTTTTTGGTTGGTGGTAGAGTAAGGAGGTAAGTACTGTACCTAGCTTGTGTGACAGGTACCCTCCCTCCACCTTTCTAACCAAGTATTGGAGGGGCCGCTACCTAGGAGGTAGGTAGGTAAGTAATGTACCTAAGGTAGGTAGGTAGACTTGATGGGTGAGGTGGTAGGTGGTGATGATCAGCGTAATTCTTTTTTTCATCGCCTTGAAATATTCCGGAGAGGGAGGGGGACAGGACGACATATATCACACCATGTGCGAGGAACCTGTGTAGGTACATTGGAATAAAGTAGTCTCGGCATCATGTCTTATCTACTGGAACTCTTCCCATCGTTTGTCGTGTAAGAGAGTGCTGACAGCACATTAGATCCTGGGCTGAAGTCATCGTTTGACGAGCCTAATATTCGGCAGAGCTTGTACGCCTTGAATCTTCACGTGTTTAGCCACATTAGGCTGTCACTACTGCATGGGGTCGGTATGGAACTGTGGATATACGTTGTTCCTGTACTTCGGGCTGAGCTTGAGTGGCTGTGGTAGACAGCATTTTACTAATTACCTTACCTATGTATACAAGCGCACGTCGCTCGCCTCTCTCAAAGAAGCGGCTTCCATGCACACACCTGGGCCCGGCTCACCAGTCCCCGCCAATGGAATATCGTACTCGCGAAATTCAAGCAAATGGGTATCCAGAGCTCCATCCTGATTCAACCTTCATCTGCGTCAAAATGATTGCCTTGCTTCATCATTTATTCGTGGCTTCGTCGCGTCGTAGGCCACGCACCGGCTCGGGCTAGTCTGCGCCAGGTCCCATGTGGCAGCAGCTTGCAACAAGCTGAGTCCCCCTTAACTTCAGGTCAGGCAGTCTGCGAGGTGAGCTGTCAAGCAAGCTTGCCAAGCATTGCCCTCGCCAACCGACCCTGTGCGCAGTACGTGTGCGCATCGAGGAGTCGCAATGTGATTGTAGCTTTCGTACACCAGTCTCTCGCTCACTCAATCAGCGGCCTTCTTTGCGTGCCCACCATCGTGATACCCAAGGCACGAAGTCCGGCGGGATCATTGGCTCTAATGATAGACGCGGCTGGTAACATAGGATTGTCGGGCGAAATGTGGGCCGCATCTTTTGCAGCCTGTTCAATAGCCTCCATCTCCTCCTTACAACCGGCATGGTCGAAAGGACATACAACAATGGGCTGCCGTAGCAAGATATCACGCGCAGACGACAGCTTTGCCTGGGAGTCCATTAGCATCGACAGGTACAAAACATCAAGCTCATCACTCACCTTGACTGTAAGATAGTACTCAATCTTATACAGCGTTCCCGTTGTCGTAAATCCCCCCACGCTGTACATCGGGAATTCTTTTCGCCCTCTGGGCAGAATACCTTCGCTGTCTCGCAGCTCGCGCGCCGGGAATACGAGACCCAGGTTTGTGAAGTAGCCTGCCTCCGGTAACTTCACTCCAACGCTTTGCTTGTGCTTCGCCAGCGTCTTCGTTTTCCTTACAGGCTCATCCCCTTCAGGATTGTAAATGATCTCCTCGTCGATACCGACAGTAATGTCCTGTATAGTCACTCGCTTCGCCTTGCTCGTCCAGTCTGGGTTCGGCGAGAGCTTGATGTAAACTGACACGGGATCCAGTGGCCCGTAACTCCAACGTGGCAGGCTGATACCGAGCGTAACGAGATGATCCGTGACTCTCTCCGCACTTTCCGGCCGGTTGTACATACCAAATGTGCTCAATGTGTCGTACCTCGATATTGGCACTGGGAAAGGGTACTTCCGCTGCTCCTGATGGCCTTGCTGAACCGTCACCACAATCTCATAAAACGTCTCTGCCGTTCTCTTGTCCAGTTGTAGACTTGCTGGAGGTACGCGCCTTGCTATTTCCTCTCCTCCACGGCCATAGGGTATGAATATCACAAAAGGCAGATCCATGCATAGAATAGACTCTGACTCCTTTCCCTGTGCGCATCTGAACAAAAGCATCTCCTTCCCCACAATATCCGTGATCTCTTTTCGGTTCGAGGAATTGAGATTTCGCACAAATGAGTCGGCATTGGGTTGTATCGACTCCCGCCGTTGTAGGGACACCGTGACGAGTGAGATGTTCACAGGCGCGCTCACTCCCACTCCTGGCCTTATCTCGACGCGACCCTCTATTCGTGGCTACAGAAAAGACCACATTAGCATGGCGGTCCCCCCTCGCGAGCTACCAGCCTGGGCGCATAGTTCCATTACCTACCAAAGTCGCAGATATGCCTGGATATCCCACCAGGAAATTACTATTGGGTGGACCCGATACCCTCACGAATGCTGCCATAGCTCACGTAGGCCCAGAAAGTGCAGCGTGTTCGTCTTGACCGCATGTGGTCCTCATGCGGCAGCTGGCCGCCTCTGCCTCTGGTGGTCCTCCTAGATCTATACGTCCTCCACGCTGCCAAATTCGGTGTGCTCCAGGGGGTCGAGCTCGACCTGCTTTATTCCTGCTCTTGTGATGTCACGGCCAGAACAGTAAGCGAAGCAGTGCTCCAGGCGAGAGATATAGAGCAGCCCAGGCTTCCACAGCCTAGGCGAGGAGCTTCGTGGTTCGGCCTCGCCGGTGCGATAGGTGCATATGTCCAGCAACGAAGGATATAACGCACAAAAGGGTGAGTATGAATGCGGCTGGCGATTCGTGCGACTCGAGCGATTATGAAGTCGGCAAATTGAATGGAAGAGTAAGAACAGTGACGATGTTATGAAGAGCGTAGAAATGCCGTACTGTGTCTTACAACGGTAACGCCGCAACTAGATCTCGCGGGACGGGAGGTTTCACCAAGACAAGCTTGCGTCCTGTGCGTCCATAATGCGGAGGGAACCTTGATCGTGTCCTGCAAACCTTGCGCTGCTTACTGTACAAGTTACAACACTTCGGTCTGGATCTCAGCTGTGCAGGCCACTCTTCTCCTTCTATCACGGATCCCCTCATCTCAGCTGATGTTCGTTGTCCCATTGCTGCCGCTTCAGCTAGCTGACTGACGAGGCGACCCTCTCCTGAGCTCCTGAGCAGAACGAAGCTAGAATAATCACGCCGACGTGTGATGAGTGCGCAGCTGCAGGTATCGCATAGCATTTAGACAGAGATGTCTGTCACGCTGTACACAACCCATGGCAACATAAAGCTAGAGCTTTTCTGTCAGGCGTGCGAGAAGACGACATATAACTTCCTAGCCTTATGTGCAAGCGGCGCCTATGATGGCTCTCCATTCCATCGACTGGTGAAGGATTTCATCATTCAAGGAGGATCGCCAGCAAAAGGTAGCACAAAGGAGTCGACGTCAATATGGGGCGAGAATTTCGAAGATGAGATCAAACCGAGCCTGCGACATCACCAACGAGGCATGCTCTCGATGGCCAACAAGGGACCTGGTACGAATGGAAGCCAGTTCTTCCTCACGCTTTCAGCAGCCGCACATCTCGATGGAAAGAACACCGTTTTTGGACGCGTGCTGGAGGGCTGGGACGTTTTGGACAAGATTGAAGAGATACCGGTGGATAAGAAGAGCAGGCCGCAGGAAGCCATCAAGATACAGAGGGTGCAGATACACGCCAATCCCCTGGCAGACCAACAGCGATGAAGAAGGAATGGCAAATGGCGATATTCGATGTTGACGGACCCACAGCCGATGCATATAAATCACCGATAAATGGTGAGTTAGAGAACAGCTCGCCAAGCTCGTGTCACCGAACCACGATGGGACATTCGGGTCTGTGACGGAGATACAATCCTGCCGCCGTGCTGGCAGAGATTGAGAGCGTACATGGCGGCTGCTCAACACGGTCCACAAATGCAAGGGTCAGCAGCGTGGCAGGGACGACCGCAAGCAAGCCCGAGAACTTGACTTTGGAATATTAACTCGGGAGCATATACTACCCACTGGCTGTTCAAAGGCGTGGCAAACAAATAAGGTAGGAATTGTATGCATTGAGCATGAAGTGAAGCCAAAAGCATTCGTCCTCTCCTTCCCCATTCGTTCGCGCACCTTCCTCCCAACGTCCCGCGAGTTGCAATTATGAGCACACTCCATTTCTTTCCATGGATGGCTTCACCAACCACCTGCACTTTCTGCCTCGCTGACTGACACGTTAACGCCACACACACTTGCCCGTGTCTCGCAACGCTCACATCGGCCGTCTCACGTCACAGTACCATCACGCGCTACCACGCATCGCCCACATGGACCTCTGCAAGAACTGTGGCTCTTGCCACTTGGGCGTCGCGGCGATTCCGTGCGCGATCCCGGTGCGTCGATGCGATCACTGCCATCAATTGGGACACAACACCAACTTCTGCCCGTTGGGCACGACGGATGGTCGTGGAAATGTAGGAATAGCACAGAAGGTATGATTCTCCTAATTCAGCACTGAAGACGATTCTGACTTTGCAAGTACTTTATGGTCTGTGCAAATTGCGACCGCTGGCATCTCCCATACCCGTGCCAATCTCCACTGCACCACTGCGAACAATGTGGGAACTTCGGCCACATCGCAGTCCACTGCCCCATTAATCCAGCCGCGAGACCTTCGCAACGCGTCGGCGAGACCAACAGGCCCCAGCTCCTGCCACCGCCGCAGCTAGCGTCATCGGGACACAGCCGCAAGCGACATCGTCCCAACGACGACGAGCAGGACAGGCTGATGGTCAAGCTTCCATTGGCCGTTCTGGACATCAAACATGTACACCCTGGTACGCAAGTATCCGCGCTCAGTGCGTTATGACATGCTGACATCTTTCAGTTCTCGTCCGAAACATTCAGCATCACATGGCAGGTCGGCTGACCCAAATGCTCACCACCCACTCGCGCGAGGACGTATTGGCGCTGCTCAAGCATCACGTGCCTCTTCCTCAAGCTGGATCTATAACCAGAATCGCAGCGCCCCCGTACAGTGCCAGCGCCGACATCAAGTCCGAAGGTGCATATCTGCCACAATTCGCCAATCAACAGCAGCACCTGCAGCAAGTGGTCACAGCTGCGTCTCCACCCTCGACGCAGGCGTTCGGTGTTCCAGTCACGCCCCAAACCGCACAGAAGGTGAAGAGAGGTAGCGTGCTTTCTTGTCCTGATCCCAGCGACGAGCAGGTACATGCTCAGACAGGCACTGTGAACGGCGGTCGTAACAGCGTACTACAGCCCCTCCCCCCGGAAGAGCATAGTATGCGCTGGGGGTGGGGAAGAAATCAACCTATCGCATATAGTCGCATGAACTCTCAAGATGGAGCTCAGCACACCATCACTGGTGATATCTATGGCGACCATGCCTCACCTCGCAACTATCAGCAGTCAGGGGTGCCGACCCCTGCCGAAAACGGCATCTCATATCAAGTCACTCCGTCGCAGGTGTGGACCCTCAACACTGGCGAAGGCGACCTCAATGTTCTAGCAACTGCTGCGGCGCACGTGACATCTCATGGAGAGGAGACTTTGGAGACACACGATCCTGTTGCCACCACAGCCCAACAGCCCAACGAGCAGTACACTAATGCCATGGACTTCAGCCACCTGCTCAATAGCGACTCGGCCTCGGGTCCTTCGCCGCCCGGCGAGGACGATGAGGAACGCAATGGAGAGCTTCAGGACGATGCCAATGTCTCATTGCCAAGGCAGCAAGAAGTTCCAGAGGAGCAGACTGAGCAACTCAACGCAGAGCTCCAGAATGCTGCTGAGGTTCAGCAACCGAAGAAGCGAAGCCACCGCAAGAGGAGTGAGTTCGACACACGCTCGCCGGTATCGCCGTTCTCGCGCTGATGATTAGTAGAGAATTGGTAGACTTGTGCTTGAGACGGTGTCTCGATGGTCGTCGGATGTGTCTTCATTAAGGAGTCAACTTTCTCCTTGACGACGCTATTGCGGCATACTCGCAGTTCTTGCTCACATCGGTGGGGCAGCACACTGCCGCAGCTGGCCAAAACGGTCGGCGTCGGCCAGTCTCAGAACTCCAGTCGGAGTGGCTGTTAGAGGCTGTTAGAGGCTGTTAGAGGGGAGCATGAATTAGCTTCTGTATGGGTTAGATTGCACAACACCCTCCACTCGTCGGCATCAATTTCCCATGCATGCTTTCATCTTTCCCTGTGGCTATGGTATATGCCCGCTAGCCACTGAATCGGTGAAATTCCCATTTCTTCATAGTAGAACGCGGCTTGTTTACTCATGCCAGGACTATTCAAGCACCAAAAGTTTTTTTGCATGGTATACGTCAGATCCACAGTATCAGCCAAGGACTCACCATGGTGCGCTTTATAGAGATGGCTACATGTACGGTATGAGAAGCGCTAGAGTTGGTAAGTTATCAAGACTCATGATGAAGCATTCACCTTCTAGCTCTGTCAATACTACGGAGACACCTGCGCATTGGGAACAAATCGACATTAGACAAGATACCTTATAATAGAATTTCTATGCTCCTTTGGCGCTCGTGCGCCCACCTCCATAGAGTCTGGTGAGCTGCCAAGGGACGTATTTGGAACACATGGATTGTGTCCAAGTGGATATCTGCAGATGAGGCTCTTGTGACATCGTGAGGATCTTGGTTGTTGTTGATGTTGATGAATGGCGACCTCCTCTGGTATATGGCTTCGCTTCGGTCTTAACGGCGATAGCCCATGCAGGGTGGATTCAGGTGGATTCACTTACTTCCGCACTTTCCACCTCGCGTTGTCCCATACATTCGCCCGTCGCGGGCACCTTTCTCACGCCATGGCCATCTACATCGCCGTCCAGGCGCTCTTCGATGGCATTGAGTCGATTCCGTGGATCTGGCCGCTTCTCAAGACGGCTCCATGGCTCTTCTTCCTCTGGCTGCTCAAGACGTTTTTTCAAGGAGCCAAGAACACCAGTGAAAGACAGATGCATGGCAAAGTCGTCCTAGTGACAGTAAGAACTGTTATCTGTTGGATATGGACTGGTTTGCTAAGCAATTGGTCCGATATAGGGCGGCACATCAGGCGTAGGGGAAGCGACAGTTCGATCACTGGCAACACGAGGCGCACAGGTTGTCCTCCTCACACAGCACGCTCTCAACGATCCCTTCATTGTCGACTTCATCCAGGACCTACGCGATGAGACGAACAATCAGCTGATCACGGCCGAACAAGTCGATCTAGCCTCGCTACACAGCATAAGGACGTTTGCGACGAAATGGATAGACAATGCTCCCCCGAGACGGCTAGACATGGTCATTTTATGTGCCAACACGATCACACCAGGGACGAGTGATATTCAGAGCACCAGCGAGGGAGTTGAGGTCAATTGGCAGGTCAACTATCTGGGCAACTTCCATCTGCTGAGCATACTGAGTCCAGCATTGAGGGCTCAGCCACCTGACAGGGACGTAAGAGTTGTGTTTGGCACATGCAGTTCATATATGGGAGGAGATCTACTGCATATCACGCAGGGTGTAGGAAGCAAGAGCAAGGATAGCAAGCAGAAGCTGGACAAGTCGTTTTCAGCGCCAACAAAGTTCAGCCCGGGCAATGCATACGCTACGAGTAAGCTTGCTCTGACCACCTTCGCCCTGGCCTTCCAAAAGCATCTGGCTGTCTATAAAAGACCAGATGGGTCGCCTAATAATGCAAAGGTGCTGCTCGCAGACCCTGGTCTTTGTAGGACGCCTGGGACGAGGAGATGGTTGACTCGTGGTTCGCTTTTTGGCTTGCTGCTGTACCTCATCACGTACCCGCTGTGGCTTCTAGTCCTCAAATCACCTGACTCTGGGTCTCAGAGTTTCTTGTACGCGTGTATGGAAGAGAAATTTGCTCGCGGAACGGGGGGTGTCCTGATCAAAGAAGTGAAGGAGAGGGCCTATCTTAGAAAAGATGTTGAGGATGAGGATGCGCAGAAGAAACTTTGGCAGTACAGTGAGCAGATGGTGCAAGAGGCAGAGAAACGAGGCGCGGAGTACCGGGCGAAACGCAAAAGGGAAGAGCAAGAGGCCAAGGACGAAGAGGAGGCTGTGAAGCAGATGCAGGACTACAAGGAGAAGGTTGGCAAGAAGGACAGTAAGACCACAGGGAGCAGACGGAGCAAGAAGGTGGGGTGAGTGAATGACAGAGACACGCTACGTTGACTCGGTATCTCTCTCGGTCGTATCGTTGGCTACCTACTTGCAAGTCTTGAATCTAGCACGCGTGGCCGTTTGCTGTGAAGCAATTGGCACAATTTCAGGCGCCATCACCCGTCGACGATGAACGGTGCGTGTACACCACTTGATATCACTCGGCAATCCGAGAGTAATGTCGTCGTACTGGAATCGAACGTGAGTCAATATATTCGTACGTTTTGCATTGCATGTGTCCCAACCGCCTCAAAACTGAACTGATATTTGGAAAGAAGTGTGTGAGTGGGTCGGGCCTCAAACGGTACACGGCAAATGGTGGGCGGGTGCAGTGTGCCATTCAGGTCGCCTCCAATTTTCTACTACCACCCACCTACCTTTCTGCCTGCCCCACGTTCATTAACACGCATCGTGCACGTTAAAAAACTTACTTCTCGAATATTGGAACTTCAGCCTGGTACCTGCGCGCCATCTCCCTCATCTCAGCTCCAGCAAGACGCCCCGAATAGATTTCGGCGGCCATGACTTCCAATGACCGTACGTTGACGGCACCGCTGCTCCGCCTGCCCTTGGAGCTTCGCAACGAGATTTGGAGCATGCTTCTCCTGAACTTCGTAGCCATTCCTTTATCAACTCAAGGAGTCCGAACCAAGTCGTCTCGCGTTGTGCGCAATCCGGACATCCACTGGTCCAAGCAGTATATGTTCGCTGAGCCACCAAATACAGGTCTTCTTCGAATCAACAGACAGATTCATACGGAGACTATCGCCTTCCTGTACAGCATTAACAGATTTGTCGTCAAAGACATCCTCACACTCCGCCGCTTTCTGGAGACAATCGGACCTGGCGTCACACATATCACCGGCGTGACGCTGCAATCCGACGCGTTGATGGGCCGATCGCTCTCGTCCGCAATGCCTAAGCTGAGATTGTGCCGAAATCTCACGTCTCTGAAAGTCTGCCACCCTAGCCTTTGCGCCGCCACGGACGACGCGGTTGGCGCCATTGCTTCTGGCTTCGTCAAAGATCTCGAGCCGCTACTTGATGTGTTGGCCCCGATATTCACGGAGAAGAATCTTGCAAAATCTATTGCTAATCTCGTTCGAATCAGCCACGGAAGGTGCCCGCGTTGCCTTCACAAATTCAGCGGCCGGTGTGGGAAAGGCCTACCATGTGGGTGCAGCTGTCTACAAGGATTTTCGAAGGCAAGAGATATGGAAATCGAGATTGGAGAACTCATCGCGCAGAGGTACGGGGTCGAGTATTGGCCTGACTTTGACTGGTGGGATCTGAACGAAGCCGGAGGAAAAGCGTGGTACCTTGAAGAACAGCATATCGCGTGGCTCAAGGAGAAGGAGGAGACGGAGAAGCTGGAATCCTTGAGAGTGCTCTTTCAAGATCAGAATGTTGCATGTTCTTGCAGTTCGCCGATTTGTCGAGGTGAAGCGTGAGACTCCGCATGACTATGGCTTACACATGGACAGTCACCCAGTGACTTGGAGTCTCTATGAAGGTACATATCTATGCCGAGCGGCTCATTGTCCCTCAGCAGTGATCGGATCGTGTTCTTCGTCGGTCTCAGATTAGCCAACCTGGCTTTGCCTGGCCTAAGCAGGACGAATAGCAGGCACGATGTAATTAACTAGAGAGACTCATGCCCACTCCTACCGGGTAGTGTACAAGTCAACTCAAATAGTTAAATCCTGCAATCTCGAACCAAGCTCCTGCTCCGGATCCTCTCTATATGTGCGTGTAGCCACAGGCAACATAACATGTTCTTCCACAACATCCTCCTCCGTGGGTGCTGACAGCCCTCTCGCCGCCCAGTATCTTATCCAATCCTCTTCAAGGTCCACAATCATTGATTCCTTCCAAGCAAGAATCAGCGCCCGAGCAGGTACCGTGCCAGAAGGTCCCACTTACAGTGTGTTGCCGCGAGTTGATTACCACCTGATCCCTGCTATCCATCTGTCGCAGGAGAAACATCCCGTGCTCGAGATGTTCTTTGCGGCGCCAGTAGTCCGAGGTGCATCTAGACCCGAGCTGACATGCTTGCACTTGTATGAGGCGCGGACACTCGAAGTTGAACTCTAGTTCACGGCACTTCTGCTCTGCGGCTTCCAATTTGCACTCTCTGTGCAGGTTCACAGCCTGCGAGGAGAATGAGCATTGTAAGGGCTGGGCTGGTAAGGTGGCGTACTCACGATCTGGTACTCGTTGTTGTAGTAGCGGAAGATGTCACCGCTTGACGTGGTGGCCATTGGTTTCGGTTGCGGTTTGTCGAAGTGCGAATGTGCAGTTTTCGACGATGAGCGTGAAGATCTGGTGCGCGCACAGTGTGAAGCGACCTAGGTAGTTGAGAACACAAAGAAATGACACCATGCACCCTCTAAAGGTGACCAGTATCTCCTCGAGCTTGATATACCAACCCGCAATGCCTCGACAATTCGGCTTCGCTCTAGCCTGCTTGAGATATTTATCTCTTCTTCGACCCGTATCGCCCAGTCCTCACTGCCTCGAATATCCTCCTCTTACATCTTCTCCAATGCTCGGTCAATATGGCCAAGCTCTTGATGAAAATTGACCTGTCAGACGACCGACAGCACCCACCTGCAAGAGCCGGCCGAAGCCAGACGCTCAAGCAGGGCGAGATCATTGCCATCCACAGCAAGCTGTGAATACAGTGGCTTCACTCTTGGGCACCGCGGTTCGACTCATCAGCCAGGTTGGAGTCTGTAGCTCATTTAAGAAATACAGTTGTGAATGTTTACTATAGAAAAGATTCTATGAAGTCTGCGCTGGTGTGTTAGAAGAGATGGTCGAGGGAAGTGTATGGGGTGGTTTGAAGACTTACAAGATCACTGAAAGAGAAAAGGAAGAGAGGCGCGCGTCGAGAAATTCTTATAGACGAAATTCTTTAGCGCGGCTTGGCAATGAGCTGAGTAAGCTCAAATCCGCTGGGTCGGGTAATCTCTCCCTCTGTACTAGGTTGTACCTGTAGGAGGTATACCTAGGTAGGTAGGTATTGATGAATTTGATTTATCCGTGGCGCTCTTCCCAAAATTTAGAAGACTTCATTTGCTACATACCGCACCGACGCATTGGGAGGCTGGGCAGGAATTGTGATTAACCGGATACAGAATAAATGTAGTGAGGAGCGAACACTTTGATATGACTCGTTCAGGTTCATCAAGACCGAACGGCAATATGACACATACAAGCGGAAGCTGAGGTGGTGGCTATCGTTGGTGGCGCAACAAAGTTCAAACATTGGATGTACCTAGTTATCCAGAGAGAGAGAGAGAGAGAGAGAGAGAGAGAGAGAGAGAAGAGAGAGTGAGAGAGAGAGTGAGAGACAGAGAGTGAGAGACAGAGAGTGAGAGACAGAGAGTGAGAGACAGAGAGTGAGAGACAGAGAGTGAGAGACAGAGAGTGAGAGTGAGGCTCGTCCTTGTGGATTCCGCTGGCTACTCATGTGACGTACCATTTCCTGGTCAGCGAAGACCAGTTCTGCACGTACGCATGAGCACTCAAACAACTGCAGCAGATCGCCGAAAAAAAAACCCCAACTCCAAGAGCATCATCAGGCCAGGTGCCCTTCTGCCAACCACATTGTAAGCTCGAACTTGGCTGTGGGAGAGAAGTGCGATCCTCCGATGCTGGAAGAATAGTTAGCTCTTCTTCTCTCTTCAGATGGACAGGGAAACTTATAAAAAAGTAACAGAGCCGCCTCCCACAAGCCCTCGCAAACAAAGACCTGCAAGAGAACGGCTCGCGCGATCCAAAGACCGCGCATACGATTCCTCCTCCCTCCTCACTTCATGGTCCACCTTCGAGAAACGCTTTCGCAGAGGTCGAGCAGTCCCAACTCCAGCACCTCGACCACAAGCCATGAACATATCTTTTCCTTGCCACCAAGCTAGCATAGTCTCAAACTACAGCCGTCGAATGCTCGAGAGATCCGCAATGCTGACCAATGACCAGCAAGCCAGAAATTCAGACAAGCACAAAACTTTGATCCTCACTCTAGAGAGGTCCCGTCTCTCTGAAGCTTGTTGGTCCGATCATTGTGCCAGTAAAGCACATCTCCCGAACACCTCCAGTTAGTCGAATGAAACACCCATTGTGGCTCAGCAACTCGAGATCTGTGTCTGGCCGATAGAATTTAAGCGTGCCTTCATCAGTGCCACCCTTCATCCGCATCCGCGACTGTCCAGTGATATCTAAAGTTTCGGAGTTCAGAACGACCGCGGAACGACCAATGTACGCCCTCTGCAACCAACGCCAAAAACGACCGTCCTCCCTCAACTCCAGAAACCAGACCGCAAGAATCCCACTCCGTCGTTTGGCCAGTGATACTTCGCTCGCTTCTCCTCATGGTGTGCATGCGTCAATTCCGCTCCAGTACGTAGGCCAGCACTCCCGCTCAGAGACAAGTCTTTGATTCCTTCCCTCGATCCACATTGTCGAGAATGGGGATGTCGGGAGGCAATTTCCCAAACGGACAAAGTACATCTACAAAAGCCGCTCGTCATCTGACGGTATGAGTGTCAGGTTTGCACTGGTGACCCAAGTGGATCCAGTGCGGTGTAGTTTCGGCGTTCACCAGTCGACCTCTATGCTAAACATAGAAGGAGATGATTAATGCGGCTGATCGGACAATTCCGCTCGAGAGACAGAACCGCGTCTGAAGTTGGTGCTGCGACGTGGGCTTTGAGGTGTGCTTGCTTGAGGTTTTTGAAGGGTAGAGAGTGGGTGGCTTTCTGCTTGAGGCAGCCTAGCAGATAGGAGAAATGTGCAAAGCCCCCGCTGAATAGATATGATATTTGAGGCGAGGAAACGACGCGAGAGACTGATGGCGTACTGTGGCCTGATCGGGTTGCAGGAGGATGAGGGCATACAAGGACTGAGACACCTGCAGCGAGTGGTCGAGAAGAGGCAGATTTGACTTGTTCGGTCGCACTGGGTTGCAGGAGCTTTGATAAGCCCATAGCACGGCGCAGAATGGCGAGCTTCTGTGTGTAAGCCCAGTCACCTCGCTACGTGTCACTCGAATGGCTGACACGATGCTGACGAGTGTGACGTGAAGCGTAAGAAGAAGCCACCAAGCTGCGCTGTCTGTATGTAGGGCGATACCATGCTCTGCCAGTGTTTCTTCGAAGCCATTCGCCGCCAAATCATCCATTTACCGCAGACACCACTCAAGGTGCTAGTGAAACAGCTCAAGCAGTCTTGAACACCAACGATCTGGTCCTCGGCATGGCCATCTCTTACGCCGTCCCCAAAGCCATACCACAATCGAAACAGCATATAAAGAGCCCTATAGACAGTTTCAAAGCACAACTGCCCGACAATTCTCGCCCACTTCTCTCCTTCTTACCGCCTCAAACGTGTTTCCTGTTCAGCTGTCCGTTCTTGATCAGAGCAATCGTCCAGCCAGCAGCCTCGACGCGCGCCTCCTCGGAGAATCTTACCAAACCGACGCATGAAGCCACTGTGTTAAATTGCTACGAATCTTTCGATTCCGCAACCGGACATGTACCAACAGTTCTTTTGTCTCCTCCATCCGAACCCTTCCACCAGCAGGCTCAGCCACGTGAGCGACATTGCACCGGGGCTGGTGTCGAGGTCCGAGCAGAGGGTGGACCAATCAAACTGCCAGCTGCTCCCTTCCACCGTGCACAAAGGCCGGTTTGTAGGTCCGCGAAACTTGGGTGAACCGAGAAAATCGCTTAGGGTTAAGCCATTCCAAGTGTATACATCCACCCTTCCCAAACAACCGTCCCCCGTGATTCATGTTGCCGTCAGGCAAATCGACTGGATGGGCGAAAGGAGAGGGCGCTGTCCGGAAACAGTTGTCTTTCGGGGAGAAAGTCGCGAGGACCTTCGCCAATCGGGACGATGGGCACGAGGAGGACTGTAGGGAGGGTATGTGCTGTTGGTGTGTATTTGGGAGCGGAGTCGATGCATGCGCGAGGCGAGGGTGGAAGCGAGGTGGAAGGATACCAGATACGCGGCGGTTTACGTGGTGGGATCGAGTAGTGGCAGTTTGGAGCCAAAGTCAGGTGATGATGTTCGAAGAGTGTCGTTGAGGTTCCAGGTTGTTGGTGCAGAGAGGAAGAAGAGAACGTAAAGGCAAGAGAGAGTTCAATGGCTGGGAAGTCGCGTCGCGTTCCTGGCCTGGCCACCTCATCCTTGCTGCTTGGCAAACTAGTCCTCGTTAGGAATTCTGCCGCAGAAGGACTAACGCGAGGTCAGGTGCTAACATTGGGCGACGGCGAGGTCGTCTCTACAGTCTACACATTCCACAGAATCCAACTATTGTAACATCTTGCCATCGGACTGTACTGTTGGACACTCGAGGATTAAGAAGCACGGCAATCGTCTTGCAGATGCGTCAGGAACCTGAAATATAGTATCAGGCATCAACATCGCGTCACGTCGCGTCGGTCTGGGTGGCAACTGCCATGTCGTAGCGCCTGTTGGCCATCATGCCTCGAGCAATATGCGACTCTGAAGACGAGGAAGAAGTTCTGGTCGAAGATGATGAGCCCAGTCAAGAACAGTTCAGAAGCAGCAACTTCAGCTACAGCCAGACACTAGACCTCGCCAACCAGATATTGCAAAGCACGCAACCACTCGAGGAAGCCAACAACAACAGCAGCCTGTCCACAGGTCAGTCACAGTGAGCATTGGATCTCTTCGCATGCTGACAACTTGTAGGCGAGATCAAAAGACGGATTGCCGATACCACCGGCTTCTTCAGCTCCACCGAAGATTCGAAGATGGCTGCACCGGCATCCGCTGCTGAGCAGAAGCTGAGTAGACGGCATACAAATGCCAATGCCTCTGCGGCGTCTCCGATGCCTCCCAGAGGGCTCAAACGAACGCAAACGACCTATGGCAAGGCCAAAAGCAAGAGCCAAGGCTTACCAAATCCAGCAGCCGAAGCAGCGGCTTTCCAGGCTCTGAACAATGATGAGCGAGCATCTCAGGAGTCGTTAGCCTATCTACAAGACTCCGACACGCCTAGGACCACAAGTGGCCTCCCAGCTGGTTCTATACTCCAGGACTTCCAGGAGCACAATCCCAATGCCCTTTTTCCAACGAATCCCGAGAGCACGATCGAGAATAATGCATCCTCGCAGCAGCGCATGCTAGAAATGGTACACCAGCCGCGAACGAACGCGGGTCCGGGGGCTCATAAGTCTTCAAATGAGTCGCAAGAGCAGCATTCAAGTTTCCCATGGTCCGCGTCCGGGCGGCAAACACAGACGCCTAAAGTGGACCAGCGCATCCCACCCCTGTCACACGACCCGACTGATAATGAGCTCAACGAGGGCGCGGCGGAGACAACAGATGTGCTCCTACATGGTCAGATTGACACTGCTCCTGTATCGGCAGTGGCCGCGATTGATGCGGCTGGTGAAATGCACGGGGAGATGAGGGATGGCGTTGGAAATGAGTCTCAGGCCTTTAACATACCGTCGATCTCTACAACGGAGCAAGCTTCAGACTCGAGACGGGATCAAGTTGCAGTCGTTGTGACACAGCACAAGGCAAGCAATTCGAAGCCCCCGCCAAAATCAAGCCCGATGGTCATCATCCCACATCTAGAATCTCCACGCGAAGAACAGATGGCTAGTGTGCAGAAGCCATCTCGAACTAGAAAGAGGAATGTGGTGGGGTCGGAGCCAGATCACGGCCAGCACCAACGCTCTGAGTCACCAAACTCTGACGATTGTGACGTGGGACTGCCCAAAGAGCGGTATGTGCCACGACTCAGTCGACGCAGAGCTACAGCTGTGGCAGATCCAGTAGACTCTGCCTTGCCCAAGAAGGCAGCGAAGCAGCGCCGCGTGACGGAAGGGGCTCCTGTTGATAGCGCAATTCACGCTCCTCCGTCCTCTGAGAAAAATGCCAAGCTGAAGTCAAAGGTGACAACAAGCACTGAATCGTACAGTCCGAGGTACACTGCTAGCACCAGCCGAAGTGCTCGGAAAGATGAGGATGCAGATCTCAAGGCAGCCATCGCAGCTAGTCTACGCGACATGGAACAGTCTTCGGTGAGCAAGCCGACAGTCATTGAGGCTGATGACCCGTCCTCTAAGCCGGCAGATTGGAAGGAACCAGACAGGCCGAGTGGCGAGGATGTATCGCCACTTAGCTCCCCTAACACGTTGAGGAGTACGATAACAGCGACTTCGTCTGCCGCGCCGAGGGACGAGGTACAGGACATGGCAAGGCCTTCGCAGTCTGCGCCAAAAGCTATACAGTTATCTCCAGTGAAGATGCTGCCACCCTCATTACCCGCCTCTTCTACGCGACGCTCTCCTCGTCGATGCCATACAACTATCTTCGAGGACCATGCCTCTGGGCGATCGCCGACATTGAGCCAGCTGCAGGCGGGAAGAATCGCGGCTGCTGAGCCTCTACCAAACCCAACTCTGTCGAACAAGCGAAAGCGTCGCACTATCATGCAGAATGGTCTAGATGACGAAGATGAGCTCGCACAGGAATCGGCTGCTCATAAGCCCGACCCTAAGAAGCGTAGACGCCCTTCCAAGGCCGAGAATGTGGGCAGTCTGAAGGCTGCTCAGGAGGTGCTCGACGAGTCCGAAGATGACATGCCTACCACGAATGGGCGAAAGTCAAGGTCTAATGCACCAAAACTGGCAGACTCGGAGCCCGAGAGACGCGAAGATGCACAAGCGCCGCTCACGCAGCGGGGCAAGAGGCCTGGAACGTTAGAGAAGGTTCTTGATGACGATTCAGGGGACGAGCTTGAGCCACTTGATTTAGACGAGGTGGTTGTCAAACCTGTTAGGAAGAGAGGCCGGCCACCTAAGGCGAAGGCTAAGGTGCATTCTGAATCCGAGGCCGAGCCTGAGCTGGACAATGATAATGATGAGGACTTCGAGGGTCAGACGAAGACGAGAAAAGCTCCTGGCAGGCCAGCGAAGGAAAACACCCAGGGCAGTGCAACACAGGAGCCTGTTTCCAAGAATACCAAGACTGCTCTTGAGCCGAAGGATGCCAATGCAAACACTGCGCCAAACAAAGCTCCAACCCCTGTAAAAGTGCTTACGCCTGCGCCGTTGGTCGACGCAACCGCCACAGAGCCGGAAGCCAAGTGTACCACTCCTGCGCCAGATGTGAAGCCCAATTCCAACAGTCATTCGCCAATCAAAAAAAGTGCAAAGGGAATACATCGTGTGGGCTTGGGACGCAGACAGCGAGTGCAACCATTGCTCAAGATAATCCGTCCTGACGCAAGGACTCGCAGGGAAGACGCATCTCGTGTGACTACCATTACCAGCGTTGCCGAGCTTGAGGCTAAGTGGAATGAAGCGCCAGAGTGATGGCTTGAGAACTCTTCGATGTTTGTGTTTGCAAAGGAGCAGTGGTGCTGAAGGTGTGCGCATCGCTCCAATCTATGGGCTACGGCCAGAGGTCAACTACCTTATGATTACGACGTATGTATGTGTACTTGTTCGACAGAGATACCCATGGACATTGATATTCTATAGCGGTGCATGAATTTGTTAGTGGCATTCCGTATTCCGTCGCTGTGCCTCGTACTGCTCGCCTCCCAGAACCATCCCATCAACTTCCCACTGTACTCCTCAGCCTCCTCTCCATGTCAACCAAGCCCCGCGTCTTATTCCAAGAGATCTGTCAATTCAACCCCATCATCCCGCATCGGCACTCTCGAGCGACAGCGCCCTCAACACTAACAGCATCTCCGACTCGTCTCTGGCGCTGAGGCTGGTAGATGCACTCGATCTGTCCAAGAAAAACGGCATTCCGGACTGGCCTCTAGATTTCATATGCCTTTGAGAAACTCGGCGCGTTGAGAAGTGAGCGGCATTCAGGCGAGGATATTGACATCTGTGAGGCTTTCTGGCTTGTTCATCGAAATTCTTATGCCATTTTGAGTGTTCACTGAATGGTGTCGCGACCTTTTCCTAGGTCCAAGGCGAAAAGGAGAGGCATTACTTCCGGGCCATATTACTTGGATCAGTGGCCTTGTCGGCGGTTCAACAGTCGAAGAATGCATTAGTACCTAAGTACCTTTACACACTGAGGCAGATGAGGTCCAGTTGGCCGCCAAGAGAGTATTAGCGCCAGGCAGGATCGGACCGACGTCGCGTTCCGTTCACCGTGCATGCCAACACCAACACAAATTTGATGTCCTCCAAATTTGATCAACATCCGGTATCGTCATCGTCCCAAAGGGACGAATAATGAATTGCATGGAATTATTTTTGGTTCAGTGCAGGGAGCCATCACAATTCACTGCAGTACATTCCAACCATGGACGTGTACGAATCCTGGTCTGGACGGGGAAACTTTTTGCAATTTCGACCCCGGAAAGGCACCACGATGATCCCATGTCGAAAAGCTTCGATAGCATGGGCAGCACACCCAAGTCGGCACGGCACACATCGCAATATCATCAAAGGGCGTTGATGACTACAAAGGACATATGCACGACCTGATAGAAAACCACGAGTCGATCATACGATGCGGGAAAGGCTTTGACATTCTGCGTCTATCCGGCTGCAATACTGTTCCGACTGCCCGTGAGCTGCCTTAGACAGTCGAGGTCTTTTCCTGGCAGCGTGTCCAAGATACCGTTCTAGGACGAGGAACCTCATATTGGGTTGAGAAGTGCTATCGGGGAGAATAACAATCAGCCTGGGCTAGTACTAATTATTAGCACAACACAGCCTCTTTCTTGAAACCCCATACGATCTTCCCTCTGGAAAGGAACTTACTCAACAGAGCGACATTCTCTCCATCGCTATGCGCAATCTGTTCCATTGTGTGGGTCGCTGCGTATTTCGTAGCCATGCTTGTCGTAACAGGCCGCGATGTATTTGCACTGGTTACCGGACTGGGCCAAGCAATCGTCGGTCCAAGAGTCCACAACTTCCTGTGTCCAGAAGAAGTCGTAACTGAAGCACTATACATGTGAGTCGCAAAGGTCAGCATGAGTCGAATCAATGTATCGGGAATTCTCTTCTTCCTCTCAAGACCAAATTCGTGTCGGTTTTGGTGGTAGATATGTGTTCCGCTTAGTACTTACACCACCCAGTAACCTATCCCCCAGCGAATTCGCTTTGTAAGTAGCGTACTGGCCTCCTTGGATACCGCAGACGTCCTCAGTCAGAGTTTCGTCCACCGCATCTTCGGGAGGGAGTGATAAATCGATACACAAGCAGAATGGCTCGTCCTTGGGGATGTTTTCATCCGATGGCTGATCAGTTGCAGGATTGCCTGTTTTTGTAGAATTGCCTGTTTCTGTGGAATCGCTATCTTTAACCTTGCGGGCTTCGAGCTGGGAAGAAGAGAGAGCTGTAGCGGCAGCAGAGGCGACGAAAAGGGCGTATGACAGGAGCATGGTGGCAGTAGCTAAGTATGCGTTGCGTTGCTGGAATGATAATAAACGACGGGATTCCGATGAAGTTTTATAAAAGTAGATGCAAAGCAGAGCAGAGCGTTATTTTGTTTGTTCTCCTGATCTATGCCCGGGGATTGTTACTGGTCCTGTTGCTACAATTTTATTTGTATACCTTGTATACCTTGTGAAAGCCACTGGGAACCAGGGCTCTGTTATGGGATTAGAAATACACATGGGGCCTGGGAAGTCATCCCCAGTACCTAGTAAGTATATTGTAGAAGTACCATATGGGTAGGGCACTTGTGCTACCGGGTCCGCCTGGCTCACATGTATACTAATGATGCATACCGTCAACTTTTCGTGCTCCTCAATATACTCTTCGGTATCTACTCTAGTCTCATCGACGGCATTCGGTCTTGTAATCGAAGAATCTAGCGTGCAGCGGAAAGCGGCCAAAGGGGAACAGATAGTACTTTTAGTAGCAGCTGCAGAGCGTAAGAAAGCCGCGATTAGTGCGCTTGTTAGTATATAATCAATAGTTGGTAGCAAAAAGCTAGGTACTGAAAGAGTGAAAGTCAGCTCAGGTCGAGACTTAGCCTGCAGGCATCCCCTTATCTGAGTCATCAAGTAAGCATCAGGTATAACCTATTCTGTAATGAGCCAGGTACCTTGATGTTCTGAAAATTCTAAAAAGTTGAAAGTTCCAACAATGCATTCGACATTTCTTTGCTAACAACTTCACAAGTTCACAGTCTTCACTCTACGACGTGATTTGGATTCGTTCCGAACGTGCAAACTCCGGGGACATGGATGAGATTGCCCTCCTAAACCCCAAAATTAATTGAGATAGGTATCCTTTGAGAAGCAAATGTGAAGTGAAGCTAATGCCAGGCTTGGTAGACATCTACGGTGAAGTCGTTGCTTCGTATTTCTCCTTGGCATCAGGCATAGCGCTGATGAAGTTCACTTCGTTCTAATAGAAGTAGGTATCTGTGTGCCCGAGCTTCACTTTTAGTTCGTCAGCCATGTAAGATATATCCTGTACTCATACACAACAATCCACTCATCAGTCACCACCAAATCGAGGCAGCGGACGACTACTGAATCTCATCTTCACAACATGCTCATTACCAACATACCCAGCAATCAAACTCTAAAAGTATTTCTAGAGGGAGAAGAAGAAGTGTTGAAGTGTAAAGATGAGATCCATGATCGTGTCAATTGAGTGGCTATCAACTGTGCTATATAGCCGTAGGTTGAGCGAGGTCGAGGCCTTCAACCTCGTCGTTTGCAACCTTACCGTTTGTCAGGTGACTGTCTGATGTGTGCTACATCAACAAGGAGTGCAGTCCGCGCTAGTAGCATGGAAGGGCAGGGGAGCTGAATATAGTCATGTCAGGGTACCTACAGCTAGTCTCAATGTGGTACCAGACGGAGGGCCAAACGAACCTCGTCTTGCTTTGCGCTATACAGAGACGAGGCTGCGGCTTTGACTAGCTAAGGTATATTATTGATTGTACTACCTGTATGACTTGCACCTTGATGATGGTTGCCATGCTATATTTTATCGCGAGGAACTGTTCCTTCCTAGAGAAAAGCGAACGGGGCAATGGGCAGTCCCGCTAGTAGAAAATATGGCATGGAAAATCACCATCTTCGCTTGCTGATGAATGCCGGCAGGCGTCAGTTCCCCAAACACCGCTGCTTTCATTCAAGGCATCTTTGAGACTCGGATTGAGTTATATGGACATCACGTTATATCATTAAGGACTGAACTACATTATATCGTTTATCCATCCATCATACTATCATGCGAAAACCCATTCGCAAACTCCTGCATTCTTGATTTCCTCTTCCCACAACAGTCGTCTAAGGCCAAGGCTGGGCCTCGTAGCTCTGGTCCGGCTTGACGACTCCTCCACTGGCCAACTGAGCATCAGTGTATGCAGGATATACGATCTTGGCGCCATTGACAACGCTCAGAGTCTGGAATCCGTGATCCGCTCCAAATTGTCCCGACCAGGTGCTGCCGATTCTGTAGTTGCCGCAGGAGACGTCCTGGTAAGCCTTGCGTGCTGCTGGGTCCGCGCTGGTGCCGGTGACGGTGTATGTGCACTTCGTCGCCGCGGATCCGTCGTTGGTGTTGATGGCGTAGCTGTAGTTGCATGAAGTGCCATCTGTGGCGCATGTGCGCTGGAAATCTTGGATAGTCCAAGTTGGTTGGGCCGAAGCGAGAGGCGCTGCGAGAGAGCTGGTGGCTGTAGCCAGGATGGCGAGGATCGTTGAGTATTGCATCTTCGGAATGAGTTGGTGGTTTTAAACGTAGTAGAAGTTCTTCTTCGTTGGGAGAGATGTTGATTGACTGGAGTCTTGTTTGTTGGGCAGTTGGCAGTTGTCGATGTGATGATGCCTATCTCGAGGGGATCAATCTGCTCTTATATATCTATTCCATAGCACCGACCTCCATGGGTCTCTCATGGGCGCCCTGACCGTAAGGCGGTACAATGTTGTCGGGCCGACACCACACAGGCAATGGTATAGTGGTGTCTCTGGGCTAGTGGTCAGCTGTAGCCACGGACTATCACTACAATAGGTAACCATGCGATGGTTGCTAAGCTCAGTGCGGCGATGCCCTCTGACGATCGGTCTGCTTAATCTAAATTAACGAGCAGACTTGCCTTCAGTCTTCGTATTGCGATCTTAGGTGACGCTCGAATGCCATTTGATGCGGAGTACAATATTCCGGGTGTGAAGCATATGCAACCTTGAGGCGAGACACAGCAAGCAACGTTGCATCGTCAGCAGGTGCTCCAGGTGACAAGTCTCGCGATCGTGGACTCCACATGTCCGTATAGGTGCTAATGGCTCTATTCGTGTACGCAAATAGGTATGTGCTCCTAGAAGGTAGGTAGGTACAGAGTACTACTGTAGGGAAGGTCGGTGTCACATAAAAATAGGCCTTAGGTTATTTCTAAAAGTGGAGAGAGAAGTCAAACGGGGAGTGGCGTTTCTATTTTTGGCTACGCCAAGCTGAGCAGAGCCCGCTCCGCCCGATTGCGATCACGATTACTCAGCCGTCAAACAGTACCTCCTAGGCACGTTACTTACTGAGGAGGCCACAAGAAAGAAAGTGGAACTGGTCAAAGACTCACAGCTGTATCCGGGAGAGGCAGTGACTTGGTGCTGCTGCTGCTGCTCGACGAAGAGACTCCTCACTGTGCCATGACTTCGTTGTTGTCGCAAACGTCGCGTCTACACGTAATGCTTTCGCGTCCTGACGCGGAACCTCGGCTCCAGTGGTGTGTGCCTTTGGGGGGCGAGCTGTAGGATAACAGGAAGTATCACAGACTATTCATCGTCGGAATCCCACCACCACTCAGGCTACAGCATCCCATCCGCACAGGTGACAAGATGACAAAGCTCGCAGAGGCCAGGAAATGGAATCAGCCCTATGATACTCCTGACCCGACGGCCCCATCTGCCTACCAACGGGAGATATATTCCTCTTTCTCGAAGCCAGTATTCTCAACGAAGCCAGAAGAGTGGGAAAAGCTGGCCAAGGCGAAAGTCCCTGCAGAGAACTTTGGTTATGTCTACGGCTCGGCATCGAGCTTCAAGACATACAAAGCGGTAGGTCCTGATGAGTCGCGTGTTCGCCACCATGCTCCCTCTTGCGGCTTGCTCTGAACCGCGGTCTGACTTGAAATGGGTGATCCTGTGATGCTGACTACTTGTCAGAATCTAAAGGCGTTCGACCGGTATCGTTTGAGGCCTCACATGCTGGTCAACGCCACTCTACGAGATACGAGTGTCAATCTGTTCGGCACCACTTATAGGACTCCAATAATCGTGGCTCCTGTTGGTGTCCAGAATATCATGCACTCGGATGCTGAGGAAGCCACGGCAAAAGCATGTCAGAAAGTCAAGGTACCGATGATCCTTTCCACTGCTGCTACCAGGACTATCGAGCAAGTTGCAGCTGCGAATGGAGATGGCGATAGATGGTATCAATTGTATTGGCCCAAGCCACAAGAAGAAGCTATCACCGCCAGCTTGCTGAATCGAGCCAAAGCAAATGGCTACAAAGTGCTCGTCGTGACTCTTGATACCTTTACACTGGCTTGGCGGCCAGAGGACCTCGATAACTCGTACTTGCCTTTCTTATGGGGCGATGGCTGTCAGATTGGCCATTCTGACCCAGTGTTTCAAGAACGCTACGCTGAGATCCTCGCGGGCGATACTCGGTCAGCTTCGGAGAAGATAGCTGAGGCGTGGAACCTGGTCAAACGACCTGGCACTCCTTTAGGAGCCCTGAAGATCTTGGCCAATGCCTCGAAGCTCAAGAAATCTCAAGCCTGGCTCGACGTCATGAACTCTGGCACTTACCGAGAATGGCGCCATCTTGAAATTATCAAGAAGCTGTGGGATGGTCCTATCGTGCTCAAAGGTATCCAGACGATAGAGGATGCACACAAAGCGATCGAATACGGGATGGACGGCATCATTGTCTCGAACCACGGCGGGCGTCAAGTCGATGGTGCCATTGCGTCACTCGACGCACTGGCGGAAATCGGTGCTGACGAGAAGGTCAAACAATCTGGCTTGACTCTTCTGTTCGACAGCGGTATTCGGACCGGTGCCGATGTGTTGAAGGCAATAGCTCTCGGAGCAAAGGCAGTCTTGGTGGGAAGACCGTACATGTATGGCCTCGCAATCAAAGGACAAGCAGGTGTCGAGCACGTTCTCAAGAGTATCATGGCTGATACGGATAACACACTTGCCAATCTGGGCAAGAAATCTGTACAAGACTTGAGCAGAGAAGATCTGCAGATTCGGCACGACTCCAAGTTGTAATTCTGCAGTGCAGTAGACAGTAGGAGGTAGTCTTCAACACAGTACACGAGTCAGCCGATGTGATGTCTGCGGACGGACTTCACTCGGAACATGGTTCTGACGGGAGCAGGGTACATCCTAGTAGAAGTCTGAGGTGCTGCTTGTCCTTCTCACTCAGCAATCAGCATCATAGCTCTTGGCAACCATAGCATCTCCTTCAAATTGTCTTGCGCCTGGGTTTGGAGATACAGTCAAGCACTTTCATGGCAGTGTCCTCTATCGCCTATGAGGTATGAGGTAAAGCCAATTCAACGACACCGGGCATCGCTTCTTCTCTTGCAGTGATTCTGTCGATCAAGCAGCGACTTGCAGCCTTTCCGCTACCTCTTCGGCGTTCTCACACTAGTGGGCACTTCCAACGTCACTTTGAAGCCAATTCCGTAATCACATTCTACGAGTACATGTACATGTACATTGCCAGCAACATACATGTATGTATTCACTAATTTCACGTCCTTCTAGACTACCATCTTCGTAAACAAGCTCATCGCGAATCCTTCCAACACCATGTCTTCAACAACACCCAAGACCATGAAAGCCATCAAATGCTTCGGCCCCAAGAACGCCAAAGTCATCCCGGACGCTCCCGTCCCAGAAGCCCCAGCAGATTATCTCCTAGTAAAAGTCATCGCAGTAGCACTCAACCCCACCGACTGGAAACACATCGACTTCATCGCTCAGCCCGACTACAACCACACCGTCGGCTGCGACTACGCCGGCATAGTCGTATCCGTCGGCTCAGCAGTCACGAAAAGCTTCCGGCCCGGAGATCGCATCGCCGGCTTCTCCCATGGCAGCAAACACGAAGACCCATCATCTGGATGTTTTGCCGAATATGCAAAAGTCAAAGGCGACATTCAATTGAAAATCCCGGAGAATATCTCTTTTGAAGAAGCTGCGAGCTGGCCTACTGGTATCAATACGACGGGACAAGGGATGTATGGTCCTGATGGTCTGGGACTACCTGAGCCCGAGCAGCAACAGCAGCAGCAGTCTGCTACGGCGGAGAAAGTTCCTATTTTGATTTATGGTGGTTCGACGAATACGGGACTGTGGGCGATTCAGTATGCCAAATTGAGTGGACTTCGTGTGATTACGACTTGTTCGGAGAAGAATTTCGAAGCTGTGAAAGCGCTGGGTGCGGATGAGGTTTTTGATTATCGGGATGAGAAGTGCGGTGAGAAGATACGAGAGGTGACGAAGAATGGGTTGAAATTTGCGTTCGATTGTGTTTCCGAGGGGAACAGTATGGAGGTATGTTGTTCTTCATCATCATGGGCGGCGGCGGCGGTCTTGGTCCGCAATATATCTGACAACCAACCCCCAAGCAAGACCACTTTTCCCCCTTGCAGACTACAACAACACTACGCGAGATATGCTAACCTACTACATTTTGCCTCAGATTTGTGCCAAAGCATTAAGCAGCGATGGGTCTGGAGCTCAATACAACGCTCTACTTCCCGTCGAATTCCCACGCAAAGACGTCAAGACGTCCTTCACCATCGGCTACTCGGTGAATGGGGAAGACTTCACTTTCTTTGGAAATTACCAGCCTGCGAAACCACAGGACTTTGACTTTGGGAAACGCTGGGGCGCGCTTGCTGAAAAGCTGCTTACGAGTGGTAGCATCAAAGCACCTGCCACGACGATACGAAAGGGCGGCTTGCAAGGCGTTTTGGAGGGACTCGAGGACATGAAGAATGGTCGCATAAGTCGCCAGAAGCTCGTGTATCGTATCGCAGATTCCTGTTAGGCAAGTGTCAGCGTTTCTTTCCTGCAAGTAAGCGATATAGCGTGATTGGAACACGCGGCAAGAAGTAGTTGGGACGCTGGACCAATGTATGTGATCAATGATACACTATATAATACATCGGCGTCGTGGCTAGTCTGCATGGATGCTCACCATATCTAGTTGGTGAGAAAAGCGTGTCGCCATCTATGTCTGGTAAGGATTCTCCTCTTGAACCCTGGCGTATCATCGAATCTTTATCTCAAAAGCCCTGTACTGCTTACTTTGATCGGTCTACTGCCGAGACCGATCTTGGCTAGGGTCGAAAATGCCCTACGGTGACTCCCAGTCTGGGTTCTGCGAGGATATTAGCACTTGGGACACAAACTTAGTAGCGAAGGAGTTGGCTCACCTTTTTGACTATGCAGATACCCTCCATAGTGTTGGCCACCGACAACCACTCCTCGTCCTCAAGCTCGGCGCGCTCACCATGGCCAAGAAGAACTGGAGTAGATTGTGTTTGCCACCCGGTGATGGTCTTCGGCCGCCCTGCTTGACCGACCACATCGACTGCTTGACCAACGCGGACGTTCACTTGGATGGGCTTCAGCTCCTCATCCAGAGTGATGAGGAAACGTGGATTCATGGCAATCGCCAGATGGTACAGCAGGTAGTGGTGATCACCCAGAATGAACGCCTTCGGGTTCTCAATGAGCGAGATGGCGACAGTGAGCAAGCCCGCAGCCGACACCCTCGACAGCACTGTACGGTCTGTGTGGAACGGACTGATAGTCAAGGTGCCCTTGCCCATGTGCAGCAGACCCTGTGCGATGCGTACCATAAAGAGTGCGCCTGGATCGCGGTGGTAGTATGAGGCAAGCTGTCGTAGCAGCTGTGCCAGACGCGCGTTGTTTGTTCCGGCTCCGACCATACCCATGGCAAAGATGGCGTTGACCGCGACATCCACATCGTTGTCGTGGGAGTACCTTGATAATGTGTCGTAAATCTTCATCTGAGGATTTGATACACTGATCAGACCCATAGCAAGAGGCACAGCTTTGCGGATGTTAGGTTCGCCGTAGTGCATCAAATGGCCAAACTGTCGAAGCACCATCTCTTGGCCGATGTCCTCGCCCATGGCCACCAGAGCCAGACCAAGGACAGCGTACGCCTGAACAAGCTGCTCACCAGCGATGTCCTTCTTCTCGTCTTCGCCATCCTTCTTCTCTTCCTCTTTGTCATCGTCGTCCTTATCCTCCTTCTCCTCGATATGCTCGTTGCAGATGTGGAGAAGTTGCTGTAACTTGAGCACGGCGCCCGTACCGGCCCAAGCACACATCTCGATGAGAACTGACGCGGGCTTGGACATTGGATGATCAATGGCCTTGAGAGTCTCGAGGATAACATCGACTTCTTCCTGTTGTCCAAAGTACAACACGGCGAGGCCTAGAGTCATGAAACGAGTCCACTTGTCCTTTAGCTGCTTGTTTCTGTCCTCGTCGAGGAAGGTCTCGATGATCGCCTCGCTGACATCAGAGTGTGCGGTGCCAACGAATACCAAACCGAGTGAGAGTGCTGCAGTAGCAGACAATTGCATATCGAGACCAGTATCCCTGACAAGAGGCAAAAGGACATCAAGAACGCTCTCGTTGTTCGAGCCAGCGTAGGCCAAGCCAAGACCGAGGATACGGGCGACCTTGTCGGAGACAGTTTTGCCCTCGAAGTCACCAAGGAGTGCGAGTGTTGGATCACCTTCCACCTTGACCCCAGCGTTCATGACACCCATTGCTAGCGCAGCACCGGCCTTGATCTTGTCCTCCGGTACGTATGTGTATGCATCGATCTTGTCTAGCCCTAATTCCACGTCCCACAATAGAAGCATTCCCGCAGATGCTGCGGCGGACAGCATACCCTCCTCTTTGACCTTCCATACCCAGCTCTGCTTGACACCCCCTTCAACCAGCATCAATTTGTCCTGCCCAAAGCCAGCATTGACAAACGCATTGACAAAGGTGGAAGCCAAGTTGTGTCGCGCAGAGTCAGTGTTAGTTAAGCCTGCAGTCCGGTTCGACTCTAGATGTGACTTGTAAATGTCCTCGGGAACCTTGGGGTCCAGCACGTTCAGCTCTTTAGCCAGCGATTTGTAGTAGACTGGCAGTTTTGTGTTGTTCAAGCATTCCTGCAATTCCTCGTCGTTGGCATCATCATCGTCGAGCTCGATCGATATCCGCTGCCGTGCAAGGAGGAAGGCAAGCTGGCATTTCGTGGGCTTGTCAGGCGCAGAGTTGAAGTCGGACTTGATGAGTTCGAGATCATTCAACTTGATAGCGAGAGATATAGCCTGCGTGTACTGCTTGTACTGCAGGTAGACGTCGTGCGCGGTGCGGAGGAAGCGATCGTTATCGGGGTATGTGAGGAGTGGCACCATCGATGCCATATAGAGGCACACTCGGCTGTATGTGTTCTCGTCCAAGTGCTCCTTGATGTGCTCAATCATCTCGAGCTCGGACAAAATGTCGACCGCGTCAGCCTCAGCGTTGTGCTTGAGGAAGAATGGTACAAGTACCAGTGCCAGTGATGTGATATCCTCAGAATCCTTCTCTTCCTGCTGGCGAATCTCGTACTCCTGCCCGATCTCCAGCGCCAGGTGGCGCATGTACTCGTGACCCCACGAACCAATATCTGTGCCTGGCGCGAGCAACCGATACTTAAGTGTATCTCTCCGGCCTTCATCATCAGAGTATGTCATACCCAGTACGGAAAGAGTGTCTGCCAGCGAGTCCTTGTTGGCACCCTTGGGCCATTTCTCGTAGGCTTCGGCAAGCTTATCGTAGTGCGGTCGCAGGAATTTGAGCGGCTTTGGCACGGCCGTCATGGAGCTCGTCGATGTCTTGATGCTGGTCTTGATGGCTTCCAGAGCCGCCTCATATAGCGATGAATCTGCTTCTGTTAATCGCTCTACGAGCATGTCGAGCTCGTCCTTAAGCTTCTGGTCCTCTTCGCTCAACTCCTCTGGCGGCAAGTCGAGGTCGCCATCCTTCTTGACATCTTTGCCATCCTTGCCATCTTTGGCCGCTGCGCCTTTCACGCTCTTTGCTTGCTTTCCATCTTCCGCCTTCCCCTTGCCCTTGTTGTCAACGGCCTTGGGCTTCTCCGCCTCCTTCGCCATGCTCGAAGATCACGGGAGCTCTAGATAGTGTCGTTTGGTCGACGCCGCTGCTTATGGAAGTTCGGTCAGGCAATGGGAGGAGACGTAAACTGAGTCGTGGCAGCTGATCGAGGAAGAGACAATATAAGCACTTCGGTCGATGTTCGCGGATGGTGTGTTGTCTGCACGATGGGTGAAGCAGCGCGGATGATGGTTACGACCGCGTTGTCGCCTCAAGGTTCCCGAAAGGAAGCTACGGACGGCTCTTCCCGGGTCTCTTAGCGGACACGCCGGACAGGCGACATCACTGCAAATTTCTGGCTCTGTCACAGACATCTCACAGTTCACCAAAAGAACTATCGACGCACACGCTGTTCCGATGAAGCTCGATACAAGCGCATTGCGCTACCTCACAAGTGACGATTGGCGCGTATTGGCTGCAGTAGGTCTTCTTGACTTCCACTCGTGATGTTCGGTATGCTGAGAAAAAGTGTGACGATAGTTCGAACAAGGCAGCAAAAATCATGAAGTAGTGCCAACACCTCTGATTCAATCTATCTCTGGCCTCAGAGGAGGCAGCGGTATCCACAAAAACATCTCGAATTTAGCGAAAGTCGGGCTCATCGCGAAAGTGAAAAACGCAAGATGTAAGGTCCACCGTACCTGCTACGATGCCGAGATTGACAAGCAACTTCATTTCGCTGAGACTACTTGCTAATACTCCTTTCAGATGACGGCTATCGGCTCACATACGGGGGACTCGACTATCTCGCACTCAATGCTCACCGTAGATCCAACACAATCTTCTCACTCGGCAACCAGATTGGTGTCGGCAAAGAGTCAGACATCTACATCACAGCATCACCCGAAGGCCGCCAACAAGTTCTCAAGCTCCATCGTCTAGGTCGGATCTCATTTCGCACAGTCAAGGCCAATCGCGATTATCTACGGAAATCTGGACCCTCTGGCACAGGCGACTGGAAGTATCTCTCCCGTCTCGCAGCTCACAAGGAGTATGAATTCATGCGAGTACTCCACAGAGAAGGGTTCCCGATACCAGAACCACTGGCCTGGAGCCGTCACACAGTAGTTATGGAGTTCATCGATTCATTTCCCCTGCGCATGGTCGATGAAGTCGGAGACCCTGGCACGCTGTATGCCGAGCTGATGGATTTGATCGTCCGACTTGCGCAACGGGGATTAATACATGGCGATTTCAACGAATTCAACATTCTGATCAAGGAGAAGCCGAGAGCAGATGGCTCTGTCCAAGTCATCCCCATCCTGATTGACTTTCCGCAGACGGTGAGTACGAATCACGCGAATGCTCAATACTACTTCGATCGGGATGTGGCTTGCGTCAAGAGATACTTTGAGCGAAGATTCAAGTATACAAGTGATGCCAAGGGACCCACCTTCAAGGAAGCCCTGAAGGGCGCTGATCCCGAGAGGCGGCTAGATGTCGAAGTCGAAGCTAGCGGCTTTTCGAAGAAGATGATGAAGGAGAGCGAAAGGTTTCTAGACGGGACTCAAGCTGAACCAGTCGTTGACGCCGAGGACGAGGACGAGGACGAGGACGAGGACCACGAAGCAGGAGAAGAGGATGAACGAGATGATTTGGGCGAGCAGGAGGCCGAAAGAGAGGCAGAGGAGAGGCCAGATGCGCAGACTGGAAACCCAGGACTCGCTGAGGGGCTTGAGAGTCTGTCTGTTGATGATAGTGCAAGGATGAAGATGCGCACCATGGCAGATTTTGGCCTTCAGCCAATAGAGTTGCCACAAGAGCCCGACGTGATCGCTGAAAAGTTGCATACGAAGAAGAAGGTGACTGGATGGGCGATCTGAACAGGCGCTTCCTCTCTTGTGGGTCAAAGCGGCATGGGCATACCGGTCTGTTGATAGAAGAAACGACCTCGTTGGTAAGGTAGTGGAAAGCTGGGGCGCGAGGACTTCGTCCGTTGATCTGTAGTTCGACAACATGGCCGCGCAAGTGACACAGCCCTGTCGTTGTCAGTATCTTCCAGTGAGTCTTCCTTCCTCGAGAATGTTCGCGTTGTCTCGTTTGCGCTCCTAAATTCGCGTGTGACACCAACGCTGACACCCAGGCAGCCGGTTGCCGGCATTTCGCGCTAAGAATTACTTCTTCACCATCTGCACTTGAATACAGCCGTCGCCAAACAACAACTACCACACCTGCAGCACAAGAGCGCACTCACTGGCAGCTTCATTCCGTGGTCATTCAAGGATATCAGCATCATGGACAACGCCGTCGCCGATTGCAGTAACACGCTGAGGCACGTTCTCTTCTTCCTCGTCGAGAAAAACGAGCAGAAGCAGGACGAGGCTCCCTCTCCCACGGACTCGACTACATCAAATGAAAGCGCATTGACCGCAGCCACACAGAGCAGCCGCAGGTCCAATGTCGTTCAGGTTCCCGCCCAGAGCACTCGCGCATCGAGCCCAGCGTCGCAGCACCAGACCGACAGCGGTGCTTCCAAACCTATCTCGCCACTCAAGGCTGACGTGCCGGCCTTCGTACCAATGAAGACAGTTGCGGCCCCTGTGTTCGAGCAGCGCACAATCGCTGGCAAGGGTTTCGGGCTCTTCGCCTGTCGCGACCTGCCTCAGGGCACCCGCATCGTTCGCGAGAAACCACTGCTGGAGATTTCGCAGAACAACCTCGACCTCGCATACCACAATTACTTGCGCCTCACAGAGGAGCAGAAAGCCGCATTTGATGCGTTGCAGTGCTACTTGCCCTCAAACGTCGACGCCGAGCAAGCCGCCAGAGTGTGCGCACTCCGAGTCGAAATCAGCGAGGATGACTTGCCAGGCTACATTTCCGAGCATGCCCGTGTCATGGGCATTTTTGCGTGCAACGATTTTCAACTCGCCGACGGCCATCTCGGTGTGTTCACCATCGCCTCGCGCTTCAACCACTCTTGTGTGCCAAATGTCCACCATACCTACAACCCATCTTTGCATGCCGAGACCATGCACACGATTCACAAAATTAAAGCTGGCGAGGAGCTGTTGGTCAACTACTTAGGACCCCAAGCAACATACGATATGCGTAACACTCGCATCGCGCAACTTCGCCTCCACTACAATTTCACTTGCCAGTGCATCGCGTGCACCGACGCGACTGGAAGTTCGGACCTGAGACGCGAACTACTTGGCGGAATCTTCCATGGTCTGAATGAATTTTCTGCTGGCACTCCACCGGACCAGCGGTTCGTTCCAGACTCGCCACAAATGGCTCTTACCCACGCGGAAGATGGCATCCGTATCCTGATGGATGAGAACCTTCTGACCGTTGAACTGACCAAGGCCTACCGCGTTGCCTCTACCCTTAGCCTCGCCATCTACGACTACGACAGAGCGCTCGAGTATGCCTTCAACGAAGAAGAGATCGAGCGCAACATCCTTGGTTTGGAGGTAGATGATCTTGAGCGCATTGGTGCAGCAGCTAAGCAGTGGACCGAGGAAGTATACCTCACTGCTTGTGGCTCTGGACACAACTTCAAGGCCCACTTCTTGCGCCAGTTCACAGACTGGAAGCAGCTTAAGGTTGAGAAGATGGAGGCGAAGCGCATTGCTAGGGGTTCCATGAAGTACCAGACGCTCAACAAGAAGAAGAGCAATTACCACAAGCGGGACAAAAAGAAGAAGCATGAGCGCTCTCCACTGAAGCAGGATCACTCTCCGACGAATCAGGGTCTCTTCTCGCCGAAGCAGGGCTCTTCACGTAAGCGCGTTGCTGGTGAGGATTCCACGCCTCCACCGACCACCGGCGAGAATCAGTGGACTTAGCGGTTGCTTGCATGACGGCCTTTTTCGACGGTATGCGGCATGTACTGAAAGTTGGCATTTTCGATAGAAGAGCTTGAAAACGGTTTGCTTTTTTTTGTCGCCGACGAAATGCGTCCACGGGCCTGCAAAAGGCAGTGGTTTTGGAGGCGGATGAAGTTGAGGGAGCAACATTTTCGATAGAAGAGCTTGGGACCGGTTTGCTCTTCTTTGTCGCCGATGCAATGCGTCCACGGGCCTATGAAAGGCAATGGTAATGGAGGCGAAATGAAGTTGGGGAAACAGCAGCGTGCTTCTCGGCGTGTATGAGTACCTCATGGCAATAACAGAATGACAGATGCGAACCTACCTGGTAGGTAGGTAGATACAGTAAGGTAATGTACGACAGCTGCTCTAAATCATGTGCAACTCCTGCCCTCTCTCGCGCACAGGGCACCAAGTGATCGTGCCCTATTGCTGCTGTCTTAAATCAATTGTCAGCTAAATCTTCGCTAATCGTCTCCACATTGCGCACCAATTGCGCCAGAACCCTTCAATGGCTGCCCGCGTCGTCATAGACGCGATGGGGATCGTGAAGCTCGAATTCACGATCATCACCAGCATGATTGAAACATGACACTTACATTTCGGCCGCTCGATTTGAGGACACATCTATACAGCTAACCTATTACACCCGCGCTACACCACGCTTACCGTATACCAAAATCCCGCCTTCGCTCTTCAGGGCTTCTCCAAGCATAACAACATCAGCCACCATAGCTTCCTCGCAATTAAATCGCCTCTCTCACCATCTTCGTTGTCTGTCGGGCTCCACGAGCCATACTAGACACCCCGCTCTCCAGACATATAGCCGGTTGCGAACGATGACCACGACCGCGAATCCCAACAGCCCGCCCACCAGCGAGGCACCATGGAAGAAGCTCTTCAGCTCTCACCTGTCCAAAATGGACAGTCCTGAATTCGTCTTCAGCTCTCTCACTCCAGCCTCCCGCTCCGAGGCTCGCGATGGCAAGACTCCTGTCCCTTACGTGCCTCGAGCACGATTCTGCATTTTCCGCTCTTTCTGGGCCGAGCTTCCTGAGAACAAACACAACACCGCTGAGAAGAATGAAAGAGTCTATGAGTCTGATTTACCCTCCTTCACAACCGATGTGAGGATGCAGAAGACGTTTGAGATCTTCGCCTCAAGTGCCGGGAAGGCTGATGATGAAAGCTTGGTGCAAGGCAGTGGGGGCGGAGGGCCTTGCGAGGCTGTGTGGTGGGTGAATCTGCCTGACAAGGGGATCAAAATGCAGTGGCGATTCAAGGGCGAGGCTTATATTGTCGCCAGTCAAGACATTGATGAGGGAGGCGAGGCGCAGACAAGCGGAGTCAAGCATGTCAAATCGGAGTTATCACGGAGGATGAGAGTTGTCAAGGAGAGCGGAGTTGACGGCTGGAGCTGGAAGAAGGAAGTCAGAGCGCATTTTGGGAATATGAGTCCTGGCATGAGAGGTGAGTCGTTTTGTGCTTTGCAGCTCCCTTCTGGACCCGTTACTGGAATGCATTTGTCGCTCTGCCAGGGAGACTGGCAGCCAGATACCATGGTTTGTTCTGGATCACGATGCAAAGCATCTGACTACGTGCGAATGGAGGGCACAAGCGTCATCGAACCGCAATGCGTGAACTACTCAGAGCATTGGCGATTTGGTTGTTGCAGTCCACGACTCATGGGCGACGTTCGCAATGATCTTCAGCTTCACTGTAATTCTGAGCCTCAGCTAATGATTGATGTGTACAGGCTCTTTTCAGAACCCGCCGCCAGGCCAGCCAGTTGATAAGCCATACGACGAGCAGAAGCATCAGATCGGCGAAAAGGTTGAAGATCTAGACCACCCAGTCGCCCGAGAGAACTTCCGCGTTGTGGTGATCAAGCCGGAAGAGGTGGAGAGTGTAGACTTGAGCGACCCCAAGGAAGGTCGCAGAGAAGTGTACAAGTTCAACCAGCAGGACGGCAGTTGGTCTCATCAGACGTGCTGGCCATAGATTTATCACTTTACGCTCAACGATGGGACACGTGAACACGACCCCCCCAACCCAGAACGGGATGGTTGCGTACCCAGCAACGTGCGAATCGAGAGTGAATGGATCTGTTTCGTCGAGACGACAGTGTCAATGGCACTCATCAGTAGGTATCTAGCTACGTGTACCTAGCTGTGTTTCGAAAACCACAAAACATCCACGAAATCTCATCACTCGCACTCCACTGCAGCCCAAGGATTGGCGCACTATTTTGACAGGCATTGGATACAGCATTAGATTACAGAACACTGCAATTGCCAAAACCAGACAAGAAGCATCTTCCCGCAAGCGCTCCCACATGTGAAAGCTCTCACAAAGATTCCCGATGGAGTGGCATCGCAATATAACAAATCGAGCCCAATGGAGAGCAAGAGAGTAGGTCACTTCACTGGATCATGATCCCGGCACATCTCTCCCTCCTGCATCAAAAAACGCGTTCGTGCTTTGCTTGCTGCGTCGGGTCCGAAATGATCATTATTTGTGTTTTATCCTTGTATCTCTTGTGCCAATGGCGGGTCTCTTGTCTTGGCCCACGTTAACTAGGTAATCTGATATCTATCGTGCGACAGAAATCTGCAGAAGGGATGATCACATGTGAAGTGATTGTTGTTGCAGCGTTACGCAAGTCCTTGCGATTGTTTTTTATGTGCGATCGGGCAGGTTGATGAAAGTGGAGATCAGGGCCGATCGCAGGTGCTTTTGGGAGTTGCAGCTCGTATGTCTCTGTGTGAGGCATCCGGAGACAGTACCTAGTATCTACGGTACCTTAGTACCTAAGTAGGTACGTGTAGTACAAGTAGGGCACCTTAGGTATGGAGAAATCTGTGCGATGGGCAGCATTTCCTCCTGGATGTCATGATACCTGAGGCACTCACTCATCGAATGAAGGACAGTCCGGATACAGTACAGTACACCATATCATCAAGAAGACGTGATGACAACATGTACCTGAACAGCTTAACTGGTGGAAAATCAACCTCATTTCCCTCATCATCTTCATGCAGAACGAGTCGTCAGCACTATGTCACTAGCTTGGGTCGATCGCATGTTCGGAGTCCCTCATCACCTCAGTGTGTTGAGAGATGCTGTGCTCGCATGTAGGTCATATGAGTGAGTAATGACAAGTCGGACATGCTTGCAACTTCCATTCTGAAGCTGCCTGTTCCCAGACCAGAATCACTCGCGCCAAACCAGAGAGGATTCGGATGCCTGTCCTTCCTTCCTGCATGAAGGAGGAGTCGGGCATCGTGTCAGCCCCCCGTTCGTCAGCTGCCAAATCTTGTACCGCCTAGTCGCCGGACTCGCCGGACTCGCCGCGGCCGCCCATCTCCCCACGTGGATCAATCTATACTGCTACATGTGCCGCAATTATGACTGAGGCTGATCTCGTTTTGGCAGCATCGCAGGATGAAGGAATTCGATGGGTCAGCTCCTTCGTGGTTGTCGGCCTGCTGGACTCAGGCAGGTCGCCGAGCCCCTCTGAGACAAGTTGTTAGAGGAATCTAGTCAGCAAGCTCTTGTGGAGTTCAAGAGACCATCAACCTGCGTCAGTGCGTGCTGTGATCTGTGAGTGGTCGGAGATGCTGTCCAAGACTCGCGCGCAGTCCAGTCCACGCGTGGCACTCGAAGTACCGTGGGCCGTGGCCCGTGGGGTGAAGGCTAGCTACAGCGACGAGGGACGGCTAGACCACGGCATCGCGCCATCATCGTCAACTGTGGCTGTGGCGGACTGATCCGTGCTGTCTGATGAATAAGAATGGATACACTGTAGAACAGCAGTATCAGCGGTGATGTTGTCACCGGCTATGCCTCTGGCAGCATAATTTCGTCTTAGACAATGAATCCGTACAGGTAACCGAGGGCAGCTTCGTAGACCGCGCTCAATTCACCTTTGCAGAGACAAAAGAAAGCCGAGAGAACGACGTGCGCAATGGCTCCCCGATACAATTTAGGGCACGGTTGACGGCAGCGGCCCAGACCTATTTCTCCCTCCCACGATACAGTAGTTCTACTGAAACTCTAAAGACGCCCGGACTGGACTCCTCCCACGACACCACTAGGTACTGTACTGCAGTCTTTTAGCCGAAAAGAGGCTTGCGAGTAGTCTTGGCTATACCAGGTAGTTTTACCGCACAGAATGGAGCCTCGGACGAAGAAGATCATAACAGATTTTCGCATCAGAAGGAAGGTCAACATGCTGCAGTGAGAGCGGCACACAATTCATCCACAAAGTGGGTTCCCGTGTCTTGCGGGCTGTCGTAGTCTAGCATTGCGTCCGGGGACATGCGGCATGCGAGCGGACCAATCCGCTGCCGTGTTCAACTTCGCCGATCGCTCGTTGCATTGGTCCGCTGCACCTCTCCGCAGAAACGAGGCGGTGCGTTGGCTCTTGCCCTCAGACACTTAGGTTCCCTTCCCGCTTTTCTTCCTTTGTCACCCACCACCCTTCCATACCACCCTGCGCCTTTTCTTCCCATCCGCCGTCCCTTGCTTCGACATTCAACAGCCTTAGGTTTCTTCCCTTACGACCCTCGCCTTTCTATCGCATCTATTCACCGCATCTGGCTGCCAGGCGCTGCCAGAGCACGCTGCACAAGCTCGATTAGTGAACATCAGCAGTGCGGCTTCCTGCGTCGCTTTGATTGCATGACCAGCACCCTTCGACAGAGGAGAACTCTCTAGCATCTGGGCCACAGGAGGCTTCTGCATTTGGGATACTTGCGGCATGGCCGAAGAGGCATTGAACTCTTTTACGTCGTTATTGGAGAATGTTCCAGGCTGGATAGCGGACCTGGAGAGCATATTGGAGGCTGCCAAAGGGCGGCAGCAGGAGCTCACTCTCGCGAACAAGCCCACGTCGCCCACCGTAGCATTCCCACGGAAGGCCGTTCAATCACCTTCGCGCAAGTCAACTCAACCGGACGAGGTTACTGGATCATCTGCACAATCGGCGACAGCTCTGAAGCACCTGACGAACTCAGAAGCTTTGAGGATATCCCAACTGAAGCGCAAGACGGCATCTGTCGCCTCGGACGATCAATCTAGTCGTTGCAAGCCTCGTGTCACGGCCTCAGCTGTAGTCTACTACGATGGCGAAACTCAGAAACAGTTCGAGCAGTTGGTGCGTGCCATCGGCACTTCGAGGAACGCTATCCGTAAGGGGAAGATGAGTGCAAAGGTTGACGCGCTGAGTCGCTCGGATTCTGTTAGCAGTTCTTCGAGCTGCAGCAGCAGTAGTGGTGGAGAAGATGTCGACATAAACAAATTCGCTCCGCCCTCGAAGTACAGAACTCGTCGATCGCGGCCAGCCTTCGGCAGGAACGATGGCTCCGAGGCCTTCGACAGAGTTGATGGGCGCTTGGAAAAAGCACAGACGTTGTGTGAGCGCGCAGCACATCGGGTTTTACGTGATGGAAGCTGCACACTGGAGGTCACCAATGCTAAGGAGCACTTCTTAGAGGCGATGAAGATGGCTACAGCAGAGCTTCCTGCCATGAGGAAGAGGGCTGAGAAGTCAGCTGAGCGTCGTCGACGAAGCGCCGAGCAGCATCGCCTGGAAGAGGCAGCTCAAGCAGCTCTTCGCTCTCCTCGGCCCGAAGATATCCACGACGAGAAAATGGCGGACATCATCACCAAGATTGAGGTCCCCAGTGATGGAGATATCGAGGTGGACGTCCTGGAAGTCGACGATGACGATTCAGATTCAGACTCGGAGGAGTTCAATATCAACTCATTTCAGTTCACCAAAGCCGGAGGACGGTTCGCGCCCCCAATGCGGACCTCACCACGACTCGCCGTGCTTTAGCACTTGTCGCTATGTTTATGTTGTACATTTTTTTTCTTTTGGATTTGTGATTATAGTGCGTTCAAGCGGTTGTGACACTTTTCATAATAGTTGATATCTGGGAAGCGATGGAGTTGGAAACGGCAACGCAGAAAGTTTGCTGGATTGCGGTATTTCGTAAAAATGGACAGATGAACGGACAGATGGACAGACGGACAGACAGATGGACAGACGATGCGATGGTATTGGCGGCACGCTCATTGCGATTCTCCTACCCTTTCTCGTGTACATAGGCGACTACCAATCTCATGATGGTTGCTCAACACTTGCGTCTTGATCCATACTCATTCATATTCGCGATATGTATGTCGGGTACCACAATAGCCACTGGATGATATATGGACCGAATTCTCAAAATCTTTGGGCTACATAGTCTACAATGCTGCCTAAGTCTACAATCCTACAAGCTGCAAAAAGGAGGAGAGCAGGGAGGCCCGAAAGGTCAGGTATATACAGAAACTTAAATACCAACCTAGCTTACCTAGCAAAGAGAAATGCAGGGAGAAGAAGAAGGGACAGGAAGGAAGGGGCTCAAATATTAGAGAGCATATATATCTAACTACATAATATGTATATATGAAGTATGGATACATTGGAGCTATCGATTAGAGCAATGCTTGTATGCAGTCACGTGTCGTGTCGCTCATTTTATCACGTGAGCATAAACACGTGACTTAAATGAGCGTCAACAACAAACCTCAACTCTTCCTATTTTTCCATTGCCCAATGTGCGGCAAAGACTTGTCTCGAAAAGAGAAGCTTACAGCTCACATTCGCCTCTCCGCCATGAGCAGAAGCATGTGTGATTCGCGTGCCGCCAGCATCGTCTCCCACCTCTCCGCTTGATGATCACACGGATTCTGAAGGATATCCGCTTAATGTCGCGACATCACGTCTGCTATATTTGTGGCAAGAACTTCAGGCGCCCGAACGATTTGAGAAGCCATCGGGCCAGCGGTGTTCATATAGCGTCAGGGTCGAGGACTATCGACGTCCCATCCGGCATCCGGATTCCATGTTCCGGAGAGACTTTTCCATGAACGCTGTGCGGCAAAGCTCTTGGCTGGCCATCGGATAGAGATAGACACATGGCAAGCCCTGACGTTCACTCCCATATATGGAGCCCGGGCCGACGACTTCTCGGGCAATATACATTCGCATCTGCTCAGGAGTGCAGCGGCTGTGGGCAAGCGTTCATGCACGAAAAGGCTTTTTGTCATCATGCACCTTGTCACCAGCCAGCGACTGGAAGTCGTGAGCACCTGTCTGGGAGCGATGGCGACAAAACGGGACAGGAAGACAAAGTCAAGGCGCATGCCGAGGAGGATATCACGCCCTTGAACGACTTTGAGGCGCAGCTACTTGCAGCCGCCAATGATACATCGTCTAAAGAAATCCAAGCCGAGAAGCAGAGCCCCATGCTTGTCCAAGCTTTAAACGAAGGTGCGAATACATCGAAAAGGAACGTTGGTGCAGGTATTAGCCGTACAGAAAGTCCACATGCTCGGATCTGCTATGGCTGCGGCAAGGGCTTCTGGGACAGCCAAAGGTTCTGGAACCACGATCCCTGCTTTACGACGATTGCGAAAACGAAGCCTTCTTCCGTATCAGTGCCACGCAACCCTCCAGATACGTCCTCGAAGAAGATGCGTGACGATGCAGATTTGAGTCTCCATTGTATGGCGCCGAATGCGCAAAAGCACAGTCCGATAAATGCGGAGCAAGCAAATAACGAATGCGTAACAGTGAAAGGAAAAGAACGAGAAACCCCAGAAAACGTCACTAATGTAGCACCCTCGCCTGAAGTGCAACGCTTGCTAGTAGCCCTTGCGCAGAACAATCCAGAAGCAAGACCAATTCCGCCGGCTGAGCTTCATGATGTGTTACATCGCGGTCCAGATATGCTCGCCTTGGCCTCAAGGATGGAAGAAGACAATGGTATACTACAACATTGGCTGGAACACAGAAAGGGGGACACCTTAGAGCAAGTCAGCAAGTCAAAAGCAACAGTAGCCCCTCGGCCATCATTAAAACAGAGAAAACGCATGCTTCGGACTTGCAAGGAAGAGACTATGGCCAACATATTGTGTTACGCGAAGCCGGGTGAGGATCTCGACTGGACCAAGACTGAGGATCGAGCAGAGCGAGCTCGCTTGCAGAACATAATCAAGGGTCGTAGAAGGCGCGAGCGGGAACTTCATAGGGGAGGTCGGAGTGGCAGTGGAGGGGACTACCCTGGTGCAGAAGGAGTACGCGGCTTTTTGAGTCAGCGGTCTGGTTCTGAGCAGCACGTGCTGGGTCAATGCAATCAGTCAAGGGAAGTCCTAAATGCAAGTGTTTTGGAGCGGGAACTGCTTCAATATGCTGCACTTGAGAAACAATCCCGGCGCCATTCGGGGCTAATGAAGACGCCACAGCACCACAGCTTGACCACAGTCACTGGGTTAAAGTTAAGAGATGCTACTGATCATGATTTCGAGCAGTTCATCGAAGAAGTTGATCCATGAGCGAACAAGAGCGTATCTGAAGAATTTCGGACGTACAGCCAACTTCGCACGCCATTAGAATGGCTGATCAACTTGCCATTTTGGGCACACGCAAAGACAGTGTCGCGCAGTAAGCCTTGCAGCTTGCACTCGGCTGTTCCGCAAGGTCTTGTTGTCGATGGCCCAGATTCCAATTGGGCCAGCTCACTGATTGTTGAGCTCAATGATTCTTGCTTGACACGTCTGAGTGACTCCAAAACTGTGTTCTCTGCGGTATCTCGTGCGGCTTTATTGTATGACCTCCGGCCTCATAGCCTGTATACGATGGCCATCCTGGCGGAGCTGACGGATTGGCTGCGATCGGATAAGACCTATGCCGATCCCTCGCCATGCCTCAATACATGTATCATGGGGGGACTGGGGCACACTGCCCCTGCACCACGCAACCGGCATCACATGCAAAATTGCGGGCGTTGAACTGGAGCTGTATGTTATAACGCCGTCCGTACAAAACCAAAGGGCGCGTGAAGATTTGAGTGGCGCGTCATCTCCCGGGGATATCGCATTGAGAAGCCGGGTGCCGGTCAGTGGCTACCGGTTCTCGAACCTCATGCTCCGACACCAGTCCAGACTAGTCTCCTGTAGACACTACTATCTGCTGGACTCCAAAAGCTCTCATCGAGGTCCTGGCATCATGGTTCGCGTAACGGTTCGTGTAGGAGATCCATGCAAGGCCTCCATGGTACTGAACATCGGGAATGGCAGCGTGCCTTTATTTATGGGAAGACGTTTGCACACGGTTAGAAAGCAATCTCTCATTGAACCCGCACTCTCTTCTGGTCATGGAAACAACGCTCTCTCATTGCATCAGCAACGTGCACAACATACTGTGATACAGTCTACAACGGAGATACACGATCTTTGACTTTACAACGGCATACCGACTCTCGCTCTTTCGATACAACGGCAGAAACGACCGACCACGTGTGAAATAGTACCGCAAGGCTAGACACAAACTCCAGGTCTCAACGCTCATTCCGGACGCGTGCGATATGGCTGCTGAATTACAGCATCGGGTCTTGGGTGGCACACCTTCGCCACAGCCAGATGTCGCCATCGATATCACATTCCTTACCCTGTTCACTGTATGCGGTATTTTCAATCTCCAGATCTTTTGGCGAAACAAGAAGCAGCAACGGCTGTTCGCCTTCAGCGCCGCTGTAGCCGGTAGGTATTCAACCCAGCCTCAAATTCCTGGGGCTGTCACTGATGACTGCACAGGCTTCTGTTCGCTACGCATCGTCACAACGTCTTTGCGGATTGCCTGGGCTTACGATCCCAGCAACGTACAGCTTGCAATGGGCGCTCGTATTACGACTTACACGGCCGCCGTCATTCTTATCGTGTCCAACATCTGGTGGTCACAGCGTATACTACGTGCACAACACCCCACCTTTGGCTGGACCATGGCTCCTACATTATCAATACCAATATGTGCTGGTCTTTGCGTTCTCACGATAATCCTAATGATCATGGGCACATGCATCCAATTCTACGTTGCTGCCGCACGTGCACAATATGCCGCACGTTGCATACAACAATATGGCGACATATTCTTTGCGATACTAGCAGTATTGCCAATTCCTGTTTTGTTGACATCAGCCCTTGCAAAGACGCATCCCGACCTTAAGGACCTCGCAGAGGATAACTTTGGGCGCCACTGCATCACAAGAAAGATTTTGGTCTGTCTCATAACTGCGACCTTCCTTTCCACTGGAGCACTTTTTCGAGCGACAATCTCATTCGCGCCCGATACGCAGCCGGACGCGCCCAATCCTTGGTATTATTCCAGGACTTGCTTTTACGTCTTCAACTTCGCTCTTGATATCTTGGTTCTGGTCCTCTGGATGTGCGTACGAATTGAAAGGATGTTCATTGTACCAAATGGCGCCTGGGGTCCACAGTCATACGGAGGCGGCTTCATCTTTGCCGGTGAGCCTGGTAATGAGAAACCGGCTATGGTGACCCATTCTCGCGAACACATCATTCATGCTATTAAGAGCTACGACACACTTTCGAGTAGGAGCAGCACAATTCCTCCGCCTTCACGGTCTGGGTCTTGGGGTAGCGCACGCCGATATATGAGTGCTTCGCCCTCGCTACCTCACATCAGCTCACCCAGGCTGGGCCAACGATCATCTTGGGGCGATGATTCTCACACACGTGTCGATTCGGCTTGGGGTGATGACAGCCGAACAGGAATCAGGTCCGTTGATTCCAAGGAGAATCTATACTTACGACGGCCAGCGCCATGCGTGCGATGCCGTCACTGTGCCTCCCACGAGGATGTCAACGAATACACTGGCACCATGTATCGAAATAGACCAGTGCTCCGTTTTGACCCTCGCTCAGCCCAGTGGATCTCTCGGCCTATGAGTCTCAGTGGGCCCAGTGTGTCCCAATACTCTGTGCGAGAGACTTTACGTCCTGTGAGCACAATCGATGTGCGCATGTCAGAAGATGCGAGCCCTGGTAGCTTTCTCGGATATGCCGTATGAAACGGATGACCCGATCCGCAGGTGGGGGGCCGAATGCCACAGGATTGAGAACAGTTTTTGGGAATCATGTTATGGACCATTGTGAGCCGGGACTCACGTGTATGAATAAGGATTTTCAGGGCCGGCTGGCGTGCCGAGCGTGGGAGCAGTACTGATGGAAATCAGGTCAGACAAGACTTAGACCAACGACTCTCCTTGTGTTGTTTATGGATGCATAAAAACGACAGCAGCAGTTTCTTGTGTGTGTTTGTCTGAGTGTTGTGGATAGGTAGCGCAATTCGGTTACGGGGTGTGCTGTGGAGGTGACGCATTGTGGAGGTCGGTTGCAGATAATCTTTTCAGATAGAGATAGTCCGAAGATATGTGATCGTGGGGATCAGAAGAAGATGGAAGAGAAGTAGGAGAGGTACCTAGGTAGTACCTTAGGTCAGGTACTAAGTAGGTGGGTAGGTAGCCTGGCGCGTGCGCGTAAAGGGTTTGCCAAGACTTGCCACCCACCTCTGCGCGCCTTCTTCTACTTGCTGCCTAGCCTAGGTACCTCACTCTCCTTCTCCATCTCGTTCCTCGTCTTCTCTCATCGCCACCCATAACCTCTCATCAAGTCCGCCCATTCATCGCAAGGCGCTGCCATATACACGACGCGGTCCCTCATCATATGATGCAGATTGTGGGGGGCATGAAGTGCCACAGCAGCAAGCCGAGCTGTTTGCCGAACAGGTGATTGAGCCGTCATCAGACGCTATGGACCAAGGTCCTGTCGACGCCGGTCCGACGGGTGACAGCGAATATGGCGACGACCCGCGACGGGCCTACTCGCCGGAGCATGATCGCGCAGCTTCACGAGCGAAGAGTGGCTTTCGTAGCACCTCCGTGCGACAACCAGCCGTCCAGCAGAATCAAACATACCCTGGGAGTAGATCTCGCGATTTCACCACTGACGCTCCCGAACTCGAAGATGGTAGTGACTCTGTAGACTCCAGTGGAGATCCGCCTCTCTATGTGCGAGTCGGCGCAACTGCTGCGGATATTGCTGCTGATGCTGCCGGAGACGATGATCAATACATGAAGGACCCCAGTGACATCGAACAAGTCAAAGACGACGACTATCGTCTTCACAGGATGCACAAGTTCACTCTGTACGAGACGAATGCCCGTTACTGGATCACTGGTTCAGATATCACAGACAAGGCTTTTCGCCTGTTGAGGATCGATCGAACGAGTCCTCCTGGTCAACTATCGCTTTTCGAGGATGAGACTGTCTACGATCGGCAAGAGATGAACGACGTGCTCAACGCAATTGACCAAGGCAACAGGTCCACTGGCGGGCTCAAGATGAGGTTCAGCTTCTGGGGCATGCTCGGCTTTATCCGTTTCACCGAAGCGTACTACATGCAGCTGGTCACCAAGCGCAAGCAAGTTGCTATGATTGGAGGTCATTACGTGTATCAAGTAGAAGGCACGGACCTCATACCACTGACGACGGGCTCGAGTAGCAACTTCTTGCGTGATCGCAATCCAGAAGAGTCGCGCTTTCTGGGCATACTCAATAATCTTGACCTGACAAAGTCCTTTTACTTCAGCTATTCGTACGACATCACTCACTCGTTACAGCTAAACATCATTCGACAACGCCAGGCTATGAATGAGGGCATTGCTGTTGCAGCACATGAGTACAATGGCATGTACGTATGGAACCACCACTTACTGAAATCCGCTGTCAACGCGCTCAAACATCCATATGACTGGTGCTTGCCAATCATCCATGGGTTCTTGACGCAGGCAGCTTTGGATGTCTTCGGCCGGACCGTCTACGTCACCATCATTGGCAGAAGATCGCGCTTTTACGCTGGAGCCCGATTCTTGAAGCGTGGAGTCAATGACCTTGGTTATGTTGCGAACGATGTCGAGACCGAGCAGATTGTGGCGGAGAAGCTCACCACATCCTTCCATGCTCCTGCCCAAAGACTCTTTGCCAACCCTAAATACACCTCTTATGTGCATCACAGAGGAAGCGTTCCCCTTTACTGGACGCAGGACAACAGTGGCGTTACGCCGAAGCCGAGTATCGAGATCAGCCTCCACGACCCTTTTTATCAACCAGCAGCTCTGCACTTTGACGACTTGTTTGGTCGTTATGGAAGCCCTATCTATTGCCTGAATCTTGTGAAAGCTCGCGAAAAGACTCCACGAGAATCAAAGCTACTTGACGCTTACGAGGACTGCATTTCATATCTCAATACTTCGTTGCCTGCAGACAAGAGGATATTGTACAAGGCTTACGACATGGCGCGGGCGTCGAAAGGTCGGAATAGCGATGTGATTGGTGGCCTCGAGACTATCGCGAAGGAGATCTTTGACAAGACTGGCTTCTTCCATAATGGAGATTCTGACCTGTGTGAGCCACAAGCACAAAATGGCGTCGCGAGGACAAATTGCGTTGACTGCCTCGATCGTACCAATGCTGCTCAATTTGTCATTGGAAAGCACGCTTTCGCGCAGCAGTTGAAATGCCTTGGTATCATCAGTACGGATGAAGTTGCGTACGATACAGACGCAGTCAATTTGTTCACTTCGATGTTCCACGATCATGGCGATAATATTGCCATGCAATACGGGGGGTCACACCTCGTGAACACCATGTCGACGTATCGCAAGATGGGGCACTGGCAGAGCTCTAGTCGAGACATGGTCGAGAGCTTCAAACGATACTACCACAATTCGTTTCTTGACGGCCAACGTCAGGAAGCATATAACTTGTTCCTGGGCAACTACATCTGGGCAAAAGGACAGCCGATGCTCTGGGATTTGGCAACTGATTATTATCTTCACCACAGTGATCCTAAGGCTTGGCTTGAGCGCGAGCGGCGCGACTATATCAAATGGTACACTCCAGAGCATCTCCAGCCTCGCGCTGTCCCAAAGAAAGTCCTCAAAGCTCGAGTGGCGAAAGAGCTGCACACAGCAGGCATCGCGGCCTTCGATGACTATTGGAGGGAATGCTACCGTCCTACAGCACTATCGTCACTCGAGAAGGTCTACTCATACAGAATTACGTCCACCAACAAGTCTTTCCTGCCCGAGCGACCATTTGGCGATAACAAGTTCGACTTCAGTCCCTTCGTCCGTCGTTTAGATCCTCATAAACTGCAGCACTTGGAATCACCCGAGAAGCCGCGACCGAGGAAAGGCGTCACGATTGTCGACCCGCACGACACGATACAGGAGGAGCCGGATAATGTTCCTCGACCGATGACCGCAAACTCATATGATAACGACTTACCGCTCGGCATTCTTCGAGAACCTACAGTGTATCGACTACACGGGGAGAAGTCAACTAAAGTACATGCGGCCACAGCCATAGGAGAGCAGGAATTCAAACCCGCCGATAAAGCGCAAATGCATCTCTGGACTTTGAATCAGTTCCATAGGCAATCCTTGAACCCCCACGTATCGGACTCCGAAGAACGAGAATATACGCGTTACATCTCACATCCTGCGAACATTCCTCTGGTAGTCAGTACCGAGCTCCCTTCGGATGCAAATATCGACTACGTGGATTACGTGCAGAGAGCAGGTGGCGGGAGAAATTCGGAGTACGATTTTGATGAAGAGGATGATATGACGTTTGGGGGACAGGGCGTCAGCGAGGAAGACTTTCAGAGTTATTTGGATTATCTGGAGGACAAGGAAGATCCTCTGACAGTCAGTGAGGAGGATGGGACGAAGAAGAGGTACAAGGCTTACAGACAATGGCTGAAGGGGAAGAGTCTGTTCAAACAGAGTAAGGTCGATCCCGAATATCGGGCTGAAGTCTGATTTGCTTCGGCGTTTGGGGACACACATATACATCACACAAACGCAGGACTGACAGTCGCTCGAATCGATTGTTGCAAGGCGTACTTCTGCCGGGGTTCGTACACTGCGCGTACAAAGTGGGAAGCAAGGGAATTCACCAAGCTCTCGCTACCAGCTTTACCTTCTCGAACGCTCTGGAAGCATAATTTGGGGGAATGACCTTCCGAGTGAAGAAAAGAAAAAGAAAACGCCGGGGGTTCCTGACCGAGAGGTATGGCTTCCCTCCGGCCGTGGAAAGGTTTTCATTCATACACTGCCAAATTCTCGCTGATATATGGTAAAAAGATCCCCCTCCCTCATCTGCTCATTTTCATGGTCGTACTGTGATTTCCGTTGTGATCGTCTCTCATACAAATGCAATGGGGTGTGTTCGAAAAGTATGTTGACGCGAAGGTAAGGGGGGTTTTTTTTCTTTCAGGAAGCAGCATAATACAGTGGTCCTCCATTACCAGAACTATTCTGTTGCCCATTGCCATATCCCATATTAGGAGCTAGTTTCGGCGCCACGTAAAAGTTTTGATAAGGATGTTGAGGTAAATTGAAGTCGGCTTTGGCATACAGAGGGTTCGGGATGCCGGATGGTATTCTCGGCTTACCCTGTGATGCCGATGCACTGGACCTTTGCTGCTGCTGCTGCTGCTGTTGGGGAGCTTGTTGGGGAGGCGACATTTGGGTGGACACTGGGGGTGTGACTTGTGGCGGTTGCATGGCGTTCAGATGGCTAAAGTTGAAACCCTGCTGCATGGAGAGGGAAGCCCGACGAGCTTGGTCTTGCATCTGTCGTTGTTGCTCATCCTGAGCTTCTTGTGCTTGGCGAGCCGCAGCAGTGTGCGTTTGCGCGAACTGCTGAGGCGAAATCTCTTCGTTCCACCCCCATTTCTCCTTTAGCTCCTTATAGACGAAGCCAATGCGCCAGCCGGTCTCCTTGTGAATCTTGTCGAAGATGGTCAGCACTTCTTCTTGTTCTTTGCGATCGGAGAGGACTTCTGCTGCGTGAGCGAGAGAGCGTATTGCCACAGATGCAACGCCACTGCAAGACGTTAGCATGATAGGTACCTGACTTTCAGAGATAGCTGCAACGACTCACCGATCCTTGACATGCGCGACAATGCCACAGATCATGTGCGAATGTTGTGTCTGCATTTCCTGCATTTCCGGATTGTCAAGCCCATAATACGGATGGATCTGCGCCATCAGCAGCAGTGCGGTATGGTAGAAGAGCCGTGCGACAATGGTCGTCCTCTTCACCAGCCATACTTCGGGGAAGAGAGACTTCGAGCTCGTCTGGTACGCATATAGGTACGCCATGGGCTGCATTGTCCTGGGAATGCCGCGGTCCCACGCGTCGCACATTTGTTTCAATTGCGACCACTTCTCGTGCCGTTGCTGCATTCGAATCTGCTCATCTCGCTGGTTGGGGAGTTGCTCTCGCGGCATCGTGGCGCGAAAATTGCAGATCTTTGCAACGACAAACAGCATTCTGTGCGTCCAGATCTCTTCTCGGCCATTGGCAATCTCGCGGCTGAAGTCCATGTCCACACCCCAGTCTTCTGGATCCCAGGCGACTTGCCAATTGAAGTGAAGACATGAGAGCACTTCCAGCCCCACGTTCAGCCAGAAACAAGCAGACCCAATGCCCTGAGCGCGCGCGTTCCAGCCGCACTCTTTAATCAGTGCTCGAGCACCTGCAATGTGGTTCATCCGCTGTAGCGCCTTTTCTGACATGATTTCGTACACATTCAGGATCACAGCCGTTGTGGCGCACACGACCGTATCTCGCATGGGATTCTGCAGATTCTTGAGCAGATAACGTGTTGCCGTGTCATAGTAATGTAAAGCTTTCTCCTCTGTATACACTGGGTTCACCAATGTCAAGTGCCGCGCCCCGCAGGCGAGGAACGCGTTGAGCAGCATTGGCTCTGACAGAGAATGAAACGGCAGCAGGCGAGAAAAATGTTTCTGTGGATCCATGCTATCCATCCACAAGCCGACCTCCTCGACGAAGACCTGCATGAATAGAGTCTCCTCCTGATTGTCGAGCCACTCCTTTTTGTCTGCGTCAGGATTGATTAGGTCGGTATCGAGACCATTGTAGCTAGCTACAGATCCGTGTATAGTGGACATGCCCACTACGGACTCGTTGGTATGCGAATGCTGTGTCGATCCTGAAGGTGGATGTGCTCCATGCTGGGAATTCAAATGGGCCATATCCAGTTTCGACTGATGATCAAACATATTCCCCATATGTTGTTGTTGCACAGGATCCGAGTATGTTTCCGGGAGCGGTCCTGCAATTGGTGGTAGCGGCTGGTGCATTGATGGTAGTGGTGCGGTGGTAGTCGTGGGGTATTCGAATGCGACAGCAGAGTCTATTGGCCGACTTGTCTGGATATCCTGATCTGGCTTGAGATGCGGATACCGCTCAGCACCACCTTGATATTCACTCGCAATTTCGCGCGACTCGTCCATGAATGTGACCTTCCAGTCGGCAGAGCCCCAAAAATTGAACAGCACCGGCGGCCTCTGACACCACGTATCTATGAAGTTCAGCCGTACACCTCTTTTGCAATGTCGATTGCTCTTTTTGCAGTTGTTACAATGCGGCAATGCTTCGTCACACTTCAAGTGCCGCTCTCTGCACGTGAGGCAGCCAGTGCGCACACGCTTAGGCTTCGCAGCCTCCCCGTCCCTGTCACCCTCCCCGTTGGCATCAGGTTTGGGGTTATCTCGCGGTCCCACTCTCATGACCTTCTTCGCTGGCTTCGACCCCGACGAGTTGGGCGCGTTCTTGCGCTTCTTCGGCGGAACGATGTTTTCGGGCGTTGTGCTCATCAGCGGGTGGCAGAGGGTGGAGGGCGAAAGCACGCTCGTCGTCGCGGCAGACTCAAACCCGCCATAGTTGCCAGACTGCAGATATGCAGACTGGTTCGCGGTACCGGCCAGTGTAACAAAACCAAGGCCCGCAGGCCGAGCAGCTCTCTCCTACAGTCGTTCCACAGCTACGGTCTCGTCGTCGCTACCGTTTGTGTGTGCATGCAGTTGTAGTAATAAGAGAATGCTGAGGTTCGAGGTCAAGATCCAGGTCAACTCTAGAGGGTTGGTCCAGGATGTTTCTTATAAGCGTTGCTGCGTTGGAATGAGCCCTAGCCTGGGGGGTCGGGTCGGGTGTTGGCGACGTCGGCAGAGGCAGCGGAGCTCGAGCACACGGTAAATGGATACAATGTCGGTGGGATCAGCAGCAACACGACGAGAAGGTCGTCGTGGTTGAATGGGATGGACGGATGGATAGATGGATGGATAGATGGATGCTTCGGGATGTGGTGTGGTGTTGCGTGGGTGGAGTAGTAGGTAGTAGTAGTAGGTATGTCGTGCAGCAGTAGTTAGACTAGTGGGTAGAACTACCAGTATGTAGTGGAGAAGGATGTGCTGTAGTAGAACTATAGTTCGAACTCCATTTCCCTGTGCCGGCGTCGACGCTGCAGACGTCGTCGGCAAGTCTAGACGGATCCTTTTTTTTGTCTGCCCTGAAGAGACTCACATGCGGAAGGACAAGGCCAACAGCCCGAAGCGGCGACAACAGCCGAAGTCCAATCAAGAGTCAAGATGAGCACAAGCACGTCGGTGTGTTAAGGCCACGATGGCAATGATGGCATGATGCAAACCGCACAGGCTGGCACGGTGTGAACTGTGAAGGTGAAGATCGCCCGTAGGAGGTACATGTAATCAATAATCATGGGACATGGAGTTGGGAGGTATGATGTATCATGTATGTAGGTTAGGACTAGACAAGGGTCGACTAAGGCATCGGTAGTTCTCGTGGTCGACTGGTAGTACCGGACGCGGAGTGGAAGAAGTGGGAGAGGCTAGAGCTGCTTCTATCCTGGCCGATGGGATGCCGCCGTCCATGGAGTTCAGACTTGGATGCTCTCGAGTTTCGACAGTTGCAACTAGAGTAGCAGTCTATATAACATTCTATATACCTCTAGTACAGTACTATATATCCTACTGCACAAGACATGTCTCCCCCGATGGTTGATGGGAGAATCCATCTACATTATTACCGATGCAAACGCGCTGACAGGCAATGGTGGTACAAGCCGCCCGCGTCTCTCCCCTTTTTCCCTTGTTTTCCCCCGTCGAGCACATGCCCTGCAGCTCCTGGTCATCGGCTCGGCCTCCTTGCCTCCTTGGCCTCTCTCCCTACCCCCAAGCCAGAGAACTGGCTCGCATGGCCTGTCCGATCATTACACAGTATGGCAAGGCGACACCACCAGCCGCACTCCTCTGTGCTGCGCCATGGACACCGAGAGATGTCCTATCTGAGAGACGATGTCAAGACTCCCGACAGCCATGCATAGTTTGCCTCGAGCAGTATTTTAGTAACCTATCGTTTTCCTACCTCCTAGCGTGGCGGTGCCTTGGGGAGATCGACATGCGGGCGAGACATCCCATAGGATCAGCCTGCCTGGAGCTGCTGTACGACTCGAGCCGTTCAGCCACGTATTCTTGACTCGACCTCATCTTGAATTGATTCATCATCTAGGAGGTAGGAAGGGGCCCTTGACCAAGTGACTAGCCATCCAGCGACGGACGCCAAGCATAACAGTTACACCAAGTCCGGATAGCATCGCACCACCAGTCTAGGATGCGCGCTGCGTGACTTTCAGAAGATGGTGTGAAGACTCAGTCTCGTGCTGTTCTCCGATGCGCAAGGAACCAGGGCCAGGGCCAGCGGCGAAGCAGGATCGCAACGGCCTTCGTCCGCCAGAGAATCAGGATGCGCCACTTGCAAAGGCGATATGGGACGCAGATGGCGGCTACGAGATGGCTGATGTGCACCCAGACGTGCGGCGTGCGAGTGACGTTGAGGAAGAGCAGACACAACCCGGTGCTGAAGTGGAGGAAGAAGATGACCAAGGAGCTCTTCTTGCAGGCCCACACGGCAATCGACGGAGGCGCAGCAGCAGCGTACAATCGTATAAACTGTACACCCCGGACGAAGAAGCATGCGTGAGACGAAAGTTGGATACCAGGTTAGTGCTCTTCGTAGCACTTCTGTACATGATGGCCTTCTTAGACCGCAGCAATATAGGTCAGATGTATTCTCTAAGTATCCTTTGGGATTTCTAGAAGGTACGCGTAGTCTGACAGACAATCATAGGCAATGCCAAAACAGCAGGTCTCAGTCAAGATCTCAACCTCTCCGACAGCCAATTCAAGTGGCTGCTGACAGCCTTTTATATCACCTATGTTCTGTTCGAATGGATGACTCTCTGCTATCAGATCTTCCCGCCCCATATCTACATCAGCACATGCGTCTGTGTCTGGGGACTTCTTGCTTCCCTCCAATCTCTCGCAACCACGTTCGGCTTCCTGCTCACTCTTCGAGCACTGCTAGGAATAGGAGAAGCAGCCTTCGTCGGAATGCCCATCTATCTTTCATTCTTCTTCCGGCGCGAGGAGCTGGCTTTCCGAACAGGAATCTTCATCGCCGCCGCGCCTCTCGCGACCAGTTTTGCCAGCAGTCTGGCCTATCTCATTGTACGCTTCGGAAATCTTGTTCCCATCGCAAATTGGCGACTGCTCTTCCTCCTCGAAGGCTTCCCAGCGTGCGTTGTGGCGATTTGGACATTCTATTGGATCCCAGACTCCCCCAGTACCGCACGTTGGCTAACAGCCCACGAACGCAAGATTGCCACTGTACGTATGCGGAATGAGACACCACACTCCTCCTCCTCCTCCTCCTCCTCCTCCTCCTCCTCCTCCTCAACATCCCCGAGTAGTCGCATCCCCCGCCGTGATCACAAGTTCTCATGGCCTTCCGTCGTACAAACCCTCTCCGATCCAAAATCCTACCTCACAGCCGCCATGTTCTTCTGCTGCAACGTAGCATTCTCCAGCATGCCAGTCTTCCTCCCTTCAATCCTCCACGCTATGGGATCCACTCCTCTCCGCAGCCAACTGCTCTCCGCGCCCCCTAGCCTATTCGCTTTCATCACAGTGCTCCTCACCGCCCACCTCTCCGATCGCTGGAAAACTCGAACCTGGCCCATGGTCTTTCACGCTCTACTCGCTTCTTCCGGATATCTCTTACTCACCGTAGCAGGACATTTCCAACTCGGCCAGGGAATACGCTATGCAGCGACATTTCCCATTTGCGCGGGTTTTTTCAGCTGCGTGACGATTGTCATTACATGGACGGTGAATAATCAACGCAGCGATGAGGGAAAGGGGACCGGAGTCGCTGTGCTTAATGTGATTGGGCAAATGGGGCCGTTGGTCGGGACGAGGTTATATCCGGACACAGAAGGCCCTTATTACACACGAGGTATGGAGGTCTGTGCTGTCAGTATGGGTGGTGTGGCGGTGTTGACTTTGGTCTTGAGGTGGGTTATTGGTAGGGAGAATGGCAAAAGGAGGGAGGAAGGGTTTGTCTTGATGACCTAACGACAGAAAGTCTCGATTGGGATACAGCACCACGAAGGAAATACAATCCGTTTGTTTCATGGACGTTTATTGATATTCCGTGTGACGGGGGCGACTTGCCATTGAAGCAGTTTTGCATATTTGATTTTGCTCCACCTGTGCATAAGCCGGCCTTGGAGCGTTTCCGCAATCATTCATACCTCGCCGGCAATAGAAATGTTTCGCTTGCAGGCACACTGTGCCTACTCCTCTAAACCTCTTCCATTAGCAAGAAGAATCAGGGTATGGTGCGGAAGAAACTTCGACTGGTTGAACACTCATGCTTCGCTTCAACGGTATGTAAAAGCTACAAAATACAGTCAACAGCTCCTTCGTGGTGAAGCGAGCCGTCATGTTTACTCTGAAAAATTCCACTGCTCGTGCTCTCATGAATGCTCAACGAGCAACACGGCTGTCCCGTGGGGACTACCCCTTCCAAAATGTGTCATCTGTTCATCGCAGTGAAAGGATATCGTTGAGTTCATCGAAATCGACATACGACTTTCGTCATCTGTCGCACATGCTCCTCTTGACAAGCTCTTTTTCTCTGTGCTGAATCTGGTCGTCAGCCCTGGCAGGCAGTGTTTAGGCCGCAATTCCGAGTAGCTCGAAACGATTGGCACTGGCGCTTGGAGTTCCAGCCGGCTTCGAGACGCCCGACTTTCGCTTCTCTGTCGTAGCCTCCTTGGCCGACATTGGAGCTGTCTTGTTTGCTGGCGGTGTTTGTGGCTTCTGCTCCTTGGCCGGTTGCACACTCGGTCGCTTTGACGAAGCCGCGCTCTGGCTCTTGACTGGAGTTGAATTGATGCGAGCGTCTTGAGTGGCAGTGGCCTTTCGGGCGTCACGATTGTCGCGGTCGTTGGGTTTCTTGTTGGCGAACTTGCCTGATGCCTTCCGATCTTCCGTACCTTGCACTTGCTGCTGCTCGGCATTCTTGATTGCTTGGCTACCCTTGCGGCTGCCAGGACCGGACTGACCCTGGTCCGCTCGAGCGTGCTTGCGATCACGAGAACCATACTGTTGCTGCTCACGACCAAGAATCTGCTGATCACGCTGCTGGTAAGGCTTGCGCTCGTTGCGAGCTGGTTTTGGTGGAGGTGCAACATAGTTCGGGTCGACACACAGCTTATTGTTGAGTCTCGTGAACGGCACGTTGACAAAGATGCCTGCAGGGTTTCGCCAAAAGAAGATCTGGTCGTGGAAGCCAGAGTCAACGCTCCGGCCATTGTACTTCATCTTCAACAGGTTCGGGCCGCTTAAAGAACCGGCATCAGGGTGATATTGAGTCTTGCTGGGCACCTTAATCTTCGGCAAAGATCCAAAACTGCGCTCGTTGTCGAAATTCACTTCTGGCTTAGACGTGGGCTCAAGGTTACGAATGGTCTGAACTCGTTGCGCGTTCTTGCCTTGAGGCAGCGAAACGGTCGCCCCAGCGGTCTGCGTAGCCATCGGCTCTATGCTAGAGGATGCCACGGCTAGAGAGACACCCTGGGACTTCGGTGGCGTCTTTGGAGGTGATGGAGGAGCCTCGGTCTGCAAGTGCGCGCGACCAAAAAGACCATTGAACCTCTGCTGCCAGTTTTCGTTGTCAACGATCGGCTGCACAGCACCTGGTGGGGAAAATCGGTAAGGTTGTCGTTGAGGCGACATTACGACCGATCCATTTTGGAGAGACTGTACCTGTGATGGAGCAGGTGGCAATCGTACTTTAGCCTGTGGCTTCGGAAGTCTTACTTGTGGATGGCGAGCATCGCCAGAGTACACAGGGTGACTCTCTACTTCGGGCGGCGGCGCAAACTGCTCCTTGGACGCAACATTGGGCGCGACCGGAGCAGTCGCCATGCGCTGTTGTCGGAGACGCTCAGCGTGCATGCGATGAGGTGGCGCTATTGGTCGTGGCAAGCCACCGTGCGATGGGTTCTGAGACGGGTCTGGAATACGCACTGTGCTGCCATTTGAGACGTCGGTTCTGACATCCTGAGCTGGTGAGGCGGCTGGAGGTGGTGGCGCGATTGGCTGGGTTTGCGTGCTCGGGGGTGCCGGGCTGAAGCCAGCGACAGGTTTTGACCCACTCCCATCATGTACAGTGCGCTCAGCAGCATCGTACTTTCGAGGCGCGCCAAGTTTACCACTCTGTTCGGAGGCGGTCTTCTTGAATGTCTCCTTGAATCGATGCTCAGGTAGTGGTGCACTCGGCACCTGTCCGTTGGGCATGCGATCTGCGGCAGTGGTCCAAGGCGAGACTTCTGGAGCGGGCGGGTGTGGCCGCTGGACAGGTGGTTGTTGCTGCTGATTCTGAACGTGATGCTGAGCACGAGACGGTGGCCCGATAGGCCCTGGAGGATGATGCGGACGACCATAACCAGGTGCCTGTGAGGGAGAGACGCCAGGCAGGCGTGATTGGCTGGAACCAAAAGGTGCGGGTCTATCATTCATGCCAGGAGCAGGGAAAGCTCGCTGCTGCTCAGAAACTTGTGGCTGTCCAATGCTAGGCGAGCGGCTGTCCTGGTTGAAACCTTGCGGAGATATTCTAGCGGAGCCTGGCGCGCGGGACATGCCTGGCGGCGGTGGGAGCGACGAGTTCTGCTGTGAGGTAGCCATTGGAGCGAAAGCACTTCCGCCCTCGAAGACCCCGTTGCCAAACCCACTGCCCCAAATGTTACTATTCGAGTTTGACGTGGACGGCCAAGGTGAAAAGGCGTCGTTGTTGACGCCTGGAGACCTGCCGAGCGGCGCAGGCTGCGATTTGCGTTCCCCGGGTGACGAGTAGGATGACGTGGGTGCTCTGTAAGCCGATGCGTGTTGTTGCTGATTGAAAGGTGCACGAGCCGGCGGCGCGCGCTGACCTGTGGTTTGTGTCGGGCTCTGATCGGTTTGAGTCGCAAGTCCAGAAAGAGTCCCCTGCGGTTGAAGTGGGGCTGCCGGTTTCTCGGGCGATTGTTGAGCAGGCGCAGGTGTTTCCACAATAGCAGGTGATTGAGAGCTGGCGCTGGTGGAGGCTGGCTGCTTGGCAGGGTGTGGTTCCTTTGAGGAGCTCTCGATTTCACTTGCTGATGCAGGCTTTTCGGCCGTTGTCTTCGCAGCCGCCTCAGCAGCACGCTCACTTCTCGACTTGCCTGCACCTTCTAAAGCTGCTAGCTTCGCCTTGAGACGCTCCTGTTTCGCAGCCTCTTCGCGGGCTTCCTCCTCCTTGCGACGTTTGGCGGCTTCGCGCTTTTCTTGCATAATGCGCTCTTGAACCTTGACAGGATCTTCTGGCAGCAGCCCCGCCTCGACCTGAGCTGCAGGAGCTTCTTGCTGCACATCTGGAGGCGGTGGCACCTGCTGATCCCAAGCTGACTGTTGATGGAAGTTAGGCCGCACAGCCACAGGGTTGGTTGCTCTTTCTGAAGTAGTTGGTGGCACTTCTGGCGTAGCAGCGAACTCTGACGCTTTGCTGACGGATACGCGACGTCGGCCTGGCATACTTCCTAGACTCGCACTAGAGTCACGGCGTCTGCGACTACCCCAGCTGCCGTCCATCTGCGAGCTACTCCGAGATTGGAAAGCTGGCGACGGCTCTGGTGCCGGCGAGAGTGTCTGTGTTGGACGCTGCAGGACGGCTGGCTTTCGAGAATTGTCCTGACGAATACTACCTCGTCGACCTTCTGGAGCAGGCTCGTATCGGCCGTTTGACGAGTTAAACAGCTCACGAGCGCCGCTCTCGCGCTGCCACGATCTGTCGAATGTGTCTGCCGCTATCTCACGAGCCGGTGGTGGGGCCATGGCCTCGCTCGCTCGTGCATCTTGAGAAGGCAGAGCTCGTGGGGCAGGAGGCGCCTGTACCGGGGGGTTGATAGGTGCCACAGTATCCGGCTTGGGTACGGGTGCCCACGGTGACTTTGCTGGTGCAGCTGCAGGGCTCTTAGCCGTCAGAGAGGCCTTCTGACCTACCGACGAAGTACCAGAAAGGCCTCCATTTTGTCTCGCTTGCATCGCGGTAGCTCCAGGTTTCAAAATCTGCATCGGCCTCTCCGGGCGGTCTGAGCGCTGCTTGAGAGCGAGCGCTGGCTTCACGCTTTCGGCGGTCTTCACAGCTGGTTGAGTCGCTGGTTTTTGCTCTTCTTCGCCAGGCACAGGAGTTGGGTCTTTCGGGACGGTACTCTTAGTGCCATCCATCCACACCACAGTTTCTGGTGCCCAATCGTCCTCATCATCGTCGATGTCTGCCCAGTTTGAATCTTTCTTATCCCCATCAGTCTGCAGTCGCGTCGCGAGGTGAATGCCGAACTGCTGCTTGAGTTCCTCATCTGTCAACTGCTTCGGTGGTGGAGCCACTACAGGCTGATTCTTGTTCCACACCTTGCTCGCGTCTGGAGCTCCTGGGCCAGCAGAGCCTATGCGTGGCTTGAGCATCGATTGCGAGGCGCCTGTCTTGGCGATGAGTCGAGGTCGATTTGCTGGCTGCAGGGTCGCAGATGCCGGCGTTGCTGTGTGCTTGTTAGCTCCACCGTTCCGGATGCTGTTGGGCTCGCCGATCTTACGTTTGTCTCCAGCTTGTGGTGCCGTCGGCGCCGTCGGTGCGATTTTGCTCAGGAAGCTCTTCGTTGCATTCACCTTACTGAAACCGACAGGCTTCTTTGCAGTCGAAGTCGTGCGCGCGTGTCGGCTGTTCTTCTCGCCTGCATCCACTCTGCTGTTGTCCGTATCCGAGTTCACATTCAAATCCACGGACCCGCCTGTAATGCTCTTGTCATCTGCATGTCCATCCGCCTGATTGCTGTCCTCGTGCGTGCCATTTACAAGATCTCCATGCGCCGATTTCAGTGTCCCATCACTCGCTACTGCTTGTGACCCGGGAGCTTTAATCGCAGGTTGGTCTCCAGCCTCGCCAGCACTTGGCTCAGCTGCAGCCGAGAACGTTTTCGATCCTGTCTGCTCTGAAGTTGTTCCATTGGGAAGGACTGTTTTCACAGCGGAGCCCACGGCGCTGATTGTATCGGAGAGGATTTTCGAGCTAGTCGTCGTCGTGGTGCCGCTGGCAGCGGAAGCGGTGGTGGAGTTGTTCGCAGCAGCGTCGACTAGCGCAGAGGCGCTCGTCGACTCCGAGTTGATTACCACATTGTGGCTTGTCTGCTCTGCCATCACAGTATCCAAGTCTGTGTGCGCAGAAGATATCGAGTCAGAAAATGTTGGTGTCATGTATGTCGCAAGGCGGGCGAAGTGGGAGCAGATGTCGCTGCTGCTGAACCAACCGGTGGCCGCGCGTAGGCAACGCCGCAGCTCCCGAGATCGCAACAGCGCGTCTGACTCCTTCACCCAGTGGCCGCGGACGCAATGCGAAAGCAAAGCGTGGCAATATGCCTACCTCAATGTCAGAAGGGGGCTGAGACTGCCAGTGCGCTCTCGTGTGGCTGTTTCGGGCGACAGGCTGCTTTCTTCGGGTGTGAGAGGGAGGTGCGCGGGTCGACGGGTTTCGCTGGGTACGATGCGCGCTGCTGTAGCGGCTTGTGTGCGGTAATCCGGCTGCGTCGAGCGCGGAATGGAGTGATGTGGTGGTGGTGTAGTGTTGGTGTAAGCGGCGGAATCGTGGTTGTCCAGCGATGTGTCCGAACATGCGAGGCAAGGGAGGAGCCGAGCCAAAACTCAAATGGAACACGGAAAACGCAAGCGAGGGCGAAGACCGGGCATGAACCGGAGGCGAACCACGACTCAACGATAGCAGGCCTCTAATATTGATACCATACAACGTACACGAGACTCCGTACAAACTCTGGCAGAGTAGGACTGTTGTTCAACTACGATTTCATCGAGAAGCACGTGACGGTCATGTGCAAGCTAGGCACAAAGGAGCGGTCCAGCACTGGCGACCTCAAAGCATTGTCGGTATCTTATTTACACGGAGTATCTGCTATACCTAGTAGTTCTGCAGACTCTCTACTTGGACTCGACCAAGTCACACTTAGTGGGCGTTGTTCTTGTGGTGACCTGCAAAGGCCGTGTTAGCATTTGCGTTCTCTGATCACCGTGGGCCAACTCACGAAGATGGAAGTAATAGTTTTGTGCATATCCGACGATGATGAGAGAGCCGATAACGTGGACGAGTGCTGTGTCTCCATGTCAGTCGCTCGCCCCCAGTGGTTCCGCGCCAGCAAGTTCTGCTCCCGGGTCATGAATTGTACATACGCCATGGAGATGCCTTGTTGCCCATGTATCTGTGCTGGTATCTCTGGAGGAGGCCGCTTGGCTTGGCCTGTGGTGCGCTGCCTCTGGGAAGCTTCTCGTAGAATCCCACAACGTTCGTCATGCGCGCGGCATCGCCAGCGCTGCCGATGGCCTGTTCCAATTCACGTCAGCCTCCTGTATATTCGTATAGCCTCCATTGATCTCGCTTCCGGCGCCCTCGAGCTCGTCAGGGTGTCCGTATGTGCGCATGGCTGGCCGGGAGTGATGGCGGAGGAGAACGTTAGGATGGTCGAACGTACGTTGGGCGAGGCAATCTGGCCGGATGATATCAGCATACGATTCGCAATTCATGAGGAAGCTCACGTACCTTTGGGGGAATTATTGAGGAGACCATAGCTGCGGTTGTGGTGTGATGTCGCTGTCGATGCAAGACTTGAGGTCGCTGTTGAGAGATCACCAAAGCGGCAAATCCCGAAGCTTCGACCGACCTCAATGCCGTGACCACAGCCTTCCCCATGAGGTAAGGTAAAGTGCTTTCCCATACACACCTCACACATCATGGCGTCCCTACGATCCGCAGCAGTCTTGCGCGCTGCAGCGCTCCGACCAGCTCTCTCACACCGCGTGCCGACTCTCGCAAGATTTCAGAGCAGCGATGCCGTTGCGCCGAACCAGCAATCGCGAGACAACAGACCAGAGTCAACAGATGCTGCTCCAGCAGCGCGGGCATCGACGTCGAGCGTGACGATCCGACAAGAGGGAGCCTCGGAGGGACAGCCAAGGCATAACCCAGACTGGACTGTGGCGGCAGATTACAGGACATCGTAAGGAGGACATGAGCACTTCCTAGAGAGGCGGGAAAGCTGATCCCCGGACAACAGCAACTTCTCCCCTGTGCCCATGCGTGTCATGGACGGCAGCGAGCCCGGTCTCACCACTCCGGCTGCCGTGCTGTCTGGCGCTCCCATTGAGCTCCAAGCTCGCACAGTCCGGTATGCTAGCTACATCACCACTTGCCGCCCACTAAGCAAAAGCAAGAACTAATCCTCTGCTCAGCATCTACAAACCTGCCAAAACCGCCACGCAATCTGGTGACTGGACTTCGCACCAATGGCGTATGGACTGGGATCCTCTCAGCAAAGGCCATCGATGGGAGAACCCTCTCATGGGTTGGCAATCGTCTTCCGATTTCATGCAGGGCACACATTTGAACTTCAATAGCAAGGAAGACGCCATAAACTTTGCCAACAAGCAAGGATATGAGTACTTTGTGCAGGAACCTAACGTGAGGAAAATTGTCCCGAAGGCTTATGCAGATCAGTTCATTCACAGTCCGAAGAAGCTGAAGCAAGTGAGGACAAAGTAAGATGAAGTCCTGAGAGAAGGAGCTGGTTATGCTCCAGCAGGTCTGTATATATCCTGTGGTATTGAGCACGAGTTCACAACCGATCAGACCTCGCGATCCCTTATCTAACAGGTTCAGCCAAAGTATTGCATTACCCGCCATCAGATAATGAGTGCACAGCTAGGATATGCTCTCACAGACCAGTCCTTAGCCAAGATACTGCAGTCAAGTGTAAGATGCAGCCTACATAGTACCATCAACATCATGATTCTATGCGAATACGTGGGCTCGCAAGAGCAAAAACTCCAAGGGCAATCATTTTATTTGTAAAAACACAACAGTACAGCGCTCTACTTACGGTCCATGCTAATCTCCATCTTAGACCCACTCTCTCTGCTTCTCCCTTTCCCTTTCCCAAGCCTCCATCGCCAGCCTCGTCGAGCTCCCTACCAAAAGCTTCGTGTCCTCCCCAGACGCTGCCTGGTCCTTCTCTGTACTCCGCGCGCGTGGTAGGATGCACCAACGCACGACCCGTTTCGCGATTCGATGACACTTGCCCTTCACGTTCTGATGGCTTCTCCCCTGTTTTGAAGAAGGTGCATCTTCCTCTGTATCTCCATTTTTCGACTCCACGTTCTCGCTGGACTGTGTGGCAGTCTCTGAGCTTGGCTGTTGTGCTCCAGTCGAAGCAGCGGTGGCGGCAAGGTCGTTCTGATGCGTCCAAGATGGGGAAGGCTGGATCTCATCGCTGCTGAAGGCTTTGACGAATTTGCTGATTCCGAGAACTTGTTTCTTCTCCGCAAGAGCGGAGCCTGTCGCTTGCGGCGTAGTCCGCGTGGGGAAGTGTGTTGTGTAGTTGTATGGCATTTTGTGTTTTGGCTGAATGCTAGAGGCTGATATTGGATTGCGGCTATGGTTGTGGTTGTAGTTTTTGCTGTGCGAAGCTGATCTTATGTACAGGAAGACACTGAAAATTTTGTGTGCGGATGAATGATCAAATATGGATATGATTTCTATGGTAGCATCCCGAGCAAAGGTTGGTAGGTTGTAGGGAAGGGAGGATATGTGCTGACCGGCCCCAGCATCTCCTTATTCTCTATTTTGCTCGTACTGCGGACTTGAAACTATCATACCGAACCGATGGCCAGATGCATACACAATTATACTTCCGAATGACCTCTCGAACCAAACCTGCTCGGCAGCCTTCATTGCACTCATGGCTGATGAGTAGAAGAAGAAGTATTTTTTTCTTGGCGCAGTTCTTTTAAAGTTCTTGCACACGCCGTGGTAGCTCTTCCGTGGAAGAGACGACAGAAACTGGAACGTATCTGGTATACTTTGAGTCTTGCTGGCACAGTGGCAATAACTCCGGCAAGTGACTCCGCGGTGGGTGGAATTTCGTACTTTAAGGACACTCACCACCCCAGCTCAGGAAAAAAAGGAATTTCAAAGCCGAACCACGACGTCGAACATCTTCCACTTCCCAAAAAAGTACGACAACAAGGGTGAAAATTATCACAAACCTCATCATTAGACTCGCGAACCTCAACAGCCGAGTCGACCGCACTGACGACGAACGCCACAACAAGGAATGTACCTCCCCGCCCTCCACCAAACCCCCCCAAACCATTCACCTCCCATGTTCCCTCTCACGCCCTTCCTCCTCGGCGTAGCTCTCGCCCTCTCCATCTCCGTAATCCTCCTCCTCCTCATCGGCATCTTCTTCACATTTTCCCTTCCATGTCTCGAGAGAATTTTCTTTTTCTTCTTCCGGCGACAGCGGGAGCAACAAGAATTAGACTCGGATCTTCCTGAGGAGCGGAGGAGAAGGACGACGACGACGACGACAACAACAACAACAACATCGGCAGCAGCAGCGGCGGCGGCAACGGCAACGGCGAGAGGAGGACGAGAGTGGGCTGTTCTTGCACGAGATCTTGGGTTGACGAGGACTGAGGGGATTTTGGTATATGAAGGAGATTATGGGGTTTTTGCTGAAGATGAGGAGATGTGGCCGTTGTTAGTTGCGGGATGGGATGGGATGATCTGAGGGATTGTGTCGTATGTATGCTTCGTGGTGACGAGGAGAGACTTGGTATTTGTGAAAGAGGATGGGTTTGTGTTTTTTTTTTACACTTTACTCCTTTGGGCGGGAGAGTGTGGTTTGTAGCCCACTGGGTCTAGATGGAGTGTCTGAGAGATAGAGAGAGACAGAAAGGGAGAGGGATTTTGGAGGTTTGGTACGCAGGACCATGTTGGGAGGATATAACCAGCTACTTGGAGTCTTGGACGTAGGTTAATTTTTGGATGTTATAGTTAGTATACTAGGGGTTGATATGTGGGGTTGTTGTACTTGTAGTTGATAATAGCGATCTAGCTATTGATTACAGATGCCAACGACAAGATTGACTCAATTGTTCAATACTTCGCCGGTGACAAGACAAGAGATATGATATCAGCATATACTCGGTAGCTCCGTGGTAGAGGTCAATTTTGTCGCTCCCTGGGAACGGTTCAGCGCATGGACAGCAACCCCACAGTACCCAGTCGGTCATCAGCGGTATGGTTTAACTCATGGGTACCTAGGTGCTCCGTTCACCAAGATAAGTTATTTAGAATTCCCGTCGTACTTTCGTTCCTTCCACCTCTTTATCCACTCATCCAACGACGAACTCAAGAACAAATCGAGCCTACCACCAGATCAAGCACGAGAGGGCCAATACCGCAAACAAGAAGTTCGAAGGGAAAGAATATGTTCTCCAAAGCCTTCCCGAACAGCACTATTGTGCATTACAAGTCTTACGTCCAATCTACAAACGGCACCACAGTCCACCGGAGATCGTCGAGTTGTTTTCGCTACCACAATCAAGCTGTAGCGAATGCAGAGAAATGGTGTCAGGTGCAAGCGAGCAAAATGCCAGAAGGGTCGAGGAAGTTTGTAGGGTTCGAAATCTCTCCTGCAAAGACAACAGCAGAATATGGCTGCTTCTCCTTCTGGAGGAGGAAGAAGAGTCGAACGGCGAGTGACTTGGCGCAGGATGGTGCTAGTGGGAGGATGCTTCATCCGAGTGAAACGAGAGAGCAGGGGGGAGAGGTGCTGTGGTGGGAGTGTTAGTACGGGGATCAGGTTCTGTCCCTACGAAGATTGGATGCCGCGTACCGGGCGCCGTTATGGATTGAATATTAACCAGAGACACATTTTGGTATATTTGGGAAGAGCAAAGGTTGAGTTTCTGAAGTACCGAAGTTCAGGGCCACGTGATCGTGGGTGCGTTTCTTATGTCGAGGACTCAATTGGGTACCTTAGTTGCGATTGCTGACCAGATAATGTCCAACGTCTCCTCCTCCTCGTGTCTTGTGTTCTGCTAGCCATGTTGCCAAATTCGTTGCTGGATTGGGAAACGACCAGACGATTATCTTCCGCATCGGGATATGCACACTCTCGAAGTCCTGCCTTAGACTATTGGGACTCGCGAGCTGACCACGATCTGGAAAACATGCGAGACGGAGCGAAGCGTTTCAAAGGCCGATTGCAGAAAAGCTCAAGAGAAGGTCAGATCAAGCAAGACTATTCTCTTCTGCTGTTGACTGAGCCCACGAATAGCTGCCATGTCGGCCCTGAGAGGACTCGAGCACTGCTCAGACCTGTTCTCCGATCGCCTTTGCAGCCCGGTACAAGATGGCAAAGGCCCAGCCCGTCCCTGTGAAATACAACAAGCTCCTTAAGTAACTCCACAGTTTCGTCTCGGTGGTCAGATAGTTTGCCGTGTAGAGGATCCTGATCAGGTTCCATCCATAAACAAAGCTCTCGAGTCCAATGCTGCCCTTGCCTAGCTTGTTCTCTGCCAGCAAGCCAGCGAATACGGCAGCAACGTATAGAGGCATGTTCTCCAGATGATTCCTGTGACAGGACTCGGCGCGCTCAAACGCTGCAAACTCAGCCGCAGTGAGGCGCTTCTTGAGAGCCTCTTGATACGAGGAACCTTTAGGGTTTCGATTATCGTGGCGTCTCATATTGCCTTTGGAGGCTCGGGTGATGGCCCAGCCATGGGGGAAGATGGCAAGGGCGTAGTAGAATGGGATGGACAGGATCGGGAGGTTGAGTGACGAAGACATTGTGACGCTTCTTCTCCCCCTTCTTCCTCTTCCTCTTGCTTGGGTATTCCGTTTGCCGATGCCGTAGTGAACACCGTAATACCTCGGTCCTGCTAGGAGGTAGTTTTTTGATAACTTTTGTGACGTGAAGCCGCGGGAGGCAATAACACCTAAGAGTCAGCGGTACTGTCGATGTTGGTCGTTGGCCCTCGAATGATAGACTGTCTGTCATGCATTCCACAGCCGAGCCCTCCCGAGCGTGGAGCGCACACACCCCGCTCCACCCACACCCACTGCCATGGCCTGCCCTGCCCTGCCCTGCCCTGCGCACTCCATCGTTCCAACATCCAAGTTTTTTTTTCTTCTCTGTCTTCGCCGAGGCTGAAGTGAACAATGTCATAAGGTTCTCTCCGCCCTCACTGCGCTCATGCCTTCGACCTCACTCACCTGGACATGATGCAGGTTGGATGCGCCGGGCAGGCTGAGCAGGACTGGGCTGGGCGGATGTGAAGGATCGCGATGTCTGACCGTCTGACTGACAACCTAACTCTCGACTAGTTCTTGTACTGCAAACTCAATTGGGAGCCAACATCGACCCCACCTCTTCGATGGCGCATACCAGCTGCAACGGGCCAAGCGCGAGCTGCTTCGAGCTGCGTGTTCGCCGCATGCGCCTCTCTATCCCGCGCTATCGACTCCCGAGGGACGAAAGGCAGACCTACTTTGGTGGAAGTAGAAGCAGAAGTAGAAGCAAGCAAAAAGCTGGAGGCTGGGAGCTGACCCCGATCGGCTAGATCTAGGGCTACATGGGCGATAAGAGCTGCCATATGTCATATGATAAGTCGATAACCCACGTACATACATGTATGTAGCTCCAGCCTGCTCTATAGCCAGGTGAGAGCTCGCTGCTATCGTTGTTATCGTTGCTGTCATCACCCTAAAACGGTCGATGGTGAGTAAGACTCGCTCAGCCTCCATTTGGGAATAGAATTAGTTCTATTGCTTTGGGCGTGCGCTGCTGGCGGCAGCAGAGTTCCCAGACTTCCATTCATCTCACGAAGCGCTCAAGATGTTCGCTACTATTGCAGCACTCGGCGTCGTCTCCCTGCTTACACCTGGAGCGTACGCACAAGCCACGAACTCGACCAGCGAACGATATGTGGTCTGGTCTAGTGTCGTCTTCACACGTACTGGAGAGCGGACGCCAGAAGTACTGGGCAAAATACCTCCACAACTTACCTCACTTGGTGCTCAACAAGCCTATGCGGCAGGTCAATTCTTCCGTGATCGCTACACCCTTCTTCGTAATGGCACCAATGGAGCCGAGAATGCCGGTGCTGAACTCATCGGACTGAACGCCAATCTGTACGATCAGGACCAAGTCATCTCCATGGCACTCGAGCAGCAGTATAACATGGCAACGCAGCAGGCATTCATGCAAGGCCTGTACCCTCCCACCGATCTAGGAAACAGCAGTACGACGGGTGGTCTCCTCAGTCCGATCAATATCCTTGCGAATGGATCATATGTAAATATTTACCTCCGGACTGTGCTCCCTACAACGTGCACACGATGCTAACAGGAGCAGGTCTCGGCCCCACTAGGTGGCTACCAATACCCGCAGCTCAGATCTGCTGGTCCTCTCGATGCGGACTTTGTTTCCCTCTCTGGCCACCTCAACTGCCCAGCATGGGAAGAGTCAATCAAGTTGGCCAGGGCAACGCCATCCTACGATGGTACGCAAGAGGAGTTTGATGGGCTGTACGACGTTGCTGGCAGTGCAACTCTGATTGGAGTTCTCCCCAACAACTACTGGGACTATAACAACGCCTATGCCATCTATGACTATCTCGCCTATCAGAATGCACACAACGCCACCGTACGAAATGCGCTTGCAGGTCTCCGCTGGACGAGTTCCAACGTCAGCTTCCTCGACACTCTGCGCTACCTTTCCGATCAGCAACAATTCGCCATGTTGGGAAACTTGAGTGCACTAAATGTCTTCCAGAATAAGCACACCCTAACAGGCGCATCCGGGAGTATTTCGACCATCGCAGGAAATACCTTCGCCGCTCGCGTTCTGAACTCGCTCAACTCGGCTGTGATGGACGCCGCATTTGGCCGCTACAAGCTCAATCTCTTCTTCGCCGACTACCACCCCCTGACCTCATTCTTCTCTCTCATGGGCCTTCCCAATCTCAACTCGGATTTCTACGGAACTCCCAACTTCGCCTCATCGGCAGCATTTGAGCTCTTCAGCTACACCAACGAAACCGACCCCAAATTCCCTAGTACCGACGATCTCTGGGTTCGATTCTACTTCCGCAACGGGACCGAAGGTAGCGAAAGCACGTATCGAGCGTACTCGCTCTTCAATCGAGGACCAGATCAATTGGACATGCGCTGGACAGACTTTAGCTATTCCATGCAAAACAACATGATGGCCGGCATCGGCAATTGGTGCAACGAGTGCCACTCCACCAGCTTCTTCTGCGCCGCATTCGACCAAAACGGAAACGAAGTCAGCGCCGACTCCCGCAACTCATCTTCCTCCCGCAACGGCAGCGGCAGCGGAGGTCTCAGTCCCGCAGTCGCAGGCGTCATCGGCGCCATCATCGCTCTCGTCGTCGCAGCTCTCATTTTCGCTCTCACCATGCTCTTCGGAGGAATCAGACTCTACCGCAATCCTTCCAATACCATGGCCGCACATAAAAGCCATTGGGGAGGTTTCAAAGGCGGCCAGAAAATGCAAAGTGATCAAGATCTCACCATTCCCAAAGGTGGCGCCATTGTCGTCGGTGCTTCTGCTGTGAATAATGATGAAGAACAGGACTCACGCCGAGTTCCAGGAGGAGGTGGTGGACATGAACGAGTGGGGAGTTGGGAACTCAAACATGCTGAAGCTGGTGGTAGGAATTTGAATTTCCCGGAGCAGCCACAGCAGCAGGAAAGTCTGAGACCGAGTATGGAAGAGATTCGACATGCTCATGATCATGATGATCCTTTTGCTGATCCGAGTGGTTTGAAACCTACGCAGACGAGGGAGCATGTGTAAGGTCTGTCTGTAGGTACAGGTAGTGAGAAGGGGGAGTGGGGGTAACCTGCCTGTCTAAATCCACCTGCACTGCTGCTGCTGCTGTTGCTGCTACTGCTGCGCTCATCGAACATAATGGACGATGGACGATGGACGATGAACGAAATATACGAATATACGAAAGAAGAAAAGAAGAAGTTTCCCACATCTAGGCACGGCGAGATGAGAAGAGATGAATTCCATGAGTGAAGGAGATAAGAGGCAATTCTATTCTTTTTGAAAGAGAGGGAGGGGATAAGAAGAGAGGTAAGGTACATTACCTACCTTACTTTGTACATATCGATTTTTTGCCTTTTTTTTTCGAGATACCCGTTTACATACCTATATATGCATATGCATATATGAAGTACATGATGATGAAAGAGGTTAACTTTTCTTTTTTCTCTTTCCTCTTTCTCGGAAGTTATATATGTAAAGGTATAATTACGAGACAATTGGGGGGGGGGGAAGGTACATACCATACATACCTACCTACCTTATAGCAGCATTTCATGTAGGGTGTTTCTTCCTCTCTCTCCCTCCCCTCTCTCTCTCCTTCAGTAGCTAAGTCTCTCTCATCGAAGCTACGAAAAACAAAAAATAACCACAAAAAATAAAGGAAAAAAATAAAAATAAAAGCAACGTTCAGTATAAAGAAAGTGTGAGAAACCCCTTTTTCAGACTTTTGTGTGCTACTAAACAGGATAATAGCCTGCGTGGTAGTAGTAGGTAGCCTCTCGTCCTCCCCATATCCTGTCCTCGCCTGATATGCGTCGTAGGTAAGTAGGTAGCATGCAGGGCTCGATTTTCGTCGCGCGGATCTCTCTCTCGCCCTTTATCCCTACATGCACGATGGAGTCTCCATCATCATGCCTGTCTGCTCTCGCGCGTAGCAGTTCTTCACTGCTGTGTGGTGGATGCGATTTGAGTGCGCAGATTTTGTCCTCCGGAGCATTCTTCTAGTCATATTGCTTGCTCCTGGAGCGTCTCAGCTCTCTCTCTCTCTCTCTTCTCCTTCCTCTTTCCCTCTCTCTCACTCTCTCGTTCTCGCCAATGTGGTTCTTCACTTCTCTTCCTCTGATTCCACACCATCCAATCTCAACCAAATTTCGCTTCCGTGAGATTCTACCCCGCCATCTCCGAGTCTCCATTTGCTTGCTTATCCTTTGCCGAGATCCAGAGGACATTATTGCATCTGCGCCCCCAATCATTAGCCTTTGCTTCCCTTCCCTTCCCTTCCCTTCCCTTCCCTTCCCATCCCCGCATCCACTCCCCCCATCTCTCTCTCTCCTTCCCCTACCCCCTTCTCCACGCGCAAGCGCAAAAAAGAAACTCACCTAATCAAAACCTGTCCCAAAACCCCTCCATCATGTCCATCAGGCGACTTTTCCTCAGCCCCACTCAATTGAATATTCATATACGAGTCGACCGAAACCAGACGTCCCGAGTATTCTTGTCCCCACTTGATGCGCACAATCACGTCCTTGTTCACGAGGCCTTGGAGCATGGGTCGCGGGTTGAGGGGGATGAACTGTTTGTTGCGACGAGAAAAGGGCGCGGCGCGTGTTAGTGTGAGTGAAAAACAGACGAAGGGATGCGTGGGAGAGGTGGGGGATGTGGAAGAGGAGGGGGAGGACGTACACTCATGGTTGCGGTGATGGGGAGACGGGATGGGAAGGGGAGGTGATGTTGTTCTTGTCGCGAAGACGGAGTAGTGGGAGGTAACCCAGATTGGTAGTGGAGAGCTTTCGGATCACGTGATTGTGTTTTCTTCGCGTATCCGTTCTACAAGGTAGGAGGTACCTAATATTCGATCTCACTGCCAAACGGGAAGATTGGAGAACCCTTCAAGCAAACAAGCACTTTGGTATTCGCTACAAATTCTATTTACTCCTCTGCTGACTGCTCTCAGCGCAGCACAAAGCGCGTATCATCCATACTCATGGAACGTCTCAGTCATGCGTGGGGGCTCTTCTAGGATCCCGCAGCGACAGCGACAGTATCGCCTCTGATATCACACAAACTCCGCTTCCCAGCAATGCCTTCGAAGGTCGAGCATTTTACCCCTCAAACTCTTTGATGCTGTCGTTGTACTTGCCCGGGATGAGGGCGAGCGGCACAATACCAGAAACATGCATCTCGGGGCCAAAGACATGGCCGTTGAGGTCAAGCTCCTTGAACACGGCCTTGATGTTCTTGAGACCTTCCTGGTAGTTGGGACCTGCACGACGGACCCAGATCTGCACATTGTGCTCGTTTAGTTGAGGTGCGACTTCGCGGATTGCGCGGATGACACCCTTGAATGTGCTGGCCACCTGTGTATGAAGTCAGCGCTCGATGCCCGGTGGATCATTACTAAGTGCACTAGTTTCAAGCTTACGTTGGTGAAGTTGGCGATACCGCCACCAATGAAGAGGACCTTGCCCTCTGGTGTTTGTGGTGCCCGCAGCATCAGGTCGAGGACAGTGCGTGCGTAGTGGAAAGTCTGTGTCTCGGTTGGAGCACCAGAGTACTCTCCGTAGTTGGCGAGCTCTCCCGCAAATCCAGCAGACGCAATAGCATCGGCGTATACGACAGACGCACCACCACCAGCAACCAATGTCCACACACGTCCTGTTGCATTGAGTATTGTGAGCTTGAGTGATGCGCCCGTCTTTGCGTCCATCTCTGCAATGTATGCCTCCTCTTTGCTCATCTCACGACCGAATGGTGCTGGGAATTCGAGGGGTGGACCTGCATCGATTGAGACTTTGCTTCCTGCAGTAGGTACAATTGGGATACCGAGCGCAGCTGGTGCGCGTGCAACGGCCCATTTGACACCACATTCGAATTCGGCAGTCTGGTCAATCTTTGCGGCGAGATCGAGGAAGTGGACGTCGGCGGAGGTGCCTTCGGCATTTGGAATGACGACGAGCGGGTTGATCTCCAGGTAGGTGAATTGGCAGTCGACGTATACGGCGTATAATCGTGAGATGAAGTCGATGAGCACGGGGTGGACGCCCTTGGGCACTTGTGACAACAGAGACTTGGCAATCTCTTCGTTGCTCGGGTACTCCTTCAGGTCGACTGGGATCAACAGCTTCGAGGCTTTCTCGTCGACATCACCAACATCCACACCACCCTCGTGGTAAAAGAGAATCCAGTCACCCTAAGAGATGTGGTCAGCCCGAACAGCAGAGGGGAAAGTCTCAGCTAGTACAAACCTCGCGAACGGAGTTGATGTTGATGTAATACTCCGTTTCCTGAGGGTGAGGCACAAACGGCTCCACCAGGAAATTTCTTAAAGCGCCCTCGATGTGTTCGACCTTCTGGATCTTGTTCGCGCGTGCTGCAATCCACTCCTTTGCGTCTGCCCATGAGGCGTTGAGCTTGAGCAGGCCCGACTTTCCTCGTCGCTTGATCAATTGATCAGGTTTGGCAACAAATTTGGCATCTGGTTGGAGAAGGAAAGGGTATTTGGCCTCGGCGGCGTCCAGAACACCGTTCACGTCGTCACCGTCGGCAAATGTTATCGTTGCAAGCTTTGCGGGAGGATTGTGTGTTGATGACGGAGGAAGAGGAGTCGGCTTGATCACAGGCGCGCGCGTCAGGTGGTAGTTGAGAATGGCCTTGCCATCTGCTTCCGTGATGGGCTTCGCGGACATTGTGGCAGTAGATGTCTGAGGTTGTGGACTTTTTCACGAGTGCTGTTCACGAAACTGTGGTAAGCAGGTCGTTCAATGGACGAAGCTTTTCAATGGTGATTATTATTGCTGGCTCGCTTTGCGGAGAGGTGGATTTGTGGGCAGCTTCGCGGGAAAAGCTTGGTAGGGCAGGTGAGCACTGAGAACAATGGATAGGTGGGTAGTAATCGGCGTCGCAGGATCGGGGGAGCCTGGCGAGAGCTGAGCTGGCTTGCAATATCGAACGACTTTTCGGCGCCAGGACGAGTTCCACTTTTGTCTGGTCTGTTCCGTTCTCACCGCGCAAGCTCGTCTGCCCTCTAGCCTCTGCGCAATTCGATTTGCAAATGCAACGGAGACGGCTGGCGGCTGGGTTGCAATGTTTCTCTTCGCCAAACAAAAAAGTCCGAAAAGCAGCAGCTGCGGAATCCAGGGACCAGCAACAGCTTAAAATAAACCTTACGCACCTTGCAGCAGCTGAAGTCGTGTGCACCACTTTGCACTTTTAGCGAATGCCGTGAGAACTCGGAGAGGGTGTGTGAGGAGGGCGATGGTGGTGTGGGAGGAGGAGGAGGACGAGGAGTAGGAGGACGATGAGGACGAGAGGACGATGACGAGGGAGAGCGGGTGGATGATGGGAGGAAAATTATTGATCGGGCAGGAGCAGCATGGTATCACGTTTCGGGATGCAACAGTCTTCGATCAGACCTAATCAGAGTGCCTATGAATAATAATCGTCCGTCTTTTTCGAAGCTGTCCTCACTTCCTGGAACACTTTGAGCACGCTAGGAAGCAGCCATGGCAGCGCACAGTGTCAGTGCACTCCTCCAAACTCCATCGTCACATGCAGGCCCATGCTCCAAGCTTGATGAGCCTTGCGCTTCGGCGATCGACCTCCCTGTGCTCCCCCCAACAACCTCCAACACCCTCCAACTGTACTGTCTGTGCATGTACTCTGGGCATGACGCACCCGCACCGCAGTGCTCGCAATCGAATCATCAGAATATATTGGTTGAGCGCGCCTTCAACCGGGCCCAGTGTCCCCTCCCAAGCCGACCTGCCACGCCTGCTGCATCTCCACCTGCTGCCATTGGGATCTGATATCAACCGCGTGCGGCGCGTCCCAGCAGAACGAATGATGAACTCATTCAACCTCACCTTACCGTTGTCATGGCATAGTCAGCAGAAATAAATGCGGGGCGGTGAGTAATAAAGTACACTTAGTACAGGAGGTGCCTGACGATTGACCTGACGGGAGGAGGATACTGGTCAGGGTGTTCGGAAGCCGGAGAGCGATGCGAGAACGACGAGCCTCACGTTGTGCCTCCGTAGTAATGTTGCTTGCGCGCTCGCGTGCGTGCATGGTCTACTAGCAGCGGCATATACCTCCTAGCTCCTAGCAAAACAGTCACAAAACTACGAAGGGGAGCTGGGTTGACGTGGTTCGATTCCGTAAAACGCTGAGATGAGCCGGCCCGCTTATGGTTCGATGAGCAGCAGTTGGTGCAGGCTTCGGTCGCACCAGCCCGCAACTTGCCAATAATATGGATGTATTGCCTTGCCGCATCGAGTAGACTACAACGCCGACACGAGAACGACGACGAGGAGGAGGAGGAGGAGTAATAACCTGATCCACGCCGCGGATCTCCAACCCGATGCTGCACGGGCGGCCAGTGGTGAAGTTTATTTAGAGCTACAGTAGCGTATGTAACAATAGTTCAGCTTCAACTTCAACCTACAGGTACTGTCAAACTCCGATGGGCATGAAGGATTTCTGAAACCATCTTCCCGCATCCTCCTGCACCACCACCTCACCCTCCACCACCCTCCACCACTTCCTACACACTCTTTCCCATCTACCAGCAACTCCTCACTCATCCTCGAGCACGACGGACCACTGCTGTCTGTATCAAGTGGTAAGTACTTACCTCGACTCCCCGACGTGAAGTTCACCAGTCTGCAAGCAACCACGGACTGGCGAGAAACTTCAATCGGGACTGTTGCATCTTGACTCTGCCCTCTCCCTGCCTGCCTGTGAACAGTCTCGTCGTTGCTCGATTGTTTCAGCTCGAAGTGGTGAGCGGCAATCGCCATCTCCGCCGCGGCGAACAAAGAATTGATGTAAAAGATCGGAAGCTGATTTCGAACCATTACACCACAGTCCGCGAACTTCCACCACCTCCTTACTATACACTTCGCTCAGCTGCAACTGTGAAATCTCTTGAATTCACCATGGCTACCGCCAATGGCACCACAAACGGTGTCAATGGCACTGCACCAAAAGAGGCCCTCTCCGCCAACGACAACATCCAGCGCTTCGTAGCACCCAGCAGGCCCCTCAGCCCAACTCCCGTCCACACCCTCTTCCACCCCAAGACGAGATGTTTCGTCTACGGCATGCAGACCAAGGCCGTGCAGGGCATGCTCGACTTTGACTTCATCTGCAAGCGTAAGACGCCTTCAGTCGCTGGAATAATCTACACCTTCGGCGGCCAGTTCGTCAGCAAAATGTACTGGGGAACCTCCGAGACTCTCCTCCCTGTCTACCAATCGCCCGAAGCTGCAATGGCCAAACACGCCGATGTCGACACCGTGGTCAACTTTGCCTCCTCGAGATCCGTCTACACCTCAACCATGGAGCTCATGGAGTACCCACAGATCAAGTCGATCGCCATCATCGCTGAGGGTGTCCCAGAGCGGCGCGCACGTGAGATTCTGCACGTTGCAAAGAAGAAGGGTGTCACAATCATTGGCCCTGCCACAGTCGGTGGTATCAAGCCCGGTGCATTCAAGATTGGAAACACTGGTGGTATGATGGACAACATTGTGGCCTCCAAGCTGTACCGCAAGGGCTCTGTCGGCTACGTCTCCAAGTCTGGAGGTATGTCAAACGAGCTGAACAACATCGTGGCACAGGAGACCGATGGAGTGTACGAGGGTGTGGCCATTGGTGGTGACAGATACCCTGGTACCACCTTCATTGACCACATGCTCCGATACGAAGCCGATCCCGAGTGCAAGATTCTGCTCTTGCTTGGTGAGGTCGGTGGTGTTGAAGAATACCGCGTGATTGAGGCGAAGAAGGCTGGCATCATCAAGAAGCCCATTGTTGCCTGGGCCATTGGTACCGTTGCCAGCATGCTCAAGACGGAGGTGCAGTTCGGTCACGCTGGCTCCATGGCCAATTCTCAGCTCGAGCAGGCTGCTCAGAAGAACAAGGCTATGAGAGAGGCCGGTTTCTTCGTCCCAGAAACTTTCGAGGATCTGCCACAAGAGCTCTCCAAGGTCTACCAAACGTTGGTCAAGGAGGGCAAGATCAAGCCTGCTCCGGAACCAGCTGTTCCCAAGATTCCAATCGACTATTCGTGGGCACAGGAACTCGGCCTCGTTCGTAAGCCAGCTGCCTTCATCTCCACCATTTCCGATGACCGTGGCCAAGAACTTCTCTACGCTGGTCTTCCCATCACCGAAGTCTTCAAGGAGGACATTGGTATTGGTGGTGTCATGTCCCTACTGTGGTTCCGCCGCAGACTGCCCAAATACGCCTCCAAGTTCTTGGAGATGGTGCTCATGCTTACTGCCGACCACGGTCCAGCTGTGTCTGGTGCCATGAACACCATCATCACGACGCGTGCTGGCAAGGATCTCATCTCGTCTCTCGTCGCCGGTCTGCTCACCATTGGATCGCGTTTCGGTGGTGCTCTCGATGGCGCTGCAGAGGAGTTCACCCGCGCTTTCGACAAGGGTCTCTCTCCACGTGATTTCGTCGATACCATGAGGAAGGAAAACAAGCTCATCCCTGGAATTGGTCACCGTGTCAAATCACGAAACAACCCCGATCTTCGTGTTTCCCTCGTCAAGGAATACTGTCAGAAGAACTTCCCGTCGACCAAGCTCCTCGACTACGCCATTGCCGTCGAGACGGTCACAACGTCGAAGAAGGACAACCTGATCCTGAACGTCGATGGATGTGTCGCGGTCTGCTTCGTTGATCTCCTCCGCAACTCTGGCGCTTTCTCAGCGGAAGAAGCCGAAGACTACCTCAAGATGGGTGTCCTCAACGGTCTCTTCGTCCTCGGTCGATCGATTGGTCTCATTGCTCACTTCCTGGACCAGAAGCGTCTGCGTACTGGTCTCTACAGGCATCCTTGGGATGATATCACTTACCTCCTCCCAGAGCTCGGCAAAGGTGCTCCCGGTAACGAGGGTCGTGTCGAAGTCTCGATATGAGAGGAGACACCTTCGCCTTGATATCCATTTTGCGGTGATTGCTTCTTGTTGTTAGCGACGAGGGTTATAGTTCTCACGGCTGGCGTTTTCATGAGATGTCACGGCGCGATGAAATATGCCGTCGTGTATGGAAAATTTTAGATGGTTCGGGAACTTCTATTGAGTTGTAGATATACCCACAGATCGATGCCCGAGATGGCATTCGCACTGTAATAACACGCGCCAGCGAGCGTCACAATCATTGACACCTCACACATGCTTTCTTTGCAGCGCCGTTTGTTCATGACTCTTGGTCCCCATTCTCTGATATTCTTGCATTTCCTCTTGTATCATCCACCCCAGATGCGAAGCCTACCTATCAACACTGCTGTTATCAATGGAAGATCCCAAGCAGTGCAATCACTTGGCAAGAACCAGCTAGCCAGCCAGCCAGTCACTCGGCCAGTCATGACCCTCTTACTCTCCTCCTCCTCCGTCTATACCGAATTCGGGAAAAAGAGCGACGGCCCCTCAAAAAAAACTCACATCATACTTTACCTAAGAGTACCTAAGGCTAAGGTACCTGAAGGTACATGTACTTTATGTGCCAAGCATTTTTCCCACTATTGTACGGTAATGAAGAAGCTGACGTGAAGGACCTTACCTAAGTTAGGTAGATAGTAGATAGGTACCTATAGTATAGTAAGTAGTAATTCGGCGCCGATTCTTTTCTTATACCTCAAGGTAAGGTACATATATACTTGTAGATAGAGATATGTAATCAATCGTTCTAAGAAGTACGTATATATATGGTAGGTACTTAGTCAAGTGTTTTGTTCAGGTATTATCTCTATACCTAGGTATCTTTTGATATTTGTTGATTTAGACCGATATAGAGAATTAGAGAATGTAGAGAGGATCTAGATGTAGGTCTGGGTCTTGTAGCTATAAGGTTAGGTATATCTATGTTTCTTTAGTAGGTAGTTACTAGCTAGAACTATCTAGTCTATACTAGAGAAGTATTTTTTTTTTGTTTTAGAAGAGAAAAGGGATGACTATAAGGGAGGGATTGATGGAAGATACATTTGGGTAGGTAGGTGCCTTACCTAGGTAGGGGGAGCCATTTCTAGAAGAGCTGCTCGTCTGTGGTACTGTACTGTCCTGTACTGTACTGGCAATATTGTAGTAGGCAGTAGTATAGATAAGGGGGAAGGGGGCTTCCGTTGGTCGAAATAGGTACTGATAATCATGTCCACATCTCCATCTCTTTCACAGCCGCCGCGCAAATGCAGTCGCTCTCGAGGGAGGGGGCGCGTGTTGAGTGGTTCGGTTCATGTGTTGTAAAATGAAATATCACTCACGGTGGAGCGTTGGGTCTAGTGAGGGAGGCGAAGGATATGGCGGAAATTTGAATCTTCTTGATACCTGATCTTGGTACAGTCGGATCTCTTTCATCGCGTTTTGAACGGGTCGTACTGTGTTCTTTCACTACCTGTCCTCGCCGTCACTGTGGTTGTGGACTCCCTCTCCCTCTCCGTCTGTCTCTGTCTCTGTCTCTGTCTCCCTTTCTCTCTGTCTCCCTTTGTCTCTCCCTCCCTTTCTCTCGCCCTCTCGCCCTCCCTCGCCCTCCCTCGCCCTCCCTCGCTCTCTCTCCAGGAGGTGATCCAGGAGGCGATCCAGGAGGCGATCGGACGCGCAAACCCTCATCAGAAACGGTCGGGGGTGAGATGCGCTGAATTCTCCTTGATGTCCAGAACAAGGCTAGGCCTTTTCGAAGTGGGTAACGGTAGTCTCGCAGACGAGGGAGTTGACGGTGAAGACGGTGAAATCTGGATTGTCCTCGCAAGTCTCGTTCGGTGAGCTGGATCCACCGTGAAAAGAGATGTCCAGCGGCGACAAGCAGAGCGTGCTAAGGCTGTAATGTTTTCAAAAAAATTGGAAATGGCACAGCTTCCAAATCCTTACAGCGTCTCAATATCCTCATTTCAGTCCTTCACATGCTCTGCTTGGGCTTCACAGTAGATGAGTTATTAAGTTGCGCTCTATGCTGCCTTCTGCGTGTTGAGTTTGTAGAGTAAACGTGGCTTAGCACTATAATTTTGCAATCCGAGCAAAAATGGTGCCTCCGGCACTTACAGTGCTCGGGTTCGAACAGGAAAAGGCGCAATGCAGAAGCAAAAAAGAATTGGCCCTGCTATGAATCGAACATAGGTTTTCCGGTCTGATGCGTGTCTGGAACACTGCAACAGGCACCATGGGGTGGCAAGGCCCATGGTGGGTTAAGCCTCCCACCCGGCTGTCATAAACCACTAGACCACAGGACCTCAATTGAGGTGATTCGTTGATGGAAGTCGAAGAGCCCTCACCACCTATATAGTCTGCTGCGAAGCGGGGTTCCTTCGTGGGCACGCTGATACTGTCGCTGCGAAGACCTTAGCTTATCGATGAGTTCCACGATGGCTACAGCTTTGCTGCCGCGCTGACTGAGGTCGTGTTGACTGGAGCTCGAATGTAAATATTCAGTACGGAGGAGAAGCGTGATGAGTCGTGGCCTTTCCGTCAGAACTTCGCCCAATGCATCAACCACCACCATGCACCTCCACTCGAGCCTCACAGCGACGGAACACAGCGCGTGTAGACCTGCTCTTCTCGAAGAGTCCTCAGCATACAGGCTGCGCGCTACAAGCTTTGCGCTTCCTGGGAGCGGAGACCAGGCTGGGGATGTGGGAAATGGAGGAATCATAGACAGAGCCTTCGACTGGCAACCAGAATCGCAGGGAATGAACATGTCATACCACGAGCAAGGAAAGGAGAAGCAGAGCGCAAGGCACGTGTTCAACACCGAGCAAGGCGAGTAGGAGCAGAGTGCTAAGCGCACTCGGGCGATCCAGCATGTGTGACTGGTAAGAGGGCTTCTTACGCGTGCTGTGACGGCGGCTTTCCTCCCAGTGGCGGCAAAATTCAAGGGGACATCTTGGAGCACCTGTGAAGGAGGCATCCCGGTTGTGCCATATCAAAGGCCAAAGTGCCTCTGGTCGCGTCGAGAGCTCTTACGTGCCATGGGATACTCCTGAAAGCCAATGCTTAATTCGTGCTCTTCTGGTCAAGGGATCCGGACCACGATGGTGCCCGCTTCTTCAGCGCGGGTGCCATCCTTTCAATCTTCTCGGATACGAGTTGACCCAGAATGCCATTCCGTTCAGGCGCATCGTATGCTCGTATGGGTTGACTTGGCACCAAGATAACAGTACGCTCTCGCTGAGATTGTTCCTCGTCTTGAGCTGTGGTCTCTTGATTGAACCACGACTTACATGATCGTTAGGTTTGTAAGACGACGAGGTTTTCCTCAAGATCCGCACAAGGCTTGGTGAGTTCTGTGCTATTGCTGCGCAGCAGTTCATATCACACGATGCCTTGCTGTTGCTGCCAGAGAGGTGTAGGTCCAGTCTCGGTTTTTTTGATATGATACACCATCGAGTCCGTTTTCCAAACGACGTGCCACTGGTATTGGACCTTGAATATTGCTATATCCACGCTGCGAATACTGCAAGATTTCGTCGAACATGGAACTTGGCCAGTCCATCAGGCGCTTTCGGCCTGAATTGTAATCCCTCCCCCCCCAGGTCAAGTCCAGTGTGCCAGTAATCATCACCATGCTTCTAAGGAAGAGCTGGGGGTGGTCAGGGAGAGTGGAAAGGGAGGTGGACTGCCAAGTGCAACCAAACTTCATTGAACCAAGGATCGGCGCCAAGCTCGACAGGCTCCACCATACACCATGCTCTTTCGACCTCCCTCCTTTGCCTACGCTGCCAACTGAGAGGTTTTATCTTGTCTGTCGTCTGTGTTGCCTCGCAGCTTCGTTAGCCATGACTCTGCAGTATGCAGAGCCTACCATCGATCCTCCTAGCCTTCGAATATCCTCGGCGATAGCATTGCGCGCAGCATATCGATCATGAACGGCCAGGTCGTGTTATGACAGCAACAGCCCAGCGCTGGCATGCGCACATGGCTGTAGTCACCACGTCTCCCTCCTTCTTGCGACCCCTTCTTCCTCTGCCAGTAAAGGGGCCGATCAGCGTGATCTAAGTGGTCGTTTGGCTCGCAAGATGTGTACGCTACGCACTCTGCCTCGAGAGTGGTATGATATGGTTGAAGAGCAATGTTTGCGCGAGTCCTGTCCAATAGAAGGATGTATAGGCAAGCAGCTAGATCCTGCTGTGTCAGGCATGCTATGCCATTCCATCCTTTCAAACCCTCGCAGTGCTCTCGCCCAGTTCTATTCTCCGTGTGCTCTTTCCCGGAAGACCTGGTAGAGGGCACAGGGCGATATGGGCTCGGTGTTCGAGATCGATGGCGGGTCGATGCGACGGCGTGGAGGCTACCTGCCACACTGATGCTAGTGGAGGGACAACTGGGTGAGACATCGCGAGGGCGCTCCAGATCGGCCAATGCTTCCATGGGCGATATCATGTTGCGCGAAGGTGTGCCGCCATCGAGCGTTGCGGGCGACTGTTGCTCCAGGCGCGCAGAAGCGAGGGCCGGATCACATGGAGTGGCGCGATGAAAGTCTAAGACGAGGACGGAGGATGTGTTGTGTTGGCGAAGTCAGGTCAGGTTGTCCGTTGCTGTTGGCAGGTGTCGCAATAGAAGAAATCACTGCCCTCGCTCATGCAGTCACGCCGTCGTCGGCTCGAGGACTGAGGGCCGCGTTATCCTCTGGCCGTGGGCCTCATGTGCTGAGGTATGCTCACGCTGAGCAGCCATCGAATGTCTGTCTCCTGAGTCTCTGAGGTGGAAGTGCGTCCTTCTTGACGGACGGGGCATGCTTCATGGCCAGGCAGTCGGAGGGTACGGCGCCAGACGGTCACCAGCACAAACTGCTGCTCTCTCTCTCTCCCTCATCAAGTGGCTGGTGGGAGTCAAGATGCCCCGAGTCCTCTTCCACGTAAGCGACGAGGGGTGGGCGCGGGCGCGCAGAGTCTTCAAATACTGTTGTGGTGCTACTCGAGGTTGGTTTGGTTGAGACTCGCGACTTTACCCCAACACCAGGTCCGACGGTGTCAACTCCAGAAGAAACCACACATACGCCTTCGGCGGCGGAACTCGAGCACTGCTATAATACGAGAAGTGCTCTGATCTGACGGCTTGATGTAAACTTGTTCTGTTCATTAGTGGTGGTGGTGAGCAGAACCAGAGGCTTGCCGCGACGACCCCTGTCAGTCCAAGCTGGCTCTGGCATTAAATACTGCAAGAAACTCTGCTTACTCATTACAAAGAGAAGAAGCTCGGCCAGTGAGAACACATAGGGAACTTGGCACAATCGGTAAGTCGCTCAACCCGATAAATGAACTCCGTTCACTACGTGGCTGTTAAGCAGTGCCCGTGGGGGTTTGGCACCTTCATAGGGACATATCCACGACATAGCGCAGGAGTTCCCTTTGTTCTGAGCAAACAAAGTTTTTGCACTGTGGGTGTCCAGTTCGATTGCAGCTGGGGGTGATAGTTATTTTCTTTTGCCGAATTACACTCCTGTGACCGATACGCCTCCGCTACAACACATGTGGGCCACAACGGCCATTCACGTGGTCATGAGCCGCATCTAGGTGACGCTCCGATACAGCACGTAAATTATGATGGACTCAGTGCGTCTCATGGTGGAAGAATGGTCGCTGGAGGGAAGAATGGGTATTTTTGCTATGTTTTTGCCAAGACATTACGGCTCTCTTGCGCGGAGCGCGATATGGCATATCCCTATCTACCTACCTAAGGTACAATCGTTCCAGCTGACTTTCGGCCACGCAAAGACTTGGTATACGGGGCGAGCATCTCACACCGAACACAGCACTCTTCTACCCTCGTTGCACATTTGGCCAGGGATATTTGTAGGCTCAGTGGCGCGGAACATGACTTGCTCACAATGAAGCCGCCAGCATGACGCCTTGCTTGCCGTTCCGTCCATTTCTACAAGAGATGTGACCACACAGCCAGCTCAGATCTCACGGTCTCGCCCTACTCCAACCGCGCACCCGAATTTACTCAATGTAAGACATGCGAAGCGAGAAGAAGAGCGCCGCGAGCCGGGCGCCAATCGAGCTGCGGAGAAGGAGGTCACGATCTTGCATTTTGCCAACGGTGACACAATGGACATGGTGAGTGTCTACCCAAGAAGTGTGAGACTGCTTGCGAGCGGGTACCGCAGTATACACCTTTGCTACGTTGCGACGGCACTTCGAACTATGATACATAGTCTCCACCAATGAGGTGAAGATTCGCCGAGTACAGCAGCGTCTGTTCAGGACCCTCCCGAACCTTTCGAGTCCCGCAAGAGCAAGGCGAAACAAAGCGGAAAAGGATGAGGGCGAGGGCGAGGTCGAGAGTGGAGGAGGCCCGGCTGGTGGACAGCGATACGCTACGGAGGGAGACCATGGCAAGGCGGTGCCAATCCTTCACCACCAGAATGATCTACACATCGCCGTCTCCATGGATCGTTGTTGAGCTGCGGTGAAGGAGCTCGGAGAGAGTCTCTAGGCGCAGGGTTCTCGCGCTTGTACACTTGTTCGAGCTAGCAGTAGCAGGTCGAGTTCGTACCAGCCTAACTTCGCGGTCTGACCGATCAGCTACTACACAATGTCCACCCGAGCAGAGGATCCATCCGTATCGGCCAGAATGCGCTATTCAATGCCTGTGCAGCATCGAGCATGAGCTCCCGCCCCTTACTCAACACTCCACTCAGAGCGAGTATCGCATGCGTCGAGCCCGGATACACTTTCACCGTAGTTTGCACTCCGGACGCCCTCAACTGGCTCGAAAACGCCAACGCTTCAGTCGCGAGCAAATCGTACTCGGCCACCGCGAGCCAGGTGGGCGGACACCTGGAGAGGATCTTGCTCGGTGCCAAGTTGGGCGATGTCTGCCAATTCTCTCGTTCGGGGTATCTCTCGTCTCGACCGTTTCCATGGGGCAAATACATTCTCCGATACCACAGCATTCTGGCGGGCGTCAGCCAGGGCGAGTGGAGATTATACCATCCTTCACCGGGCAGGGCGGTGTTATCGATGACGGGTACGATGAGGAGCATGAGGACGGGCTTGAATGAGGGGAATAGGCAGGCTGCTTCCAGGACTAGCACCGCTGCTAGATTTCCTCCACTGTGTAACCACATGGGGAAAAAAATAGAAAAATAAAAAGTCAGCTCAATCGTGTCAACTCTTGTTTTTTTTTCCAGAAATGTGTTTTCCTTTTTTCTTTTTCTTTCTTCTTTCTTTTTTTCGTTTTTCTTTTTTCTTTTGTGTGTGTGTTTGGGGCGGGGGGGTGCTGACGCACGCGCATGTTCCCCCTATGGCCACTCTTTCCAGATCCATGGCATAGTATTTCGGCGCTTCTTTCAACAGCCATACGAGCGCTTCTACGGCGTCTTCTGCAGCGTTCGGATAGGGAAATTCTGGCGCGAGTCGATAGTCGATTGTCACGACAATACACTGTGAAGCTGTGAAACCCCCAAGCACCACGCCACCGCCCCCAAGAATGTCAGTTTTTGTGATTCAGGAGGAAAAATAAAAAGAAAAGGGAAAGAAAAGGAAAAGGAACGTGCTTGAGTAACAGCAGCAGTAAAAAGAACCGGTGTTGGAGGAAGCGAAGTCAAGTAAAGTAAAAAAAAAAAAAAGAAAAAGGACAACTCACTTTGACAAAGATACATCAAAAAATCATTCTCACTATCCAACCCACCCGTCACCCACCCTCCTCCATGTAACCAATACAACACAGGATACTTTCCCGGCACCACCACCCCCTGCTCGCCACCGCCACCACCACCGCCGGTACTACTACAATTCGATCCCGCCGGTACAAAAATCCTCACACGACATCTTTCCAACTGCACATCCCTTACTAATCCGACTCGGCATGGTCCGTTTCCATTTCCATTTCCACCACCTCCTCCTTCGGATAATGTCGAGAGCGGAGATGATCTAGAAGGAGAATTCCAAGAATGAAGGTGTTCGTCGGGGACGAGATATTGAATGCAAGAGTCGTGGAAGGCGATGTATTCGGGATCTAAGAGGGTTCGCATGGTGGGATGGAGGGGTTGGTAGATTAGGAGGTTGTTGTTGGTGGGTTCGGCTGGTGGGGTGGTGTTGGCGTAGGTGTTTGAGTGAGGAGGATGAGGATGGTATTGGGCATTATCCATTATGCTGGGGCTGTTTTTTTGTTATTCTTTTGGGGGGCCTTTTCTTCTCTCGTCTCTCAGTAGGGATGATGGTGATAATGATGATGATGAATGGGAAACATATATGTCCACACGAAATGGTATTTTTTTCTTTTTCCAGTTATATATATCTTGTGCAGCGAACAGATTTTTTTTTTCCTTCTCTCCCACCCAAGAAGTTATACGTGTAAAGATAGCTATGTTGGCTTTGTTGTTGTTGCTGTAGGAGGTAGGGGCCCATGTCGAGGCCTAGGCTCTTCTGTCTGAACCGTTGTCTTGCTGTACGAAAGGGAATTGCCGAGATGGTAGCCGATGCCAGTACCCATGCTGTGATGTATCAGGTAAAAGGTACTAGGAGGTATACTACTATAAAAGACTTCCCACAAACGCGGATATTTCTTTTTTACAACTTTCATCGCGTATTTTCGGGTCTTCTCTCCTCCGTCACTATCTCCTCTCCTTTCAACATCTCTCACGAACAATTCGCATACGAATCTTTAAAATTCGGAGGTCCATCTTGGCCCCAATGGAAAATACATCCATTACCAGCTTTCTTACACGGTTTTGCCTAAAAGCAAATCAAGAAACAAAAAACAAATTTCATGATTAGTATTCCATTCGAAAACTTTCGGATAATTTTGTCTTCCACGTAGGCAAAGAAAGGGGGAGAGGAAAATTGCAGGATCCATAACACACACACTCCATCGATAGAGTAGAGTAGAGTAGAGCAGGTAAAGTAAGGTAAGGTAGGTATAAGGGACGGGCAAGAAAAGTGTATACATACAGTCGAACATCTCAACATATCCCCTGTTTGGTCATCGTGACAGTATCCTGATCCGAAAGGTTTGGTGCAGCTCTGTAGGAGAAGAAAGTTAGTAACGATAATAATGAGGTTGGTCAAGTATGTATGATTGTATGATTTTGTTGGAAAGGGAAAAGAAATATAAAAAAAAAAGAAATAAACACGTACAGCTCCAGCAGAGACAGTAGATATCAACAGTGCGAATGCTGCTGTAGTTGCGATCAAGAGGTTCATTTTATGCCTTTCTTTTTGTGTATGTCGGTAATCGGGATAGGAATGAATAGATAGTCGAGGTAAAACGTAGATGGTATGAAAATTGAAGGTAAAGAGGTAACTCAGGTAAGAGTGAACATAGATAATAATACTACCTACCTTAGGCTTGACCTGCATACCCTTATGTACACAAGTACTTTTGTAGTAGGTAGCAGTAATACGGTTTCAGGTGTGGCACCATAGCTAGGAATCGTATTGATTTTTTCTCTAGTACTATCCGTAGTTTGCCGAGACACGGGTTTCCCGGTCCATAGGTGGTGCAATATAGTATAGGCGATGATAGTGGAAGACTTGGGTAAGTGCTTACCTACCTAGGTAGGTACCTATGTTTGTACTCTGCAGATATGCGTGGCTTGCAAAATCATTCATCTGACTATAGGTATCTGATCTATATGGCTAGTGATGTTCTTGCATAGATACACCTATAAAAGGTCTTGTTTTGCTCACTGAATCTCTTATGCCGCTGATCCCAAGATAACCCATTTTCACGGAGAGGCTATGATGCAGTGTCTTGTCGGCGACTCTGGTGAATTTCTCATTGTTATACTCCCTTCTCCCTTCCTCACAAGTCAGGGTTTTAAGCAGCTGCCTTCCCATCATCAGAAAAAAACTCGCTTTCAAACATCCCATTCCTCAGCAGTAGGATATTTGTCCAGTTCTCTCAATAACTGAATAATCTCATGTCAGCTAGAATTCCAATCCCTTTCCCTTTGCTCTTCAAAGAAAGAAAAAGGAAAAAGAAAAAAGAAAAGAAAAGCACTCACCTCCTCCATACTCCCCACTCTCCACCTTTCCACCAAATCCCTCCCGACCCTCAACTGCACCAGCCCCAAATTCGTCGTCGTCGTCGTCATCCACAAAAACGAACTCCTCCTCCTCCTCTTCCTCTCCCACCCCGCCACCTCCTCCTTCTTCTCCATCCCCCTCTTTTCCATCCCCCTCTTTTCCATGCCCCCCTCTCCCTCTCTCTCATCCCCCTCCTCCTCATCCCCCTCCCTCCCCAACAAATCCCTCAAATCCCCCAACAACCCCCGAAATTCCCGCTGTACACTCCCCAACCACATCAAATAATCAAACGGCGGCTCGGGAAAAATAAAAATCGAATTCCGATAGTAGCTTTGAGCGAATTTTGCCCGGGTGACTTGGTTGATGTGCATGAGGTGGGGAGGGTGATGGTGGATGGAGGTTGAGGTTGAGGTTGGTGGGGATGTTGATTTTGGGGTTGGTGGTGGTGGGCGACGGACAATACGGATGGTGGGTGGAGAGTGGAAGACGGCGTGGAAGATGATGTCGAAGAGTTCTTGGGGGAGGCGGTGGAGGTGGGTTTGGAGGGTGGTGGTGTTGGGGTTGGTCATGAATCCCTTTTTTTTTCTCTTTTCTTTTGCTGATGTTGGGAGCTTGGGGTGGTGGAAGTTCTTGTTTCTTCACTTGTTACTTCACGATAGAATCATCATCCACGGATATTCGAAAAAGTTGGGGATGCGGCGATGGTAGTGGTTACCTTAGTATATGTCAGTTCCCTTTAGGTACCTAGGTATCGTTCTTTTTCCATCTTCTGACAGCGGGTAATCAGCGTGCAAATAACACCCAAGTCCCATGATCATGAAATCTTCGCGGAACCTCACCCACTCCATCATCACACGCCATTGACGACGACGATGATGATGATGATGATGACTGATGATGAAAGTGTTGAATGACACGGCTCGTTCGAGAACGTGCACTCGTCCTCCCATCTGACTACCTGGAGCGAGATCCAAAAGAGGAATTTCTGTTACAACATCGATTCTGCGTCATATTGGTACATGAACTGGGGTGCAAAAAAAGTGGTATGTTGTTCGCGGAATATGTGTGCTTCGGGAGAAGGAATTGATGCGCTCTCTTTTTCTTTCTCTCTCTCTCTCACAACGCCGAGAGCCCTGGACTGTTTGCCAGGATAGAAACCGTATTCCCCTGCTTTCCGACGGCTTCCGCGATGGCCGTGACAACTTCTTTTTTTTCTCTCTCTTCGGGACCATGAATGTCAGTCAGCCAGTTACTGCTTGAGGATTTTGCGGAGGATACGACCTAGACTGTGCGACTATACAAGAAAAGAAACAAAGTCAGCGATGTCCCAGCGGCAGAAACAAAAAAAAAAAAGGAAAAAGAAAAACGCACATGCGGCACCTGTGTAATCTGAAAATGATTTCCCGTCATATACTCAAAACCAAACTCCGCCCCGGGCAAAAGCCTCTCCCACCCTTCACTCTCCAACTTCTTCTCCCGTCTCCCTTCCAACAAAAACCTCGTCACCCGCACATTCACATCCACATCCAACCCAGACTCCTCCACCGAAGTCTCCACCAACCCCTCTTCCACCCAAATACAATACACATTCTCCGGAACTCGAGATTCTTGCATCGCAACGGGTTGGTATCGTTGCACGGAAAGCACGGTAGAAGTAAAATGTTGCACGAGCCATTCCGGGGCAGCTTTTTTCTGTTGCGAAGAAGAAGAAGAAGAAGAGGACGCACCCATGAGCCCTTTTTTCGTCAATTCCTCTACGACTTGGACGGGAAGTGCTTCGTAGAGCAATCGACATGGAGAATCGATGAGAATTAATGTTGAAACAATTTCTCCTGCGCCCGTGAGGAGTTTGGCCATTTCGTAGCTGTAGTATCCTCCTGCTGACCAGCCTCCGAGGATATATGGTATCTTTTGTTTTTGTTTTTCTTTTTCTTTTGTTGTGGGAGTTGGAGTCTGATGAGATTGCGCTTGCAATTTTCGTACTTCGTCATACCACAGTCGAGTCATTCGTTCGATGGAACAGGTGAAATTTTGGGCTTGACGGAGAAAGGGGGAGTTGAGTCCGATTATACAGATTCCTCCTTTTCCTCCTCCTCCTCTTTCTTCATCTTCTTCTGTTTCTCCTCCTCCAAGATCCGGCAAAGACCCATACGCCGTCCCCGCTCCACTCCCATCCGGAAACAAAAACACAATTTTGCTCGCTGTGCTGACTTTTCCCTGCAAAACCACCGACAGTGGAACTTTTGGTTTCGGAATACCTTCCCAGGGATTTTCTGGTTCTTGCTCATTTTCAACCCCCCTCTTCCCCTCTCCTTTATTTTCTCCATCTTCCTCTCCTAACACCCCAAAAATCCATCTCCGAAACTCTCCCACCGTAGGATACCTTTCAAAAACATTTTGCGGCACCTCTCTTTTACTACTACCGCCGCCACCTCCTGTTGTTGTTGCTGTTGTTGTTGTTTCTGTTGTTTCTGCTAAATAACGAGAAATATCCGCCGCGGTAGCAGATGCGAGTAGACCTGTTAAACCGTGATATTTCCAAGTTTCGTGGGGGAGAAAATTTTCTTCTTCTTCTTCGCCGTCGTTGTCGGTGGAGGAGGAGAAGGGGGAGGAGAGGGCTTCTGATATGATACGGAAAATTTGCGTGATTTGTTCGGAAGGGGGTGGGGTTGAGGGCATTATTTCTTTTCCTCTCTTTTTTTTCTCGTTTTGGCGTAAGTCCAGACAAGACACGGTGCGACTTTTTCAAAGAGTCGGAATGGAAATGGTAAGGTATACTTACATTCACCTACATGTACTTTACCTTACCTTACATATACATAGGTACATACATACTTTTGATGACCCCGAAATATATCTCTCTCACATCTAAAATTAGTATATTCGTCGGAGTCCGTGTCGACGTGTTTGTCTACAGGCGGATTCAGGTATCCACAAGTGTGTCACACCCAGTCACCTACATATACACACCTCTCTCTCTCAAACGATAGGAATTTGGTTTAGGAGGGCATAACCTTTTTTTTCATTATCATTTTCGCTGTAAGTGTGATATAGTATATATACTAGGTACTACCTAAGGTACATTATGCAAGTACACCAGTTTCAATTTGATTCGATTCGATTAGAAAAAAAAAATCGATACGGGAAGTCGATAGAGGATACTATAGTAGAAGTTTGTGAATAGAGTATAGATACCTAGAAATGAAGGCGTTGAGTACCGTATATAGTAAGGTAGACGGTAAAGTAGGTAAGTAAGGTAGATGATGTAAATGACGGGATGTATGATTAATGTATAATGTATTTATTAATAAGTGCCTTACCGATTTGACTTCTCATTTCGCACTTTAGGGTGGGGGGCCGGACTTTTACTGCTGCAGCAACAGCAGCAGCGCAAAGGGACAGACAATAGATGACATCGTCGGAAACGCTGTATACCTAAGACTTCAAGTTTGTGATGAAGCTGTGGAATTGAGATTCTGGTTCGATTGTTCAATTCAATCGAGGGATACCTATGACTACTAGCGATGTTTTCAAGAGAAAACGAATTACTGTAAATCTGAAGCAGCAGGCAGCCTACTGCGCACCACCATAAGGTACATTGAGGTAGGTTGGTACCTTAGGTATATCAGTAAACTGAACAAACCCCCAAATTCATCATCATCATCATCCCATCCCATCCCATCCCATCCTCTCCACCTCCCTACCCATCTCCCCGCAGCGGCGACAGAAGACGCGGCCTCCACCAATCCCCCCAATAACCCTCCCCGATCTCCTCCAGACTCTGAACACATTTCGGATGATCAAAATCCTCCTGTCCACCCGCCGGCCAAATCGGCAAAAAACAGACTTGATTCACCGCACAAGTTCTACAGCGCTTAAAAGTCGTCCAATTGAGCCATTGCTTCAGCTTACGCAGGGTGGAAATTGCTTCTTCGGTAGAAGGTTGCTCTGCGGCGGAGAAAAATGCGGCGCAGAGATGGGTTGTGACGTGGAGGATTGCGCGGGGGGCGGTGGTGGTGGTGGTATTATATTTATATTTATGATTATTATGATTATTATGATTGTTGGCAGTGGGAGGAGGAGGAGGAGGAGGAGGGAGGAGAGAAGGGAAGTATTGGGTGGCGCAGCGTTGAATTTCGAGAGATTTGTTGCGGTGGTTGTAGTCGATGTAGGGGCGAATGGCCCATTCGATTTCATTTTTGAGGTCGGTTTCGTTGAGGATTATGGTTCCCGAGGTGAGATAATCGATGCGGTCGGAGTACCGCGAGACGACCATGTCTGCGACCGCTTGCCAGTCTGGTGAATCTTTTTCTGCTGCAGATTCTGAGAGTGCCAAATTGGTAATGGCTTCGAGAATGGGCGTGACAACTTTGGTGTCGTTGTTCGCGCGAGGCAAACCGTCGTTGGCGAAGGATACGGCATTGTCGAATGTGTACAATGTCACGAAATTGTCGTAGTCAATGCGGACTCGGTCGCCGCCAATGCCGTCGAAGCGAGATGCTACTGCCCGGTAGTAGTTGATGGTAATTCCACCTGGCCCGAGTGGATCGTTCGTTGCCTTGGCCAGGGTGATTCGCTCGACGTCAAGGCCGTCTTCGAAGGAGCAGAGGATGATTTCGAAGCCTAATTCCATCCTGAGAAATCCATCAATCTTGCCTGCCCAATCCGTCCGAGCCATGGCGCAGAGATGATCCGCTCGGAAGCCTTCGTTCAGGACTCCGCCTGTAGGAGGAGGTCGCCCATCCTCGGAAGGCGGCGCTCTGAAGAAGTCATGCGATCGGGGAGGGGGCCGGCTGTCTGCGTCGGGTTGAGCGTTGTGGAGCAGGACAAAGTCTTGCATGTCTAATGTGCCCTTGGTAGACTTTGCAGCAGACTGTCCATCGATATAGAGCAATCGAAGATTGTGCTTGACGCGATAGGTATGCAAATAACCAGTTGCATCTTCCTCTGGCTCATCCTGAAGCGGGATCTGCTGAGAGGAGACTCGCGCAGGTTCACTCTGTCCCATCGTGTGAGACAGTGGCCTTCTCTCGTAAGGCTCATGCGGATGCCTCGCTTTCAATTCTTGCTTGGGTGTCTCTCGGAGATCTTCTGGCATATTCTCACGTGAATACCAGTCTTCACGGCCATGGTCACCATCGCCTCGCGGCGGATGACCTCTTCCCGGTGGAAAACCGGGGCGTCGAGATCGAGCAAACACCAGGGCATGTTCGGGCTCAAAGGCGAGCCATTCAGTGGCGTTCACGCGTTCCGAATGGCTCGTGCCGTGGTACAACTGCGTTCCCTCAGGGACGGTCGCCACAAACACGCTCATCCCGTTATGATGCAGAGACGAGCCCCATTGTCGCATCGAGCTGTGCACGGCATTGAAGATGTGGTTGGCATTCTGTGTTGCTGGAGAGGCCGAACGTGCTGATGGGTCGCTGGCGGCTACCACTCTGCTCCAAGCCAGCAGCAGGCCACCGGAGACTATCAACATGGTGAGCAGTACAGTGGTGAGAGACGGGTCCGATCAACTCATATCGCCGTCGCCCTCACGGGACGATCAGATAGAGACAAACGCGTCGACAGAAATGTATTTCGTTTCTACGGCGTCGTACCACTGGCGGTGATAGGCAAGGTGAACTGGACGTCGCAGAGAATCATGGTCATGCATGTCGACGAGGACCATGCTTCGTAAGCCCGGCAACTCTCGTTTTCGGCCGAGTATAAAATACATTTATCCATCCATGTACAGCCGCGGACTCGAAGAGAAGGAATGTACGGGAAAAAGGCCAAGAAGAAATGATGAGTGGAAAAGTCGAAATAATGAGATAGAAATAAGACAAAAACAAAGAGAGCAGGAAATGGAAGTGAAGAAAAGGAGCAGCTTTCTACTGTACCAGTATTCCGCCACATTTCTTGGCTTTGACGGTAATTTCAGCCTGAGGCAGTGAGAGATTCTCCTACTGACACCGTTATTCCAGCGATTCATCACTTTTCCAACAACATTTCCATCACCAATAAATGAGAGCAAGCCTAGAGAAAAAAAAAAGGAAATTCATCTATTCATCTCCTGAGCAGTGTAGCATATCCATCTGCTATCGCGCTGGACTGGACTCATATCTACCGCATCTCTCGCCTGTTTGATTCATTGTTCCTTCTATCCACATTTTCTTTTTCGTCGGTGATAGGGCAAAACCCATACCCACATACACGGACCTGAAATTCCCGTGCAGTTCCCACATGATAGCACGCGAGATATCGCTCGTTAGCTAGGCGAGAGGGATATGCGCGCGCAAGACTCAATTAACATGTTGCACACGCAAGTCATACATACATACCTAGGTAAAAGTAAGATCAAGGCTGGATGGACTATTCACCTTCTATGGATAGATCCTTCGGAAAGAGTATCTCCAACCGTCTTCTTTTTTTCTTATCAGTGAATATCTTTCTCCCTCTCCTTCTCTCTCTCCACTGATCTGCATAAGGTAGCCGGGTACAGCCTCGAAGCATATAGATATATCTCTCGCCAAGGTTGCATGCCAATTCGCATCAAGCTCAACATAACCGATTCCTATCCCTCTCCCTCCCTCTTTCTCTCATTCGTTAGTGAGTGAGTGAGTGAGTGATAATGGACGAACACATCTCCTCTCAAAATCGAAGCAGCAACAACAAGAAGAAGCAAGCACCCTGGTACGAGGAAGAAGATGAAAAATCCACGGCCAGTATCCAGGAAGTACCATTGTACAATCATCAAGATGGACCACCAGTCGAGTTAGCGGAGAAAGCTGCTTTGCGGTAAGCTTGCCGATGAGATGATAGTAGTGTCTATTTACTGAAGAGGGGTATTTTTTTACTGACCGATGGGAACGATTGGTATGATTTCTCTGTCGATTAGACAGGGTTTGCATCAGAGACATATTCAAATGATTGCATTGGCCGGTGCGATTGGAAGTGAGTTGACACGAAGTGTTTTTTTCTACTTCTCCTCTTCGTCACCCTACAGATCAAACATACTAACAACACATCTCTTCCAGCGGGTCTATTCCTCGGCTCTGGAAAAGCAATCGCTCAAGCCGGGCCCCTAGGAGCTTTTCTGGGATATACGTAAGTGCATCATTCTTCAATTTTTCGCTTCAACCTTGGAAAAAAAAACCGTACTGATTGTTTTGCCTCTTGTGGTCAGATTCGTCGGAATGCTCGCTTGTGGACCAGTCTTGAGCATTGCAGAAATGAGCGCTTTGATACCATTGTCAGGCGGAATCGTGCGACATGCAGAATTACTAGTAGATCCTGCTCTAGCTTTTGCGAACGGGTGAGTTAAATTGTCTTTCTTTCTCCCTCTCATCAGCTGAGCAACTTGTTGGACTGACATCGCCCTATCTATCTCTCTTCACATCTCAGATGGAATACCATCTACAGCTACATGGTATCCCTCCCAGCAGAACTAGTAGCCGCCGCAATTCTCGTAGACTTTTGGTCCTCGATCAACAACGCCGTATGGATTACCATCTTTGGCCTCCTCCTCATTGCGAGCAACAGCATTCTCGTTCGAATTTACGGCGAATTAGAATTTTTTTTCGCGAGCTTGAAAATTCTGTTGATTGTGGGTGTCAATATTATGGCTTTGGTCATTGTTTGTGGAGGGGGACCGGATCATCATACATATGGTTTTCAATACTGGAGACGGCCGGGTCCGTTGGTGCAGTATTTGGGCATCGAGGGGAGTACGGGGAGATTTCTTGGTGAGTTTTTTTTTAAAAAAAGAGAATGGTGTTGGGTCGAACTAATTTACTGGTTACCTACTAACTGCTTCTCTCTCTCTCTCTCTCTGACTCTCTCTACAGGATTCTGGACAGTCTTCAATAATGCCGTATACGCCTACTCCGGCATCGAAAACGTCTCCCTCCCAGCCTCCGAAACCAGCAATCCTCGCAGAAACATCCCCATCGCAGCGAAGCGAATTTTCTGGCGAGTGGGAATCTTCTACATGCTATCCATATTCATGGTCGGCCTCGTCGTGCCCAGTACCGACGAGAATCTGCTCAATTCATCCGGCACAGCAGCAGCATCGCCTTTTGTAATTGCAGCGAGTCGAGCTGGGATTAAAATTGTCCCTTCGATTATCAATGCTGTGGTGTTGACCAGTGCGTGGTCGTCGGGGAATTCGGGCTTGTTGAATAGCTCTCGCACACTATATGGTCTCGCGCAAGAAGGGCGTGCGTTTAAAATTTTCAAACGGACGAATCGTCTTGGGATACCGTATGTGGCTGTGGGATTCATGTCTTTGTTTATTTGTCTGGGATATATGACTCTGGTACGTAACTCTTTTATCTTTATCCTCGTGGACATATATACTAATTCTACCTGTGTCTCTCTGTAGTCACAAAGCGCCTCAACCGTCTTCACCTGGCTCCAAGATCTCGTCTCAGTATCCACCCTCGTGAACTGGACCGTCATCTGCATCGTCTATCTCCGATTCTTCTACGCCATGAAAAAACAAGGCATCAACCGAAATCGACTTCCCTGGAAAAGTCCCTTGCAGCCCTATCTCGCCTGGATTACCGCAGCGTTTTTTATTCTTCTCCTCTTAACCGGCGGCTACACTACTTTTCTCCACGGACAGTAAGTTCTCTTGCCCCCCTTAATCATGCGTATCTGCGCGTAAAAAAAAAGAAAAAAAAAGAGAAAAATCCCCCACCGCCCATGAAACTTTTCTGACCAAAAGCAGCTGGAGTACCGAAACCTTCATATCCTCCTACATCAACATCCCCATTGTAATACTCGCCTATTTCAGTTACAAATTCATCTTCAAGACACAAATTTTGTCGCTCGAAAAAGTCCCTGTGCTTCGATATATTGAAATTGCAGAGCAGAATTTGGAAGCGCCTGCTAAGCCGGTTACGGGGTGGAGAAGATTGAATATTTTGTGGAGTTGAAAGATGGATGGCTGTGGTGGAGTTTTTTTGGTGGTGTGAATGGATGGATGTTGGAGGGGTGTGGGGGGAAGGGAAAAAAGGAGGGGTGCTGGGTTGGTTGCTGGTGCTGCTACTGCTACTGCGGGTAGGAATAGTAAGAATTATCATTCTTATGTATTCTTTATATTATCAGAGTGCATGATATCTCCTATATAGTACGAAGTTGGGGTAGGTAGGGGTTGTATAGCTATAATTATCGTTAGGAGAGTGGAACTATGCGACTCCGGTTGGGCTGTAGCAGCGGGGGAGTACCTCCTAAGGTACCTGGATCGATCCTCTTCTTGCTTTCCAGGCTCCGACGGGGTTGCTTCTAGTATCAGAAACTCTTTTTTTTTCCTTCAAGGAAGAAGGTGATTAAGGTATGTACGTACGATACGTTCTTGAGATCGGAGAATAAAAAAAATGCCATTAGCACGTGGCAGAAGAAAAACGATAATTCACTTCTACTACTACTACTACCATCCCTCCCTATGATAGTGTACATTTCTCCATGTCCACGTTTCATCCAGGGTGAACCCCAAAACAAAGAAAAAGAAAAGAAAAAGAAAAACAAACCGCCTCACGCTCCTCACCTACCCACCCTCCCTTTCCAATCCATTCTATTGCCAAGACATATATACAGGAAACAAGGTCCCTGGTCCATGGCCCTGCCCGTCTGGGTCTACCTGACTTCGGCTATTCTTGTTCCGTGTCCGTTCTCGAAGTTCGCCACTCTTGGACTATAATGGACAACCTATAATAACAAGTAAAACAACAATAACAATCAACAATACCCAATTTTCGATCAAGCAAGGTTTGAATGTTTGTCTCTGCACATTACATCAAATGCTAGAATTGCAGTTCTGTTCTCGACCACTTCTGTATATCTATCCTTATTCTCACTGCTGGTTAATAATAATCATCATCATCTTGATCTGTGCTCAACTGATAATGTATGTCTTCTTTCATTATCTCCTTCTAGTCGTACGAATGTTACAAACTTTGTTTCGCTTTCCCCAGTCCTTCTATAGAGAAAGAAATCTAACCGGTCAGAGAGGTCGTAAGAGAGAGAGATAGTCTTGTAGCGAGTAGCCACAACTCGCGTACAAAAATGGGGGTACGTAGGAATGGGGGGAGGGCAAGAATGGGGCAATCTTTATCTCTACAGTAGACTACTACTCAAACAAGCCCGAAGTTTTTTCGTATCTATAATCTATGTATATCTATCTACCAAATTCTCATGTGAAAGAAGGCAAAAAGAAAAAACAAAAACAAAAGAATAGCCTAATGATAGGTCGATAACAAAAAGCTGTCTCTTCTACCTGAAAATAATGGATAATACTAGTAGATAGATAGAGGGAGGAAGGGCAGCCCAAAGTCCAAACCAGGCGCAGAATCGGATACCAAAAAGGGAGAAATTCGCGTCCAGCCGGGGGGAAGGCTTCGGCGGTTTCGGAGAAGCAAAGAAATACAGTCAGAGGTAAAAGGACCGTAAGGACCGCGTAAGGTAAGTCAGGACCGTGTAAGGTCAGGTCAGGTCAGGGTCGAAAAAAGGCGATTGATGGTTGATTAGTGATCGCAAAAGGGAGGGAGACCGGGGGATTTTTTGATGGGTTTGTTATTATTTGACAGGAATGTTCAGGAACTGTGTCCGAGCCTCACATCCAGCCCAGCCCAGGCCAGGCCAGCGGGTTTTTTCTTTTGTGTTTTGGGAGGGGGGGAAGGGAAAGGGAGGGGGGGATCAGGCTGGCGGGTCAGAAGAATCCGCCAGCCGAAAGAACCCTGGCAAGCTGGGACATCGAGTGATGGCGCTCTCTCGATGTCTCCAACCCAAGCACCAGGGATACCTACCTTCTACTCTTCTTTTGTCTTTTTTTGTGGATGCCCTGTTTATACGACTACTACTACGACTACTACGACTACTATTACTCTTATTCTGTAACTACGCTTGTGAAGGAGGGGAGTTGATCATAACGGAATTGTCGGGGAGAAGTTGATTTTGGTCGACAGAAAGGCAGGCTGGCAGGCGGGTAGAGAGAACGCAGAGAGAGAGAGAGAGGAAGAAGAAGAAGAAGAAGGAAAGAAAGAAGGGAGGAAGAAGAAGAAAGGAAGGAAGAGAAAGGAGGAAGAAGAAAAAAAAAGACGACAACAAAATGGCCAGAATCATCGACTCCAGATCATCCAAATTCGACGCGTTTGCGAAAAGATATGCCAGCGGGCGACGTCTCCCGCACTCTCAACTCGAATTCCACCTCTTCAAGAAAGCTCTCGGAGACTGCACCAACTACCGCGTACTCGACATTGCCGGCGGAATGGGAGAATATGCGCGACATGCCATTGAAGCCGGAGCCTCACACATTGACGTCGTCGACAACCGACGCGAAATGCTGCAACTAGGCGCCAAAGTGGAAGAAGAAAGTAATGAAAAGAATGACAAGGACGATAATCACAACAACAACAACAACAACGAAAAGAAAAAAGAATCCGAAAATGAAAACACCAACAACACCAACAACGAAACCGAAAAACCCCCCCCCACCAAAAAAAAGCCCGTCAAAATCCACTGGCATTTCGCCTACAACACCCTCCCCCTCTCCCTCTCCCTCCCCCCCACCATCCTCCCCCCCTCCAGCTACGACCTCATCATCGCCATGTGGCCCTGGGACCACGTCGCAACTTTCCAAGACTACATCCACATCTGGAAAAACATCTCCTACTACCTCAAACCCGGCGGCCGCCTCGTCGCCGCACGCATGACAAACCCCTGGTGCGAAGCCTTACAATCCGGAAAATACGGAGCGAAATGCGCGTTAATTCAGCAGACTGAGCAGAGGGGTGTCAAGGTTACGGTTACGGTGAAAACTACTCCGCCGTTTGAGGTCGAGTCGGAAATGACGGAGGCGAGTTTGAGGGGTGAGACGGAGGTTCCTGAGGCATTGGGGATTGGGGGGTTGAGGAGTTTGGAGGTTGCTGAGGTGGAGATTGTTAAGAGGGATCCGGTGTTTTGGAGGGAGTTTGTGGAGGATCCGTATTTTGTGGTTTTTGAGGGGAGGAAGGTTGGTTAGGTATGGGGATATGGAGGGAGGGAGATGGATGGGGGGGGGGTTTGTATATTTTTTTGGGACTTTTGTTTTATTGATGAATTTTTTTGATGAATTGGAACAAATCAACAATGAAACAATGAAACAAATTGAACTTTTTTAAAAAGTGTCTATATCTTTTCTCTTTTCTCTTCTCTTTTCCTTTTTCCCAGAATCGTCGTCTCATTTCATGAATTCATTTTCATACACAAAAAAAAGAAAAAAAAAGAAAAAAACGTAAAATCTAATCCTCTGGAACCTCCGACTTCTCCCACCAAAATCTACATTCTTCCTCCGCCCACTCATCAACCACCACCTGAGCAGCAACACCCACATTCGACCCCCCAGCAGCTTCATCATTATCCTTTCCAAAAATCATCGTACTCTTGCCCCCCACATCATCATCACCATTCCACGCTTTCCACACAGGCCTCTGAACCGCCTTCCTGCCCCTCAAAGTCATCGGATCACCCGTAACCACAAAACTCGTCAAATACGAATTGAAAATTTTGGCAATTTCTTCTTGCGTGGGAGAAATTTCGCGCACGAGAGGAGAGAGGGTTTCGTACCACATTTGATCTCCGTGGTTGGCGCCTCCGAGGATGGTGCGGTTGACTGCCCAGTGATATTGATAGATTGGTGGTGCTGCGGAGCCTGCACTGCTGATGCTGCTGATGCTGGCAAAGTGAGAGGTTTGTCGGACGGGACAGACGTATGCGTAGTGGCCGTAGGCAGCTTCGACGCGTTTGTATTGGGCTCCGATGCCGAGGGCGGTTAAATTTCTGGTGTCGAAGTAGGGCGAGAGGATGTCTGAGGAGGGATCCGGGTAGAGGTCGTTCAGGCGTGAGAGGTCTTTGGGGGTCAATTGGGGAAGGAGAGTGGCGAAGAAGTTGGTGAAATCTTCGCTGGACTCGGTCTGTTTGGGCACGTACATGGTGCCCTCGTTGTGGTTGAATCCTGTGATGATGGGCACGCGGTGCCAGTGGCCAGATTTCCATGCGTCGAGTGGTCGACGAGAGATGATGTCGTTGTCTAATACGGGTTGCCATGCCCATCGGACAGAAGGGTTGTATTCGTCAAAGACGGCAGTCTGTGCTGTCTGGATCACTTCGGTGGAAACTTCGCGCAGACAAGGGAGGACTTCACTTTCCGCCTTGCCATTGCAGCCGGCCTCTGCAACGAATTTCTCAAACTGTTCGCGATGCAATTGGGAATGTGCTGGGTGTACCGCTCGCGAGGTGGCAGCTCCAGACTCGATAATGGCCTTGTGAAACAGCTCGCGCTTCTCATTGATATCCATGATATGGTGGCCGATGGAGTGTGCGCCCGCACTGAGGCCTGCGATCGTGACATCGTTGGCGTTTCCGCCAAAGCTCTCAATGTTCTTCTGTACCCACTCCAGCAACAGCTTCTGATCGTGGAGACCCAGATTGAGGAGTCCCTCCTTCTCCGTCAGGGGGCTGTTCAGGAAGCCCAGAGCGCCGATCCGGTAGTTGAAAGACAGGGCGATAAAAGGCTCTTCGGAATTGGCCAGCATGGAAGCCGTATCGTGCATGGCAGCAAAGCCTCGATTGAAGGCTCCGCCATGAATATAGACCAGAACGGGAAGTTTGGCATTGGCAAAAGTCCCTCTCCATCGAAAGACGTTCAATGTCAGACAGTCTTCGCTCGCCTCGAGCCATGGTGTTCCGGGGATTCGGAGCAGTTGCTTGCCAGGACATCTACCGGGAGAAAGTCAGCATGGAACTCCTTTTTCACCCTTTCACCCCCTTCACCCCCGCGAATTTTCCCATACCGTAGCGAGTACTCAGTCGCCTGGATAGTCTCATTGCTATCCGGAACGGGCACCGGTTTAGCAAACCTCAAATCTCCCACGGGCGGCAGTGCATATGGAATGCCAAGCCATGCTTCCACGGGGATCGGATGGGCATTGTTGTCCAACACCTTTCCCACAAACGTTCCTTGAGCAGTGTCGGCGAGAGGGAGTTGTTCGATATTCCATCCGTGCAGCGAGAAGAAGGATTGGACCGAGTCGTGCACGCTGGGAACAACATTGTAGAGAAGTAAGAAGGCGAGTAAAGGAGCGGCTAAGAATCGAATTCCCAACCCTCTTGATCTTGCCCCCAACGCCCGACGAGCCGGCGGGCTGTCGTCGACTTTTTCCATGAGTTACTCTTGAGTCTTCTGGACCCCCAACTTTTTCGTCTTTTTTTCCCCTCTTTTTCTTCCGTTTTATGTTGTAGTAGAACGAACTCTTTGAGAAAAAGAGGTTTGAGAGAAGCGTGGACATGTTTTTTATATATACCCATAAGAGTTGAGTAATACATACAAAATCAATTCACCCCCTCAAAAGTAATTCGAGGGTGGGCCACGGGCTGGGCGTGGTACCGATGGCGGGCCTAGCAGGCGACGCCGCTAATAATACCGAACGATTGGATGGAATTGATGGATTGTACATGCCAATGCCTCTCTCTCTCGTTCTCGCTTTCTGACTCTGGAAAAGCCACGCCAACACAATTTACAAATGTCAAACTCGCGTCAGATACGATGATGCATCCCCCATTTCGTTGTCATCGCCGCCGCCGCTGCCGTCTTGACTCTTTTGCCCAGCAAACAATAATCATCAATACACGATAATACTAATGCAGAGTGCAGCAGAGAAGAAGGGTCCAAAAAGGGAGTCTTGCCCGCACCCTCGACCTCTCTCTCGGTAAGAAAGTGTCGATCGATAACGGGCGAAGTGATAGGGCAGGCATATATTCGGCCACTTTCTTCTCCCCCCAATGATTCTTCCAATACACTACGGCGTCCATCGATAACAGAGGCCAAGCAGCAGCAGCAGCAGCAGTAGCACACCATCCCCCAAAAGTGACATGCTGGACGCTGTTGAAGTGATATAAGTCGGTGCAGTCGTCCCAAAATGTCGTCGTCTGAATTCCATTTCGCTTTTTACCTTCTTTTTTGTGGTGGATGATGATGCCGCCATCACCACCTTCTATCAAGGAGATGGTTGAACCCACTTTCATACATGATACCAAGGGGGAGGAGGAGATGGAGAAGGGCGGCGGCAATGTACTCAACTTGACAGTCTCCAATGCACCCACAGATCTCAAAGCGGGAGAGATTGTAGACCTTGATCAAGTAAGTCCAAGAAAAAGGGATCTCAGGACATGAAACAAGAAAAGCAAGACAAAAAATCATCATTCAGTCACTAATATCGACCTCCTTTCCTCCAAACCAGGCCGAAATCTTTCTCCAAAAACACAACATCACCCACCACGACCTCAACGCCCTCCTCCAAGACTCGCAAGGAATGAAAAAACTCCTCCGCAAAGTCGACTGGCTCCTCATGCCCCTCCTCTGCGGAACTTTTCTCCTGCAATACATCGACAAACAATCTCTTTCCTACGCCGCAGTCTTTGACCTGTTCGAAACCACACACACGACACAAGCCGAATACTCGTGGTTAATTTCCCTCTTCTACTTTGGCTACTTGGTCGCAGAATGGCCCGCATCCTATCTCGCGCAAAAACTTCCCACGGGAAAAGTCGTGTCCGTTACCGTCATCATTTGGGGTTCCATTTTGATGTTGATGACGGCTTGTCACAATTTTCAAGGCTTGGCTGCTTGTAGATTTTTCTTGGGATGTTTCGAATCCATGATTACGCCCGTGTTTATGATGATTGTGGGACAGTGGTATCAACGATCCGAGCAGTCGGTTCGAGCAGGCCTCTTTTACTGCTTCAATGGCGTGGGAGCTTCCACGGGAGGGATTCTGTTTTTCGCGGTCGGTCAAGGCAAAGGGTTTGAAGTGTGGCGAAGCATTTTCTTGCTCGCGGGAGGGTTGACAGTGTGTTGGGGAATTTTATTGCTGTTTTTCCTTCCGGATAATATTATGGAAGCCAAACGATTCAGCCAGCAGGAAAAAGCCATGTTGATTGCACGCTCGCAACAAAACCAAACCGGCGTCTTCAACAAGAAAATCAAAATTTCCCAAGTCAGAGAAGCTCTCCTGGACCCTCAAATCTGGCTTCTCTTCCTCTTCGTCCTCCTCAACGAAACCGTCAACGGCGGAATCGCCAATTTCTCCAAACTCATCATCAAAGGCCTCGCAGACGGCGACTCCCTCCTGACGACCGCCTACGGCATTCCCACAGGAATTTGGCAAATCGTCTTCGTCTTCAGCGGCCCCTGGCTCGCGGGGAAATTCACCAATATTCGCACTTACATCATGGCCATTTACGTCCTCCCCACCATCCTCGCCACCGCCTTGCTCTGGCAATTACCGCATACTGCTGAACACAGCAAAGGGCTGCTCGTGTGCAATTACATTTCTGGCTCCTTTGTCGCTAGCCTCGTTATTGCTTTGCAGTTACCTGCGAATAACGTCGGAGGCTACACGAAACGCGTGACGTCCACGGCACTGGTCTTTTTGGCATATTGCGCGGGAAATATTATTGGACCGCATGCATTTTTGGCGCACGAGGCGCCGGTTTATCAGACGGGTTGTATTGTTACTATGTGCTGTGCGGCGGGTCAGGTTGTGTTGTCGTTTATGATTCGTGCGTTGTTGATTAGGAGGAATCGGAAGAGAGATGACTTGTTTGGTGAGGCGCCGATGGGTCAGGCTTTGACTGAGGCGGCGATTGAGGATGTGACGGATTTTCAGAATATGGGGTTTAGATATAGTTATTGAGGGAGGGAGGTTTGTTACCTCCTACTCCTAGGATATGATATTTATGTGTTGGGAAGATTTATGAGTTGTGCGTGCATGACTATGTACTGTGCATCTTTCCATCAATAATTAATTCATTCACTGTTCACATGGTATATATGTATTATTCACCATCACAACCATCAGTCATCACTACTGCAGTCTGATTCTTACAGTAATCCCCAAACCCGTCCGCCGCTTTCGCCTACCTAGTCCACCGGCGGGAAAAAAAACCATACCCGTACTCATCACCCGATAAATATCACAATCTTCTTTCTTCCCTCCCCCTTACACATCCCTCATACCCCATCCCCCATCCCATCCTCCTCTCAACCCTCTCATAAAACAACCATCCCAAATCATGCTGCTCTCCTCCATAATCTCCTTCTCCAACGACGCCGCCGCAATCGAAAAAACTCTCCGCGGAATTCAAGGCTTGGCGACTATTGCGATTGGGGTTTATCAACAACAGCCGCAACATACGCAGATACAAGGACAGATGATACAAGAACAGATGGAAATGTGGATTAAATTAAGGGGAGAATTGGCTTTGGGTATGCAAATAAATCACCACCACAACCCGTAGTAGGCTGTAAAGGGAAAGGGAAAGGGGGGAGATGTCTCTGGTTTTGCTGCGCGCGGTGTGGATTTTTTTTTTTCTTTTTTTTTGATATTTGTAATAAAGAAAAGAAAAGAAAAGCTGATAATGTGAATGTCATCATCAGGGAGAAGATATTTTCGATTGTTGAAATGGTATCCTTGTTGGGAGATTGCTTGGGAGAAGATTTTGGCGGGATCGTCGTCGAATGGGAGTGGTGGAAGTGGAGGAGAAGGAAAAGGAGGAGGAAAAGGAGGAAAAAGTACTACGCTTCGACAAATGTTGGAAGGGATGAAATATGCGTTTTTGGGCATGTATTTCTTTTTGGAAATGTTGACGATTGTGAGGAATTTTTCTCTCTTTCTCTTCCTCCCCTCCCCCCCCCCCGCCTTCCTTCCCTCTTCCCCCAAGGTGTCTCAATATACCTACACATCCAAACCCCCCCCTCCCGAAAGAAAAAAAAAGATACACAAACTAACCCCAGTGACAATCCAAAAAATTTCTCCACGCAAAAAAAGACCAATGCCCTCGGAGTGACCCACTATACCTGGGGACCTTATGTTCAAACTGAAGCGAATAGATGCTGGTTCTATTCGATTTCGATTTCGATTTTGTTGGGGTTGTATTCGATGATGATGATGACGACAATATCATCGTTATCATTATCAACAACAGCGACGACAGGAGGAGAAAAGAAGAAGAAGAAAGAGATATCCGGTAGCGATGACGACGACGACGACGACGACGACGACGACGATGATGATGATGCTGCTGCTGCTGCTGCCGAGCAGAAAAAGAAAAAGAATCTTCAGCAACAACAAGCCCAACAAAAAAATATCTCTCAAACACAACAACAACTCATTATCGATTTTGCAGATTTAGTCATTCCAGGCGCCGCTGTCGGATGGATTCCCGTGGGGCCGATAGTCGTGGGAATGGCGAGTACAGTTTCGACGGTATTGACCGGAAGACAGATTTGGAAGAGGGTGATGCGGGAGCAGGAGGAGAAACAGAAGTAGCAGCAGCAGCAGAAGAAGCAGGCTGTGGAGGGGAGAAAGAGTGAATAAGTATGGTCAAATACTACATACTACATATATGTATGAGGAGCAATCTGGTATGAGAAAAATGTATCGGCACAGTGACCGAATACCATCTTGGCATTTGTACGCTGTGTTATTGTCTTATTAGCACGCACGGCATACATGACACTTTTTTGTTCATATTCTCTGTTTCTTTTTTTTTCTCTCTCCCCTTTTTCGTTTTGGTTGTATGCAACAAAATTGGTGTCACCAAGGAAATAAGGTAGGGAGGGACTCTCACCTTCTGCAAAGCTTTAATCATCTGGTCTGACTCTACCCAGTCATCATGGTCTCGTGCCAGCCAGCCCTGCGGAATACCAGACTCCCAATTCTCGTGAACGTGATACTGATCTATCGTGAAAATCCACGTTCCAGACTCTTTCAGATTGACTTGCATAATCACCAGTCCGGGAGTGTGGCCTAGACTTTCTCATGTTCATCATCAGTACTTATCGCTCTTTTTTTTCTCTTGCAGGCAGCGGCGAATGTGGTAGGGGAAAAAACTGACCGGGAGCATGTCTCAGATTAATCCCCGGGGCGAATTCCAAAAAGGGTCCATGGAAGGCTTTCCAGTTCAAATCCAGTGATAAGTCCTTGGGCAGATAGACGCCGAGATCCGATTTGGTGGCGACAGCATACCAAGCGTGCTTCAACTCCTTTTCGTGGATGTATATGGGCACTTCCGTTCCTTTGAAGTTCTCCAGACCTCCCGCGTGGTCGAGATGCATGTGACCCATAATCACGGCTTTGACGTCTTTGATATCATGGCCAGTCTTCTTGATCTGAGCGGGAAGTTCATGCTCCGGCGAGTAGTCGACACGGGCAAAAATGTCATTTAGAGGAGCTCCCCACACTTCGGGATAGTTGTCGCCGCCACCTGTTTCGAAGAGAATCAGACCTTCGGTGGGATGTTCAATGAGGACTGATATGATGACAGCTTTTCGACGAGGTGCAATCTGCGTGGGATTGGAGGCTGTCGTGGTACCCGCGCCTCGCATGAACCATCCTTCGTCTGCTTCGAGGTTGCCGCAGTGGAGAAGCTGGATCAAGATCGATTAGTAGTCTGTTGTGAGAATATGCTATGGGGTGTCGAACCCATAGTTTGGTGCCCTAATGGATATTAGCTATGCTCTAGTCAGGAGCAGCAATGCATATACCTACTTCTGGAGCTTGGTTGACCAGATCAAGTCCGAATGTAGTCGCCATTGTTACAATGCTGATATATGTGAGAAAATCGACGAGGTGGTCGGGTGTTGATAAACTTGCTAGATTACCTGATTCGTCAGGCCTACGGGATTCCGTTCGAGCGAATCGCTTAGAACTTGATGAAACTTGCTCCGCTTCTGTCTCCAACATGACCAAGCTTACCTCCTACTTGCTTTTGCTATTACTCGTCCACTCATAGTAGGCTTTCAGGCACGTTGGACGTCAGCCTCGCAATTCCTGTGATAACTTGCTACTTCCAAAAGCCAATGCTCGCATACAATACGAAGAAGTGAGAGTACGCCCGAGCCTTGGCAGTCTCGACACTTTTTGATCGGCGTGCCCTGTTGAAGCTATGATTGGTCTCGCCGCCGGTGGTCGTCCGCAACAAGCGATTGCCTGGAGACGACGGCGAGCTTGCTTGTTATATGGCAGACAATTGAGCTGGAATGGACATGTAGAGTTGAAACGATCCAAATTGTCGATCGCGTCCGTGCAAGTCGTGACATGGCTCGATGTCTGCAGACCTGCCATGGCACGAAACACACATGTGCTCTCCACAGGACGAGGCCTGGACTGCGGTTGGATTCTGCAGTTTCTTGCTGAGCGCAGATAAATGTCCTCATCCCGAGCGGGGTCCCGCCGCCGTTGCCCGCAAAAGTCCTTGCATCAGAAAGCTACACGCGATACTCGCAAGGAGCATAGCAATCATGACCCAGTTGGAGCCAACATATACTGGTGATCTGCGTGCGTCTTCTGGCCATCCGGAGAAAAGAGCATAGTTGGTGACGACGGATCCAAGGTTTCCTAGTCCGGACACTAGAGCGGACGCAGCTGCAACTCCAATCTCACCGTGTCTTGGCTGAAAGATCTCAGCAGTCCACGTCATGGTAATGGGCACTGTCGGACCCAATCCGAAGCCTACTATGAGAAGGCCTACATAGCGACCCCATCTTCCAGCAGTGGAATCGCCAGCGTATGTAGTCACAAGGAGGCCAAGAATCTGAAGAGCGGTTGCGAGGCTGAACCATAATGCTCTCTGCTTGTGAAAGCGATCGCTAATAGGCGTCACGCAAAGAATGCCGATGAGATCGCATATCCAGATGGGTGCATACAACAAGCTCAGCTGGACTCCTGTGAACGCCGGATTGATGGCTTTGAGAATGACAGTGCCATAGGATTGTACGCCATTGCCCACTCCAACAACGCCAAAGTACATGACGAGCAGTGGCCAAAACCGCCAATCAATCATCACATTCCACAAATCTCGCATGTTCCAGTTGCTGCTGTGGTAAGCCTGCTTGAGGTCGTAGTAGTGCAGGAGAGCGTCATCGCCCGACAATGCAGGCTTCGTAACGGGGAGATACTTATTGAGCCATGTCACTTTCTGCTGCTCTCCTGGTGCAAGTGGTCGATCGGGAAGCCACCAGACCAGACCGATACCACAGAGCAACGTCACCAGCCCCCAAAGCAAGAACATCCACTGAAAGCCCACAAGACCTCCATCCCCATCCATCTCCTGGAAGCCTGCACTGACAAGTCCCACGACAGCCGCTGAGACCTGCGAAGCTGTAAAGTACCACCCGATGCGCTTCGCCATTCGCTGAGGCGGGTAGAACATTGTCAAAAACAATGCCATGCCGGGCCACATGCCAGCTTCTACAGCTCCGAGCAAGAATCTGAGCACATAATAGCCTGCAGCATTCGTCATGCCCACCATTGCCGTGCCGATAATTCCCACAGTGATTACAATTCGGGCAAGCCACGTCGAAGGGGATAGCTTGCTCATAGCGAGGTTGGAGGGAACCTCGAAGATGACATAGCTGACATAGAAGAGTGCTAGACCAGTAGAGACTTGGTGACTAGAAATGTCGAGATATGCTCCGAGGTTGTGGCCATTGGCTGTATTCATCGTCTGTGCCAAGCCGACATTGGAGCGAATAGCCGAGCAGAGGAAATAGAGGAGCCAGAAAGGTGGTATAATCCGTAGATCCAGCTTCCGGTAGATCTTGCGCATCCGGACTGGGTCGACTGGTGGCGTGTCTGTGGAGCTGTGCCCAATCCCATGCTCAGCATCCTGCTCTTGGGCGTTGGCTTGCTTGAGCGCGTGCTCTGGCTCTCTGGGCGACTCAGCCATTATGGATCAGTATGTCGATGAAGGAGCCCGACGAGTGTGCGATGAAAAAGCATGTTGGTGAGTCGACCTCTCTTATTATTGTTATTAGGTAGTTTAGTCTCCGAGACTCGGGCCATTTTCATGCTCACAGCCAAGCGGCACGGACCAGCCATCTTGGCGCCCTCTCCCTCGCCTCTCTTGGTAGACACATACCCAGGTAGAGAACATCTCTGCACTCATCATCGTCATCAATGACTTCGACTGCCGCAGGTGCTGAAGGCACGAAAGAGGGCTAGCCAGTCTTCTGTCAGCATACCGATTGATGCTAAATGCAGTCGTCCCGAAGTCGACAATTGGAGACAGACACCGATATTTGTGACAAACTGTTTCCAATTCGTGACCTCGCATTGCGGACATCTAGATCCGCTTCAGCGTCCAAAATATGTCAATATATGTTGATATCGATGGTAAGATCTCATTACAAGATCGACTACAGCAGTCCAGTGGTCCTGTCGTCATGGAATGATCATCATCATTACCATAGAGCTCGAAAAGTTCAAGTTCCCCTCACTGTTCAGAATAGGGACATAACACCATCGCCATGGGAAACAAATGCTGAGGATGATCCTCCCGTCGCGCCATCATGCTTCATCTTCCTGTGATTGCCGATAGACTCAAAGCTTAGTCCTCCCTTCTTCGCTCGTCCCTCTCCGTACTGGCATAGGAGGCGTCCCCTCTCGCCCAGCCCCGCTGACCATCCTCGCAGCGCCTTGCACAGCGGATGATAGTGCAGCTCCAACACTAGGTCCGGCTTCTCCAGAAGCACCAGCACCCGCTGTGCCACTTCTGCCTTGTCGTTGCAATTGCGCAGAAGTCAACCAGTGCACCTGTCTACTAAGACCGGCAACCTGGGCGGTCAAGTACGAGATCTCTTCCCGTGTTCGCAGATTCTCGTTGAGAGTCTGCATTTGATGTCGACCATCGACTTCTTGTAATGCGGCGCTAACGCGGGACATCTCGTCCCGCAAGCTTTCATGCATAGAAAGCAGGTGGTGGAGTGGGGAGGCGTACGGTCCATTCGTTGCTGGGGGTGGAAACGGAGAGGCAAGGTCGAAATCTGGGCTGAAAGGCTCGGAACTGTCTGCTGGTCGTGGTCCAGGCACATCAGGCGTTTGGCGAGAGGTCGTATGTCGGGCTGAGCGTGGAGATGTTCCCGGTGCGACGTCCGCGTGGGTTAATCTAGCGAAGCCCAACTCAGCTTCTTCCATTGGCGAGGCGACATCATCTGTGGGCGCGGGACTGCGCCGGTTATGATCCTGGAGCAATGGTATTGAGCTGGGATCAGCACTTGTGCGGTCTGGGTCGTCTATTCTGGTATAGAGGATGCTGTGCATTGATGTGAAGCCATTTTCGAGGACTTCTAGCTTCCGACTCATTTCCTTCTGTGCAGCCTCTTGCTCGTCCATGCGCTCTGTCATCGCAGTGAATAGCGGGGCCATTTTGGCGAATGCGCACGATCTGGTGTGCCTTTCAGCCTGCGATTTCATGCTGCGATTGTTGCAGCCAAGTGCGTGACCCGGGCATGGGATCACATTGGCAGAGCACTGCCTCGTTTTGTGCTCACCAAGGTCGCGGTAATATACTCTGATTTTGCAAAGCTCGCAGGCAACTTTCCGATCGGGACACGAGGTCTTCCAGTGTTTCTCAAGGTAGCATTTCTGCATCTCCTCGCGACAAGCGATGCAGCTGACGGGGTAGTGAAGGCACCCGTCCTTCGAGTCCTTCCGTCGCACGGGCAGCTCGCAATTATAATCCGGGCATTCGATCAGAGCGAAGCCACAGTATATTGATACGTGATCCTGCACTTCGCCACGCTTGATCTCCAGCTTGCAACCTTCTTCGGCCTTGGGACATCTGACCAGCAAGTCGTCCACAATGTTGATCAGGATCTTGCTCGTTGCCGATCGCGCATTCAGCTTGGCGGGCGTGCGACACGTTGGGCAGTCTCCTCTCGGGCCCAGTGGGTTATATGCAGTCGAGGCATTCCACGTCTGTCGTATACAGTCGCGGCAGAAATAGTGATCGCAATCGGCCAGGACGACGGGATCCACGAACGGACAGCGGCAGATGGGGCATGTGAGATTGTCGTCGCAGTCACCAATGTAGTCTAGCAAGCGTAGGTCCACAGGAGGATTGAAGTTCTGTGCTCTCGCCTTGGAAATCAAAAAGTTCCTCTCTTCCATTGTCCTTCGCTTCTCCAATCTCTCCATGCCCCGCATTGTAGGCGTGCCGCCTCTGCTGGTGGAGGCGCTTCGCTGCATGTTGGGTCCCACACCTGCGGCTCGTGGCTCCAAGCTTGTGCCACCACTGAGCGAAGTCGTTCTCGAAGGCGATGCAGCGAGAGTTGTGCTCTCTGGAGTTGCACGCCGATTTGGTCGGAAGAAAGAGGAAGGTCTCGACATGGCTGGAACGAGGCAGAGGTAGTTCTGGGCACAGGAGACGGAATTCCCGACGGGCTCCCGCTCCATCCGCTAGAGGCAATCCGAACGGTTTGGATCGGGTGGTCTTGACCACTGGATGCATACGTAGAACGACAACTGTCGTTTTGCTGGCAACAGTAATTAAGGTAAGTTGTTATGTGTAAGGTATAGATGGGAATCCGGACGGGAGGAGGCAGGTCAAGGTAAGGTATGTACCTAAGGTATCTCAGGAGGTATTGCTACTTGTTGGACGCTGCGTAAAGTTTGCCAGCGGCGGACATAATGTAGGAGCCTAGGAGGTACCTCCATACAGGACTACAATAGTAACAATAATTACCCGGCGTTTGGGACAGTGCTTGCCTCTCTGCAAGGACCCGAAAATGCGGGCTTTGGCGGGCGTTGACTGTTTCGCAAGGCGTGAACGATGAGCGTGTAGACGAGAGCATACCGCGCGGCTGGCTGCTTCTTGGACCTGCAGCTCGCCCCTTTGCCCCGTCAGCAGTCGGTAGTTCTGTTCGTTAGTTCTAGTAGGAGGTAGATCTAGCAAGTCAGGCACGTACTACCTCATACGAGGTTAGTATAGCAAGGAGATATCATGTATGTTGTCGATCGCTGCTTAGAGCAGGCTTGTTGGCTACCATGTGTATCGGCGAGTATAGTGAATGAAGGACTGGGACGCAGAAGCGCGCAATGCAGTAATAATAGGTGAGGCACATGTGGTGATGGAACACCGTGAAACCGGCGTGTCAGTTACCAGGTAGATTGGCATCCATCTACTGATCTACTCCTACTTCCAGTCTTCCTCCATGCATTTGGTGATTTGGGTTGGTTTGTTACGGGCTTGGCTTGTGGCTCCAAAGGGGCTTTCACCAGCTGCATCTGTGGTACCTGCCTACCTCCTATCTCCTGGAGGTACATCCTACTACCTCCTATGAGGTGGATACCTGGTAGTTCTAGAACTACCTAACCAGAGTCTGTGCAAACAACCCTCGATCCGAATCGCTAGATCAACGTTCTGAGTGCCTACTGCAGCCGGGAAACGAGCTTGTGATATCGGCACGACAGCCACGCGATCTCTATATCGACTGTGGCGCGTTGCGGCTAGCGTCTGCGGCGCGCAGAGCGAAACACCCGCAGGTGGTGATCGAGCACATGCAGGCATCGCACCACCCTAAACAGCCTTCGCCATTCCAGAAAGAGCCTTCCAGGACGACGGCATCAACCACCATGGCAACCTCATCTCACCAGCTCCTGCTGCTGGCCGACCATCTGAAGCTATCGTTGCTCGAGCGGCAACGCGCCGTCAGCCTGAACCTCGACTCGCACAAGCAGGATGGCCAGATAGAGCGATCCTTGTCGCAACTGCACGATGGCCTGGAGCAGTTGGAGGCGCAGCAAAGAGATCTAGGGGCGGCCGAGGACGATAGCTCGGACCTGTCGCGGTTGCGGAAACAGTATAGTCAGCTGTATGCGCAGTTTCATGGGTCTGCGCCTCCGCCTGTAGAGGCCAGCAGCCCGAACGATCCAGCTTTGGCCGGCGACTTCGCGGCAGCAAAGTCGAGGCCGAACAGAACGCGCAGCAATAGAAACGTGCGCTTTCGCGACGACCCGGACGACGACGACGACGATGCAGAAGCGCAAGCGAATCGCGCAGCACTTTTCGCAGACCAAGAGCGGTATAGAGATGAACCCGAAGCACCGAATCACACAGATATGGACAACCAGCAGATACACGCCTTTCACAAGCAAGTGCTGCGAGAACAGGATGAGCAGCTGGACACACTAGGCCAGAGCATAGGAAGGCAGCGCATGCTAGGCATCCAAATGGGCAATGAGCTGGATGAGCAGGTCGAACTTCTGGACGACGTGGAACGCGGTGTGGATAGGCATAGCAATCAGCTATATGGTGCACAGAAGAGGCTCACGACGTTTTCACGGAAGGCCAAGGACAACTGGAACTGGATCACGATCACGATACTGGTCATCATCTTGGTCCTGGTCATCGTAGTATTGAAGTAAGCAGTACCTGACCTAAGGCATGGGAGGTAGAAGTGCTGGTGGTAGATCCGAGATGGGACAGGAGCGATCATGTGTCAGTACCTAACGTTCACGAATTCATGACTTGACGAACTGCATCCTATGTAATGCGCGCTCGAAGCATCCCACACGATCTGTTGACACGGATACGGCAATGTGCCTCGAATGGTGAGATGAGGCCATGTATGCGCCCAGCCTGGAAATACAACAACAGCCGAGCAGCGCCTGATGAATATGACGTAAATAGCTATCGAGCTTCCACTTGAGCTTCATGTTATGGTATGTACTTGGCCACGACATCGTCGTGCAAGTCACCAAGGCTCTCCTCTCCCCTTGTTCTCAACTATTGCTCGCAAGACCGAAATCCTTCAGGCATACACAACAAGATGTATATGGGTCTAGAGAAGAAAGTCGTGCTCATCACAGGTGGGCGACCCAATAGTCTACCTTGACATGGAAAAAGTCCAAGTTGGCCCAGCTCATGCTTTGTTTTTTCTTCGCAGGCGGCACCAAAGGCATCGGACGTTCCATCGTTCGAGCGTTCCTCAAGGAAGGTGCCACAGTACACTTTTGCTCCAGAACCGCAAGTGATGTTCAAGCCGCCAATGAAACTTATCGCAAAGACTACCCGGACAGTAAGGTGCGGCACCATTCTCTCCCTTTTTTTTTCCTTTTCTTCCTCTTACACGAGCTGATCAACATCCGCCCCGCCCCAGGCCATCGGCGCCGTAGTCGACGTCACCAACAAAGACAAACTCACGCAATGGGTCAACTCGACCGCCCAAGAATCCAGCAAAATCCACATCGTCATCGCCAACGTCTCCAGCTTGAGCATCGAAGACAGCGTCGAGAATTGGCACACGGCGTTTCAGACGGATTTGATGGGAACTTATCATCTCATCCAAGCTGCTCTGCCCCATTTGGAGAAGTCTCGGGGGAATATTGTCACCATCTCTTCTGTTTCGGGACGAGATGTTGATTTTACGGCTCCTGGGCCGTATCCGATTATGAAGGCGGGGTTGATTCATTATACGGCTGGGTTGGCGCATACGTTGGCGTCTAAGGGCGTGAGGGCGAATACTGTTTCTCCTGGTAAGTTTTCTTTTTTCGATTTTCGATTTTCACGCATAGATGTGGGATCCATCATCCATCTGGTGGTTACTTGGTTACTGATTAATGATTGATGATGAAATTTCTGCAGGCAATATCTACATTGAAGATGGTGCATGGGGAAATATCGAAAAAAAAGCTCCGGAATTGTTTGCCAGTCAAATGGCTTTGAATCCCATGGGTCGTATGGGTAAGCCGGAAGAAGTGGCGGATGCGTGTGTGTTTTTGGCGAGTGAGAGGGCGAGTTTTATTAGTGGGACGAATCTTGTTGTTGATGGGAGTTTGTGTACTGGGACGCAGTTTTGATGGTACCTTGTTGTCTTGGTGTGAATACCGATCAATGAACATATATCGGTTCGATGGGAAAAGGCCGATTCACTGTAAAAATCTTTCGTTGTTGCACACGAGCTGGTGCTGCTCTCTCTTTGACAACCCAAACGACAGCTCCTCCGATTGTTACATAGAATCTTCGCCCCAGATCCTTCTACTGTACCTATGTATGTTCCACAGGCGTGCGTGCGTGCATGCGTGCGTTTACTCAACGAGAACCTACAGTATCCTCGGCAGTAATCCGGTCCGCCTATGTCGTCGCTCTACACGCTTCCAACATTACCAGTACCTCTGCCCTATCGTGTAATCTACTTACCTACCTGTACCTTACCTGACCTACCTGATAATGGAAGCGCGCACCCAATATGTATACCATTTCCTGTCTACCTTACCTGAGGTACATGTACTATCAGCGGTGAATGTGACGGTTCGGCGGTGTGTAAGGTAATGCCTGAACTCTCTCAGTCTCCTGGCCTGTTCAGTACCTGCTTAGGCAGATACAGGTATGATGTATGATGTATGATGTATATACCTAGCTTTTTTTTGGGTACCCCACGATGCCAGCCCGCCCGGCTTATCTTTTTTCACATTCGGTGTTTTGATAAATACAGATACATAATATATATCCCTTGACGCTTCCAGAGATGTTCAAGCACGAGGCGTACCTACCTCCTTCCCTACCTTAGCTGAAAACTTTTGTTTGCCCTGACTTAGGTACAGTACATCATATGTACCTGACCTGATCTGAAGCTTTTGTGTTTCTTCTCTTCCACTCTTGACCCTTCAACTCTTCCAATCTCACTCCCTTCATCACAATGCGTCATCATGCCCCCCTCCGCATTGCCGTCCTCGAATGCGACACACCGATCGGGCGTACAAAAGAAAAGTACGGCGGATATGGAAACCTGTTTAAAGAGCTGCTCTCGAATGGCGCGAAGCTCTTGCAAGAGAAGGGAGAAGGGGAGGTGGAATTGGATATTACGAAATACGACGTCGTGAATCAGGAGGTGTATCCCGAATTGGAGAATGTGGATGCTGTGCTGTTGACGGGGAGCAGTATGTCTGGTTTTTTTCTTTCTTTCTCATCACTTTAATATTACTCAGCGGCACATGCTGCTGCTGCTGCTGCTGAGAAAAAAAAAAGTGGATCATATATGTTGTGGATGAAGGCTGAATGCTTCGGGGGCACCTTTTCTCGCAGGACATAATTCATTCGATAATGATCCGTGGATTCTCAAATTGGTGGATTTCACCAAAAAGGTCTTACAGCACGATCGCGTGCGATTGATTGGAGTGTGTTTCGGGCATCAGATTATTGGAAGAGCATTGGACGTCAAAGTGGACAGGAGCGATCGCGGGTGGGAGGTCAGTGTTACGAAAGTGCAGTTGACGGAACAGGGGAAGAAGCTGTTTGGGATTGATGAGTTGGTGAGTGTCAAGAGGATAGCTATGCGGTCATGGGTGGAGCAGCAGCAGCAGCAGCAGCAGCAAGAAGCACTATACGCTGACGACTGTGGCAGGCTATACATCAAATGCATCGCGATATCGTGTATGAGTATCCCCCAGGCACGGAGGCGTTGGGGCATTCACCTCGTTGCGATGTGCAGGGAATGTATATCAAAGGTCGCTTGATCACGATACAGGGGCATCCCGAGTTCAATGGCGAGCTCGTGGCTGAATTACTCGACAATCGACACGAGAGGGGTATCTTCGATGATGCCATGTACAAGGAGGGCATGGAACGCGTGCGAAACCCACATGACGGCGTGGTGGTCGGGGCTGCTTTTTTGAGGTTCTTGCGGGAGGAGTGATTTCTCTCTGCTGCGATATTTTGCGGCAGAGGGGAAGAGGGGAGACGCAGCACCGTTCATCAGGTCGCCATACGGGTCAATGGAATGGCATGAAGAAGTGTTGCGACGCTTGATTGGCGTCGCAGGCATGACAGGTGGGATGTCAACGAGCATAAACCTGATAGACATACAATGCAGTCCGACAACCAAGATCCATGTGGCCATGACGATGATGATGATCAGTCCCATGACCAGTGTTGTTTCATGATTGCCTGTGATGATCATCTTCAATCCTGCTGCCGTGGAGGTTAGGTGGAGGAGGAGGTGGAGGAGGAGTTGTCGATAGAAAGGGACAGGAGAGGAGGCAAAGGAGGGACAGCCAACAGCCGAGCGTCTGGAATTGCGCCACCTTTTTACGCCTCACCTCGGTGCTGCCGAGTCGGGAAGAGTTCGCATGTTCAGCTGCAACGATGATTGGTGGCCAGTGCGACGCCCAGAGTCATGCCTTAGTCATTGGCAAAAGCTTGGTCTGCACAAGTGTCAAGCAGGAGGAGTTTTGAAGGTTCTACTAGTCTTCTATCTCTGAGTATCGTATCTCACATTCGTTGTCTGGTGTTGCAGCCGAGTACGCTAGTCTTTGCTCGTCCTTCCACGCCGAAGTCAATCCATTCCCCGTCCTGTCCCCAATCTTCAAAGTCTCGGTGTCCTTATCGTCGCCATAAACACTCTGCGCACTTTTACACCTACCTTACCACTCGTTCTCTTTCTCTGCCCTCACCACCACTACCACCACTACCACCACCACTACCACCACCACTACCACTACCACTACCACTACCGCCACCACCACCACCACAACAGTCGCTACAATCACACTACATCCCCTTCGCGTGGCTGCTGAGCAAACAGCACGCGCATAATGCATCACATCCACCACTAATTACTACCTAATACCCGAACCATACGAACGACGGGAAACCGACCACCACAATCGCGAAACCACAATCGACCGCGAATAAGGAAGGAAAGATGGGGAAACACAGGTACGGCCTGGTCTTCGATGCAGGCTCGTCAGGCACGCGAGTCTACGTCTATAAATGGGACTCAGCCGAGCATGTGTTGAAGAAGGGACACGAAAAGAAGTTGCAGAGTCTCCCGGATATCAAGACAGATAAGGAATGGATCAAGAAGGTGCATCCAGGCATATCGACTTTTGGAGACCGACCCGAGTCCGTTGGCCCGGATCATTTGAAGGAGCTGGTAGACTTTGCGCTGGACATTGTTCCAAAGAAGGATGTCGAGAGCACGCCGATATTTCTTCTGGCCACTGCCGGAATGCGATTACTGCCCGATCATCAACGCGCTGCATTGCTGGAGCACACGTGTTCTTACTTTCAACGCAACACCAAGTTTCAGCTGCCGGATTGTGGAGTACACGTACAAGTGATACCAGGCGAAACGGAGGGTCTGTATGGCTGGATTGCGGCGAATTACTTGCTAGGAGGCTTCGACAAACCGGATGTTCATGTTCATGGCAAAGATCACCATACTTACGGCTTCCTGGATATGGGTGGGGCCTCGGCACAGATTGCATTCGCGCCCAATGCCACGGAGGCGGAGAAACATGCAGATGATCTCAAACTGTTGAGACTACGAAAAGTGAATGGCGAGTCGCTGGAGTATCGAGTGTTTGTCACGACATGGCTAGGCTTTGGGGCCAACGAGGCTCGGAGACGATACGTGACGCGACTGCTGGAGGCCTCCCCTGGTGTCGATGAGCTCCCGGATCCGTGCTTGCCCGTCGGCATCAAGGTGAAGAAGACAGGAGAGGAGCTCGAGCCTGGATCGAAAGACATCGCGCTTGCAGAACCACATTTGATTGGCACGGGTGACTTCACGGAATGCCTGAAGAGCACGTACCCGCTCTTGGAAAAGGAAAAAGAGTGTACAGATACGCCATGTCTACTCAATGGACAGCACACGCCCGCCATCGACTTCGATGTGAATCACTTCGTTGGCGTGTCTGAGTACTGGCATACCACCCACGAGATCTTCGCAATGGCACACAAGGACAAAGCGTACGACTTTGCGAGCTATCAAAAGCAAGTCACACAATTCTGCTCACGCAAGTGGATCGACATCGAGAAAGACGTGGCGAAGGAAACTTGGGGGCACAAAGTGGATGAGAAGACGGTGGAAGAAGTGTGTTTCAAGGCCAGCTGGCTAATCAACATGCTACACGACGGTATTGGGATTCCCCGAGTCGGCATCGAAGCGAGTAAAGGCGGTGCGGGGAACAAGACAAAAGCTATTGTGAGCAGTGCGAAAGATCATGGCTTTGTCGACCCCTTCCAAGCGGTCGACAAAATCGATGGCAAAGAGCTCAGCTGGACGCTCGGCAAGATTGTGCTCTACGCATCTTCACAGATTCCAGCCATAGACGAGACGAAAGTGGTGGGCTTTGGCAGTAATGTCGAAAGTAGCACCGCTGTGCCATACGACTGGCAGTCTCCCGCTGGATCTCTCCAACCTTTGCCTGCCAACGGGACTGGCAGCCTGCAAAATGGCGACGACTGGCACGATCGCATACTATCGAGCAACTACGGTCGTCGAGGCCCGGGCATCATCATCTTCCTGCTCATCTTCGCAGTTGCAGTCTACCTCCTTTGTGGTCGCGAAAGAAGACAATCATGGTACCAAAAAGTCACTGGAGGGAAGCGTCCTGGAGGAGGAAAACCACTCCGTCCCAAGGCCAATCGATTTCTGGGAGGTAAACTCTTCGGTGGCTCTCCCACGTATGAACGAGTGCTAGAAGAAGGCAACGATAATGAATACGACGACTTTGAACTCGCAGATGTCTCGGATGGAGAGCGATTATCCGACTCCAGCCTGGATAGTGCATTGGACTCTACACGTGCTGGCCGTACTTCTGGAATGGCCACACCTGGTCTGCGAGGGCTGTCACCTGACATTGCGAGAGGGTCGCCAAAGATATCAAAAGGCTACTTTGACACCCCTGCTGTTGGTGCTGAACGCGTGGGGAGCTCGCATGGCTTGGGTATCGCGAACCCTCCGACACCTTTCGAGAGGGGCGGCTTGATTATCCGAACTGAGAGTAAGGAGAGTCTCCGGGCGCCGAGTCGCAGTCGAAGGAACAGCCCGACGAGACGAAGCCCGCTAATGAGTCCTTTAAAGGAGAGTGTCGATTGATTGGTTTTTGATCATGCATTTTCATTCGAGCACAGGTGTTGGACAGGAGTTCTTTTTGGCTGGGGGCACATCACACCACTGAGCCCCCGGTGTGCTGCTTGATTGTGAATTTTGAGATTTGAACGAAGAAAAGACATGAGATCAACGACACACAGAAGAATCACATTAGGCGCTCATATGCTCGTGTGATGAGAGAGGAAGGAGCGCATGCAGCAGCAGAAATGGCATGTACAAGCTTCTTTCTTCTTCTACCTGATGCACACACAGGTTTTTATGTTAGACTACCTTATCGCTTTTACTTTTACCTCATTGCCAAGCTAAGGTATTTAATCAAAAAAACACCTACCTAGCAAATGGCTTGAGAGGTCTTTATAATATCACATATCAAATGATATCACTTACTTCGATTGGAGACTTCATGTTACCTTCTCTAAACTTTTATAGACTGTAGTGAATAATTTCTCCTTATTTCAACATTTGACGTGTTTAGTGATGAAGTTACCCTTAGTAAGGTACCTACCTACCTACCTACCTTACCTAGTAGTAAGTTATCCTTTTGAAAGAGAAAGAGAAAGAGAAAGAGAAAGAGAAAGAGGTAGAAGCTACTATATGTATACTTAGGTACCTACTTACCTACTCAGATAGGTAGGGTAGGCCTGGGTAGGTAAGATAAGGTAAGGTAGTCTTTTTTTTTATATTCATCCCCCCTATTCTTTTTTTTCTCAATAAAAAAAGTCCTTGACTGATGACTTCTAGTTTTGTTTCTAGTTTTGTTTCTGCTTCTGCTACTGCTACTATTGTACATGGTAGGCAGGCTGTCTGTCTCTTTGCATGAGGTAGAGTAGGGTAGAGGGGGAGGGGGTCCCTCTCTGTTGGTTTTCTTTTTTTGGTGTTAATCAATAGACATTTTGTTTTTCATGTTCGTTCTTTTTCTCTCCATCTCACTCACGCATTTCCTCCATCTTCCATGTCCAATGTTCAATGCTCATCTCAATGGTGTGCCTTGCTTGTCTCTCGTTTCCTTTCTTTCTTTTCCCTTCGCCAACAACTAAAAGTAAGAACAAGGGGTGTTCTCTCTCTCTCTCTCGTTTTCACTTAGAATTACCGACACCAAAGCCATACAACGTCTGACCAATCTGCCTCAAACCAAAAACAACATCGAGAGCAGTCACAGTTTTCGCATTGCGATATTCTGTGATGGCGATGATTTTTTCTAGGGCCTGTTGTCATTGGAGGTATATGTGTGAAAATTAGCAATGTTTGATTTCTGCGGACAGAGAGAGAGAGAGAGAGAGGAAGAGAGGGGAGAGTAGTTTCCACACTTTAGTGGAAATTGATACACTGACCTTTGTGAGATAATCTTTCAAACTCTGGCGTATGGGGTCGTAGATATCGCCCGAGATACGTTTGACACCTCCTCGACGGGCTAAGCGACGGATGGCGGGTTTGGTGACTCCTTGAATGTTTTCCTTGAGGATTTTACTATAGGCGATGGGGTCAGTTTTTTTTTTCTTTTCGCCTCTTCTCTCTCTCTCTCTCTCTCTCTCTCTCTCTC